AAGTAACACAATCCCTTTAAAAACGCGAAAAAGAGAAAACCGCACGGTCCCTAAGTTGAGCGTCAATAAGAAGCCAGCAAACGCGGAAGTTCGCGTCATTTAAGGTGGAACGGATAGCGTCAATAAGAAGGTGCGAATAAGAAGCTGGATTCAGCCTCGTCAATACACTACAGATAGACATTCAGTAGGCTACAGTTAACTAGGTGCATGGGGTTGTCTGAATTTCAGTCCGGTTGAGAGATGATATTTGGGAGGGTGAGATTTATTAGAGGGTTGCACTGAGGTGATGAGGATCAATTCTCAGCCAGGAAGGTCTACACTCCTCAGCTTTCTCGTTTCTCGTTTCTCGGGGAAGCTTCTCGTCTTCACCCAGTTCCGGTTCTGGTACTTTCTAAGGGGCTTAATAAAGGTCTTGGGGGACAGCTGACGACTAGTTAAGCGGGCAACTGACCTCTCGACTACTCCTTACATACATCTTTATCTTTTGCTCCGTGACTCTTTAAGATTTCCCTCTATTAACAGTTTTGTTTTGTGCACTTTAAATAGGCCTACTCGTTCCGTCGTTCACTGTTCCTAAAAATTCTCATGAATATTTATACGCAAGTTCATCGACGCAGCAAATCAGCTGAGCTGCAGCTGCATACGTTTATGCACGAATTTACATATGTCAATCTGAGCTTCTAACCGCATCCGCAGTTTATCGGAACATCTCAGTTCTATTAAATCACCTAAATTCTGTCATGGCCAAATGGGGAGAGGGGGACCCGCGCTGGATTGTGGAAGAAAGATCAGATGCGACAAATGTCAATAACTGGCACTGGTAAGTAGCACGTGCATGTCCTCCAGTTGGGAAAACGAGGTGAAAGTTTTGTAGCTCTTTGCAATACAGTATTGTTAAGGGCATGCCTCTAATGCTGTAGGACTGTTATGAAGTGTCTCTTAATAAATTAAATTATATTTCTCATCATTTTTTTAAATCTAGATTTTAAGTTAATATGCATAAATGTATAGGGAAAATGGGTTCTGTTATTGATCACAGATTTTGAGCTTTTTGATCACTTCCCACGTTCACATGCTCAACTATTCAATCTCAATGTGAGGACAGAAACAGCCTATATAAAAATAGATGATTTAGACGGTTTAAAATTGAATATTGCATGTCACATCGCAGGGAACGGCTGAAACTGTTTGATACTTAATATCTACTGCCTACATCTGATTTCTAATAGATTCTCAGAGCCCTTAGGTTAGTTTTTCCAGTGTTTGCAGAAGCCTCTGGAATGTCCTGTAGTTGAATGTGAGGGGCTGGCACAAGCTATTTTTGGAAGTATGAATGCGAGACAGAATTAGACTCAGGGTGCTCTGATGAAAAGCAAACAGAGTAAGATTTTTGAACTGTCCCACTTGAAATGTCTTACTTTGTTATGTATGTATGTATCAAAATATAGTCAAATCTATAGCCTAAACTATAAAGTATTCACCCGCCCGCAGATTGAAGTTCTTTAGGAATGACGTAAAGACTCCCTTGTGGTTTTTCTTTTTTTGAGGCTCAGTTTAGTTATAAATCCCACAGGAGGCAATCGTAACAATAAAAACACTTATTTTATTGGTTCCAATACAACGCAAACAACACATATAACACATGTGTATGTGTGTGTGTGCCAATGTATGCCACATACAGTATGCCATTGTAAAGATTCTTAAAGAGACAGTCTAATTGGTCAGTCTGATTTATTCCCCAAATTTGGAGAAACTGTAATTAATGGTTGCAGTTCTCGTTTGAAACATGAATCATATGCAACTTCTATAAAATAAATTATATTTATAATTATTTGATTTTCTTAATCTTCTTACAGGACAGAGAGAGATGTCACAAGTTGGTCTCAAGATGTAATAAATAACCTCCTTCTTGGGATTCGTGTAGAGGGTGAAGAAGGCTCATGCGAAATTACAGATGTCAGCAATATAGACGGCGAGGCCTCCATCAACAACCGCAAAGGGAAACTCATCTTCTTCTATGAGTGGGTTGTTAAAGCCTCATGGACAGGTGAATGAAAGTTCAGTTTGCGTACACAACATAATAATTGGTGCGTTGGTGAATCTTCTAAATATTTTTTCTTCACTTTAGGAACAAATAAAATTGGAATCAAATATAAAGGCACTGTGGAAATACCAAATCTCTCTGATGAAAATGACATGGATGACTTAGATGTAAGTGAACCTTTCTCCCAATAAAATACTCTTTCTATACAAGAGATCATGTTTCATGGAAGAGATCATGTTTCATGGAAATCTAAATGATGTTTGTATGTACAGATCTGTGTTTCACTGTGTAAAGACCAGCCAAGCACACCGCTGACTGATCTCATGAGGAGGGAGGGAGTCAAGAAAGTCAGAATGGCACTGGGCAACTATGTCAAACATCTTAAAACAGGTGAGGGTTCTAAAACGTCATTTTGTTTTATTTTGTATAGTTAATCACATTCTTGTGACTTGTTTTTACAGAGTTCTCTCAGGGTATGATTTTACCAACAGAAAATGCACTTAACAAACAGAATCAGGAGGCAAAAGCTAAGGTCAAACTGGACAACACCCAAGTAAGTTCTCATAAACATTTCTGGTAACTTATTTTATATTTAATTTAAATAAATTTTTTGTCATTTCCTAATTTTTACTGTGTTAAGTTTGAATGATGTGTGATATGTGTCCCTTTGTTTTTCCATGTGTGTGTATGAGGACTCTACTCCAAACAAAATCTACCTTCGGGTACAAATAAAGTAACTTGAACTTGAAATTTGAGATATAGTATAGTCATCCATCCACTTTATTTTATGTCTGAAATGGTCATCTCTCACAAACTGTGCAAAGCAGCACAAAACTTATGTTGTGTGATCAGCAAGTATAACATTACAGATGTTTTTCTTTTAGTTATTGTTTCAGTTATTTAAATGTTTTTTGTGCTTATTTTCAGAATCAAGTTATATGTGTGCACTTTAACTTTTCACCTCTGTATTCAAATTGAAGATATAAATATATATATATATATTTTTTTATCTCCCAACCCCACAGATTGGGTCCTCCACTACAGGTAACTCTTCCAACACTGGAGTCAAAATTCCAACAGTGTCTTTCAGTCTGAAAGACACCTTCCTTACCTCACCAGAAGAGTTGTACAGGATTTTCCTGAACAAAGAGGTCAGAATCATTCTCCTATTGTTCTGTCAGTCTATACAAATGCAATCAAAACAATACATGTAGATGTATTCTGGTGGTCTTTTATGCATAGATGTGGAACTCACTTGCTCCTTGTCTTTTCATGGTGTAGATGGTACAGGCATTTACACATCTTTCTGCTTTTGTGGATGGGTGCTCGGGTGGCAAATTCCAAATATTGGAAGGAAATGTTCACGGACAATTTGCAGAACTGGTAAGAATAATAATTTAATAATTTTGTTGATGACAGTAATTTTCTAAATTGATTTTAAAAATCTTACCCTTTAGATTCCAGACCAGAAAATTGTCATGAGATGGAGGTTTTCAAGTTGGCCAGCTGGTATTTATTTATTTGGTTGTTTATTTATGTATTTATTTTATTATTATATTTTTATTTATATTAATCTATTTGTATTATCTTATTAATGAATTCACATACCACTTTTAATATTAGTAATAATACATTTTATTTTTCTATATTACTTGTTTTTAACGTATTAAGGAATATCTATGAAGTCTGAGGAATGTGTTGCTCATTGTGGACTGTAGCCAGTGTTCTTCACTATTGTTGGGTCTGTTTGCTTTAATCTGAGTTATGATTTATTTTTAATTCTCTTTTAGGACATGCAGCAACTGTCAGTTTAAACTTTATGAATCAAGGCAGTGAGACAGAGCTGATTCTGGAGGCCAGAGGAGTTCCCAGCAATGAGGAGGAAAGGATGAAAGAGGGCTGGCAGAGATACTACTTTGATGCCATTAAACAGACGTTTGGATATGGAGCACTACTCTGCTAAGCCAAAACTCATGTTGTGTCATGCCAGAAACTCGGGACATAATACACGTAGGCCTGGTTTCACAGACAAGGCTTAGATTAAACCAGGATTAAGCCTTATTCATTTAGGACATTTAAGTAGCTTTTATAAACACGCACTAAAAAAATCATTACGTGTGTATCTTGAGACAAAACATAGTCAGTGACATATTTTAAGATATGTCAGAGCAAGTTACTTTCAGTTAAAACTCAAACATGCAGTTTAGTGTGGGACTAGGTTTAAGTCTTATCTGTGAAACCAGGGGTTGGATTAAAGAAATCGATATCAGTGGAAGTGTGAATATGAAACACTTGTGTATATCCTGCCTGCACCAGTTAGTTGGATGCCCACAAACACCTGTGCCTTCTCAATGAAAATAGTTGCCTGAATTCTTTTTGTATTTGTTATTGCATCGCATTAGAGAGTTTGTCATGTTTGAATGTAATATCTATGTTTGAATGTTATGTCTGGGCATTCCAGATATAGATATTGAACAATTTAAAACTGAGTGTTTTATAAGTGAGATTATATTTGCCTGTGATGAAGTGAAGTCAAATTAATTGTATGATCATCATGATACCTCTTTTATATATATATATATGTGTGTGTCAGATCTTATCGGAATATCGGAAACTGTTGTAATAAAACAGGAAATAAATGTTTTAACTTATAAGAGCCTTTAAACATGCTTATCACCCGAAACATTACTTATTTAGACTATTTCATATTTGTAGACTATTTAAACTAATAATTAATATTATTTCATATTTCATATCTACCATATTGTTTACTTCACACACACGGCTGAGAGAGAGTCAGCTGTTCACAGGCGTTCCCACATCCTGAAAACTGTCGTGTACGCTTCTGCTCCATTCGCGTATCTCAGCAGCCGGAATACTCTTGTGTGTGCACAGCTGATTGGTCAACTGACTTTTGAAGCGCAACGATTGGCTATCGCCTACTGTCTCGTATTCTGATTGGTGAAACCGCCGCGGATTAGGAAATAGGTGGTCGGTCAGTGAACAGAAATATGCTGAAACACGAGAAACCCTAAAAACGGCTGAACTGTCTTGTGTTGTTGAATTTTATAGACATTGCGGTTGCCTTGGAAACATTGTTCCGGAAATCGTCCTGGAAATAATATTAAAGGTCCGCAAGCGCCACAGCAATAGTCTCTGAGGTGCTGTGTGTTTAACGTTAGCTCTGCTAGCTGTGTGTTGATAGGCTGTCACTGAGTTAGGTTAGTTACATTGAGCTGCTAGCTGCAAATGCTGTGGTTATTGTGTTAATGTTACATGTATGCGAATGGATTGTTTTGCTGTAATCCATTTGGGCTTTTGGGAGAAGTTTTGGCTTGCTGGTCAAGTTCTATAGCTAGTGGGTTATGCAGTCAGGTGCAGTTCACTGACACATTTATATAGCTAGATGGCTAGTTAGGGTAACAGATAGCTGATGTGCTGATTTAGTTATTTAAGTCAGATTTTTAGTCGTTCACTGCGTTTTGCACACTCTGGCAACATGAATCCCATTAAGAAGTCTTGTCTGGTCCTTATTGTGGCATTAGCTGTGACTTTGGATGTGACAGCTGGTGGTGAGTCAAATTCTGAAAGTATTCAATGTTCAGTAAAGTATTCAGTATTCCACTTCTTAAAGTATTCAATGCTTAGTCTATTAGAAAAAAAGTAAATGTTTATTTAGACGTTAACTAAAGTGTACAGCTAATTAACAGTTTGAATGTACTAACATGTATTGTATGTAAAGTCTAACCCTATATAAACCGTAAACTTGGCTGTTTGGTGCATTAATTGCAGAAGTAATACCAGATGAGGAAGGAGATGCGCAGGTCGGTGCACCTCAGGTAATACAGCATTAAGACATAAGATATATATATATAGATATATATACACATACACACACACGTGTTTGTGTAAACAATGCTATTTTCTTAGTGATCTTTGCATCTCATTGCATTAATGGTTTTGTCAAAATCAGAGCACAGATGATAAGGATGGCTCCAGAATTTTGTCGGGACATGCATATGTTCCTAAAGATGCCCAGCCTGACAGCAGCACAACAGACACTGGTGTGGAAAGCGAGATTGAGGCGATTGAAAAGGAAGACCTTCCAAGTCAGCCCCCTCCACCAGAGGAACATCGTAAAGAAGGTGAGTCGGAGCCAGATGGGGTCTGCAGGTGCTTCCTGGTTAATATATAGCATTCAAGTCTAAGTAGTTCGATTTTTCTGTACATTTATCATAATTTTATCCGTCTCTCTCTACTTCGTAGCCCTTATTTTACTCCCACCATGAAGGTTTTGATACTATTTGTCTCATATGTTGCTGTTGCTTAAGTTTAAGTTTCACTGCACAAAATCCTTCTTTTCTGTTCATCGCCTACAGCTTGCAGTGTCTGTTGAGAAAAGAAACTTGCTCACTCATGCATTCACCTGTGTGTGGTTGGTTTCCTGTGAAAGTGTCTGGTTATTGTGTTATTTTCTCATTGGTGTTTATCTTGTGACGTAGTTCCGGTGGTGACTGGTGGAACGGCCTCTGGAGAGCCCTGCGTCTTTCCTTTTCTTTTCCAAGGGAAAGAGTTCTCGGAGTGCACTACTGAAGGCAGAGGAGACGGGAGGCTGTGGTGTGCCACAACGTACGACTACAGCACTGATAAGAGATGGGGCTTCTGTGAAAGTGAGTGAGCTATTATTGGTAGCATACTTTAGAGTGCTTTATATTGTAAAAATGAATCATATTGTTTCATATTGTGACTCTAGTCTACATGAAATATGATACTACTTTAGTTGAAATCGAAAGAGTTCTCTTCACATTAGTAGAATGGTGTTTTTTGCTTTTTACTTCTCATACTTTTTTTGCATAATTAGCTTGGATATGAGAAGATCAATGCTAAAATATTGACTGATATAAATCAGTCATGATTTTTAGCACTTGCAGTTGTTATACCAATTGTGTGTGATGTCTATGTGTCCTCACAGCGGAGGAGCAGGCAGAGCAGAGGAGGTTGGGGGAAGAGGCTGAAGAACTGTACCAGGCCACACTTAGGGTGATCAATGGTACCAACCGGAGGAGCCAGAAGAAAGAGTGAGTGCTGTGCCATGTCTATTTCTTATTGCTTGCAGTGCTCATGCAAAAGTTTTCCTGTTATTTTTAGGTCTTCAAGCTACACTTTCTGAAAAAAATGTGCAAGAAACTGTACTACAAGATTGTAGCTTGTACAGTATCTGCAAAGATTCACTTTTGTACCTTACCTACCCCTAAAGGGTGCATATTTGTACCTTCATGCACAGTTTTTTTTTCCTGACAGTGTAGGATAGTTTTGGTTTCTCTGTTAGTGTAAAAATATCAAATGTATTTGAATTACACTACTGTTCAAATGTTTAGGGTCAATAAGAGATTTCTTTTTTTATTATAAAGAAAAAATATTATTCTAAATTCTTTATCTAGCAAGGATGCATTAAATAGATCAAAAGTGACAGTAAAGACATTTATAATGTTTAAAAAAAAAGTTTTCTATTTAAAATAAATTATGTTCTTACGAACTTTCTATTCATCAAAGAATCCTGAAAAAAAATGTATCATGGTTTCACAAAAATTTTACCCGCTGAAAAACTGTTTCCTATGGTGACTGAGAGAGCTTCATGCGCTGCAACTGCAGAAAACACATGCAAATAGAAAAAACACCTGCAAATTAAGAAAACATCTTCATCAGTTTGACAACTCATGTGCAAATACTCACAATACAACCAAATACAGAAACGCTCTCCAAATACTCACAACGCACATATGATCAAGATCAACTCACCTATCAGGTCATTGACAACACCTCTGACGAGTAGACTGAGCAATAAAGCATGTCCTAGCCAGGTTCGTCACTTCTTGGGGTCCCCTTGAAACATTTCCGTGCTATTTGCAGCATGTTTCTTTATTTGGTTGCTTTGTGAGGATTTGCAGCACATGAGTTGTCAAACTGATGAAGATGTTATTGTTTTCTTAATTTGCTGGTGTTTTTTCTATTTGCATGTGTTTTCTTCAGTTGCAGAGCGTTGAGCTCTCTCGGCCACCGTAGTTTTCAATGTTGATAATAATAACAAATGTTTCTCGAAGCACCAAATCAGTGTATTAGAAAGATTTCTGATAGATCATGTGACACTGAAGACTGGAGTAATGGCTGTTGAAAATTCAGCTTTGCCATCATTGGATTAAATACAAATTTATCAATAATTTACAATAAAATACTATTTTTAAATTGTAATATTTCACAATATTACTGTTTGTACTGTATTGATCATCAAGTAAACGTAGTTATGGTGACGTCTTTAGAAAATGCTAAAAATAATTGTACTGACCCCAGACTTTTGAACGCAAGTATATTCATAATTCTATTCATTTCTGTATTACAGGTTGTATGAAAAACTCCTGAAAGTTGCAGAGATGGGTCATGCTAAGGCTATGGAGAAGGTGGCATATGCCATGCTTTTTGGAGACTACTTACCTCAGGACGTTCCTCAGGCGAAGGAGATCTTTGAGAAACTGGCACTGGAGGGCTCCCCTAAAGCTCAGACTGTAATAGCAACTGTTTTTATTTTTATTTACTGTTTAATGTTAATACTGATGCCTTTTTGTCCTGTGACTCATTTAAAGCTGTTTGTTAAGAATAGCAGCTGTGTGCTTGGTTATTTTATCAATGGTGTTATTGCATCTGCATCAGGAAAACTTTATTCCTTTTTTATCTATTATGTTTTTTTTACATTGATGTCCCATCCAATTTGTGTTCACACAGGCACTCGGTTTCCTATATGCTGCAGGATTAGGAGTGAACTCTAGTCAAGCAAAGGTATCCTCTAATGACATTTATCAAGCACTACATGCTTACTTTAAATGTGAATGTTTACTGAAAATACTGTATTTAACCTAATTGCAGGCATTGGTGTACTACACCTTTGGAGCTTTGGGTGGAAACCTAGTTGCACATATGATTCTGGTAAGAAGAATGATTTTCTGTCCTATATTTTAAACAAGGAACGATCTTATTTCAGCCAGGAAACAAGACTTGGATTACTTGCTTATCTTATGTATCAAGTCTTATTTGACTTCGCTTACATCTAACTGAGTGTCTAGACAAGCCTTCGTAACTACTGAAATTCTGACCGACACATTGGCTCAGTTACATGAAGCAAAGTTGAAACCTCAGACCATGGCATTTATCCATGACTACTTTCTCAATGCATTGGTATTGCATAGGCTTGTGTTTGTCCTGCAGTTCATGGCTGTGCTGTCTGATAATTGTCATGCTTTCTTTTCAGGGCTACAGATATTGGGGAGGTGTTGGGGTTCCTCAGAGCTGTGAATCTGCTCTCACTCACTACAGACTTGTGGCCAATCATGGTAAATTTTGTTACATTGCTGTGCTTCCTCGGATGCAATCCTTCCTCATACACATATAAATGTCTAATTTCAGCACAACATAATTTATAAGATCCCTGGTGGCCACTTGTAAGGATGATATCTTGTTACTTATTATGATCTTGGTCTCTGATTTTTTTTTTGTTCAGTCAATTAAAAAAAAAAAAAGTTTATTGACTTTCTACATAGTGACTTACTTCTCACATCATACATGTGAAATGATTGTTTTCTGAGCAGTGTGAACATAAAAAAAGACCTAGAAATGCTGTAATATGTAAAACATTTTTGGGTTCAATTTACTCATGCTGTGCTGATAGATTTTGGTTATAACACCCACCATTAATCACTAGTACCACTTAGTTATCCTCACTGTGTGTCTGTCTGTGTTAGTGGCCAGCGATGTGTCCCTGACAGGGGGCAGTGCAGTACAGCGGATCAGGCTCTTGGATGAAGTGGAAAATCCGGGTTCTAGCAGTGGAATGCTAGAGGAGGATTTAATCCAGTACTACCAGTTCTTGGCTGAGAAAGGAGATGTGCAGGCACAGGTATAGTAAAACCATGTTGTTTTGTCTGTGGCATTATTGAAATCGAGAATAGACTGTCACTTATAGTCACTTAGGGTGCTTTCACACCTGCCTCATTTAGTTCAGTTGAATCGCACTAGAGTTCGTTTTCCCCCTTGGTGCGGTTCGTTTGGGCAGGTGTGAATGCAGCAATTGCACTCGGGTGCGCACCAAAAGCGGACCAAACAAGCGTAACGAGACCTCCTCGCATTTTTGGACTAAACCAGCTGCCGTAGTCAAACAAAATTATTATCAATGGATGTCTGCCGGATTTTCCTCCTCTTTGTTTACTTCCAGGAGTTGGAATTTTCCCGCACGTTAATTCTGACCAATCGAAGTGCAGTTCTGGAAATATGTTCAAGACACATCTGGCCAACGAGTGATGTGGATGTTGTCACGTGACTACATTTTGGTTCGTTTCATCAACTCATCAACTGATTCGGACCAGAGCAATCAGTGTGGTGTGAAAAGGAACCAAAACGCCTGAAAATGATACAAAGTATAATTTTTCGCCCTTAGTCCGGACCAAATGAACCGAACTACAGATGTGAAAGCAGCACCCTTACATATTTTAATGTTAACGTCTCTATGAAATGAAAATGGGCAATACTTGTATTTTTTGGAATATTGCAGTGTTTATTATAAATGTGTTATCCATGCACATCATTATTATTATTTTTTTTAATTCATGTGCCCTCATAATCTTTAATCAAAATAACTTCCTCTTCTCTAATGACATGTTTACTGGAGTGAGGGCGGGACAGCAATAGCAAACCACAACAATCCAATCAATTCCCAATGGAAAAAATCATGTCCAGCAGTCCTAATTTTTTTTCTTCTCTCATTCGCGAAGCCATTTCAGGCGATATACGTCACAATAGGGAAAAAATTACAATCACAACTTCTGTTTCATGTCAACTTCAATTGTATTTTGATCTACCTGTATTTTTGATGTTAACTGTCACATCTGCATTTTTTGTCTAGGTGGGTCTGGGCCAGTTACATTTACATGGAGGACGAGGTGTAGAACAGAATCATCAGGTAATTTCTGTTCAGGCGTATTTTGTATTCAGGCTCTGCCATTTTAATAATTTAACTAAATGATATGAAATAATGATTTCATACTTTCTTTTTGTCATTAATTTTCAGCGAGCATATGAGTACTTTAACCAGGCAGCAAATGCAGGGAATACACATGCAATGGCATTCCTTGGAAAGGTATTGACATGAGTGTTTTTTATTTATTTAAATTTGTATTTGACTGTAAATTTATGTCATTCTTGTCCTGTGTCGCTTAATCTTTCAACCTCCTTGTGTCCATCTTTTTTTCCCTCATTCTTATTCTATTGTCTCAGATGTACTCTGAAGGCAGCGAGTACGTGCCTCAGAACAATGAGACGGCCCTGCAATATTTCAAAAAGGCTGCAGACTTGGTGAGAATCATCTTTTCCCCCTGTCAAAATTCAGAAACACTTTATTTTCAAATGTTCTCCTCTAATCCTTTATTTTTGTTTTCATCTTTTAGGGTAATCCAGTTGGCCAGAGTGGTCTTGGTATGGCTTATCTGTATGGAAGAGGCGTTCCTGTGGTGAGTTTCCTGGATGAGCTGAACTAAACACTATATGATCATTAAAGGAGAACTCCGGCGCAAAATGAACCTTTGGTCTAATTACACATTGTTACCTAGTCAACCGTTATCTGAGATTTGTTTTCATGATTATCGAATGTAAATAGTTTTATCTCTAAAAACAGTTTAGCCTATAAAGCTAGTATAACGCTAGTATATTGGGCATAGATCAATGACAAATAAAAATCGCTTGTTAATACCACTAACAAGGCTCAAAATAGCCCCACACTAACACGGTAGCATAATGAGGGTCCCTACCTTCAAACCGAAGCATTGAGAACTTTGTCAGTGTCCAGACAGTTTAATAAGAAGATATTTAATACATACAGTCAACTTCGCGTATACAGGCAGGAGCCATCTTTGAAATACAGTCTCTACCAGTCAATCTACGAACGCCGATCCAAGTGCGCTGGTGAGATGTGAACGAGCTATAAGTTGTGATAAGGTGAGCGCGAACAGCAGGCTTGGATCGGCGTTCGTAGATCGACTGCTAAAGACTGTATTTCAAAGATGGCTCCTGCCTGTATACGCGAAGTTGACTGTATGTATTAAATATCTTCTTATTAAACTGTCTGGACACTGACAAAGTTCTCAATGCTTCGGTTTGAAGGTAGGGACCCTCATTATGCTACCGTGCTAGTGTGGGGCTATTTTGAGCCTTGTTAGTGGTATTAACAAGCGATTTTTATTTGTCATTACACTATGCCCAATATACTAGCGTTATACTAGCTTTATAGGCTAAACTGTTTTTAGAGATAAAACTATTTACATTCGATAATCATGAAAACAAATCTCAGATAACGGTTGACTAGGTAACAATGTGTAATTAGACCAAAGGTTCATTTTGCGCCGGAGTTCTCCTTTAAATGACCTTTTCAGTTATTGTTTCTTCTCGTTCCTGCAGAACTATGACCTGGCACTGAAGTATTTTCAGAAAGCTGCAGAGCAGGGCTGGGTGGATGGACAGCTACAGCTGGGAACCATGTACTACAGTAAGTGTGTGCTGGAGAGGGAGATTATGTGCAAATTATGTGATTGTGGTTTTTTTCCTCACTTCTGTTTCTTTACCTTTTCTGCTTTCACTGCAAGAGGAAAAATAAGCAGTCATTTATTATAAACGGGGGAACAAATTTACTGAGCCAGTAAAGGCCATGAAATATATGAATAAATATTCATGAATGTTACATTTTATATCATGTAAATATTGTGATTAATTTAATAATCTCTTGATCTACGAAAATAAGTTTGCATATTCCTGTGCATATTCCTAGCAGGCAGGCTCAGAATACAGAACAGGGAAGTATCTTTTATAAATGTCTTCTAGAGGGTATCAAATACATTTCATCAGACATTCCAAAATTCTGAGAATATAACAACAACAACAACTATTACTGTCATTAATTATTTAATGGAAATTAAATTAAAAAATACATTTTAGGTTTTTTTTCCCCCTCTACCTATCTTTCTAGCTCACTGTTTCATTACTTCAATTGCGATTTATCTTATTTTTGTCTTAAATCACAGCAGACTCTTTTGGCTTGGTTACCTAGGTGATTGTTGCCATGCCAAACTCCCACCTGCATTCTGCTTTGACATGATCTTGACAAACATTGAGGACTGAGGAGTGTCTTAGTCATTTCAGCTGGTGGGTGTTTGAGAGTATGAAAAGTGCCTTTTATGACTCTCTCATTCTTCATATTTTAGATGGCATCGGGGTAAAGCGTGATTATAAGCAGGCACTTAAATTCTTTAACCTGGCATCTCAAGCGGGTCACATCCTAGCCTTCTATAATCTAGCCCAGATGCATGCCACGGGGACTGGGGTCATGCGCTCCTGCCACACTGCAGTGGAGGTGAGGCATTATTATTTCATGATGCATAGCCATGTGTCAAAAAGCTTTTCTGATAGTGTTTAATGTATGTGTATTTGTGAGAGCAGCTCTTCAAGAATGTGTGTGAGCGCGGCCGCTGGTCTGAGAGACTCATGGCGGCATACGGAAGCTTTAAGGAGGGAGATCCAGACTCTGCTCTAGTACAGTATCTACTGCTAGCCGAACAAGGCTACGAGGTTGCTCAGAGCAATGTGGCCTTCATCCTCGATCAAAGTGAGTATGGGCTCTACCACCAGAGGGCGTCAGACCCCCAACATCTACATGCATGTTAATGGTGGTGTCTAGTTAAAAGCTGGTCTGAGAAAGCAAACCTGGACCTTTCTAACCCTTTAAATCCTTAAATCTTAAAGCCAGCCAGCATCTGCCTTGTAATTGTAATTTTGTTTTTAAACCATATCTTTATTGCAAAAATATTAAATATAACAAAGTCTAAAAAAAAAACCTCAATTTACATAAACTGTAACTACTGCCCGTAATCGGAATTTTTGTAATAAAGAACAGGATGAAAATGATTAAAATCTTAATTTTTATTAGGCCTGGAAAAGTCAAAGATATATACCCTATATATTCTATATTTTATAGAAAATATTATTTTCTAAAGGGAATGTAATTATTATTATTATTATTTTATTTTCTGCTCTAAAATATTAATTGGATTGACTTTGGTAGATAATTTACAAAGTTCTTAAAAACTAACATATAGCTGATTATTAAGTATAATTATTTAAATATATTAATTAAAAAATGCAATGAAAAATTGGCCTGGAAATCTTTATATGATGATAAAAAAAAAATAAAAAAAAAACATCATTATTAGTAATCAAGAATGACTGGAAAACAATGTATGCAAATTCTTGTCAAAATATGTGGGAATGCACAAAGAAGGTCACAGAATCTTCCGTGATGGTAAAGCAGCTGCGCAGAGCCTGAGAGACCACTTAAAGATCCGTCAGCCTTTCCTTTCATGTTTACTGTCTCTTGGCAAATGAAAACCCAGCTAAATTAAGCTACTTCACATTAGTGAAGGTAAATCTGACTCCGTGTCTGTGTATGTGTCTTTTTTTCAGAGGGGTCACAGATCTTCAATGAGAATGAAACGTACCCACGGGCTTTGCTCCACTGGACCAGAGCAGCTGCTCAAGGTTAGACTGTTTTCTTCAACCCATACAGTCACTCTAACAAAATGCCAAAGTGCTTTGATGGCCTTACAACAACCATTATAGTGAGACAAATATAACCGCTTACTACACGGCTCTCTCAGATACTTGATCCTGATTGGTCATTTGTGTCATTATGTGTTGTCAGATATTTCAATATTTCATTGTATAATTAATCCTAAACTGTATTTGACCATTGTAGCTACTAGCAACCATTCTTCTACACTGTCGTCGTTTTGCATACTCTGCACTCTTTTTGAATAGATTTGAAGTGAAAAAATCAAATTTCAATGTTTCATGCCAATTTATGTACTTATTTGCTACACATCCACGTAACAAGCTGGATCATGTATAGTCAGACGGTCATTATCGCTAAATAAACCCCTTCAGACTGAAACAGGATTCCTCTGCTTCTGTTTTTATAATTTCATTTTAATTTCCATGAGGCTGTTGAACATCCAGGACATTTGTAACATTAGCTGTTTTATCTTTTGTTTACAGGATACACAGTGGCCAGAATCAAGCTGGGTGACTATCATTTCTATGGCTATGGCACTGATGTGGACTATGAGACTGCAGTCATTCATTATCGTCTGGCCTCTGAGCAACAGCATAGTGCACAGGCCATGTTCAATCTGGGGTATATGCATGAGAAGGGCCTCGGTATCAAACAGGTGAAATCTCCATGTATATTTACATATACAGTCGCATGTATACACTACTGTTGAAAAGTTTGGGGTTGGTAAGAATTTATGTTTTTGAAAAAAAGTCTCTTATGCTCACCAAGGCTGAATTTTATCTGATTAAAATACAGTAAGAACCATAATGTTGTGAAATATTACTATTTAAAATAGCCGTTTTGTGGTTTTACATATTTTAAAATGTACTTTATTCTTGTGATGGCAAAGCTGAATTTTCAGCAGTCTTCAGTCACTTGATTTGATGCTCATGAAACATTTCTTATTATTATCAATGTTGAAAACAGTTGTGCTATTTAATCATTTTGTGGAAACTATGATACATTTCCCCCCAGAATTTGATGAAGAGTTAAAAGAAGAGCATTGTTTGAAATAGAAATAATTTGTAATATTATAAATGTCTTTGCTGTCACTTTTATTGCATCCTTGTTGAATAGAAGTATTCATTTCTCTCTAAAGACCCCAAACATTTGAACTGTAGTGCTTACAATAAGAGGTGCACTAATGTTTTTGATTGTTCCTCCACAGGACATTCATCTGGCTAAACGTTTCTATGACATGGCTGCAGAGGCCAGTCCCGATGCCCAAGTTCCTGTGTTCCTGGCCCTGTGCAAGCTGGGCCTCATTTATGCACTACAGTACCTGCAGGATCTCAATGTAAGTCGCATCTTTCAGTGAGGATCCACCTTAAATCTGACATGTCTCAAGTCAAGGAATAACCAATAACTTGCATCTTTTTTCTTCAGCTGAAGGAGCTTCTATCTCAGGTGGATCTTGACCAGTTACTGGGTCCAGAGTGGGATCTCTACCTCATGACTGTCATTGCTCTGCTCTTGGGCACAGTGATCGCATATCGGCAGAGACAGCACCAAGCCATACCCAGAGCCCCTGCAGCACCCCCTAGACCTCCAGGCCAGCCGGAGCAGCCTGCCGAAGAGCCTGAGGAACAATGAGAGAGCAGGGATCAGGGTGGAGGTGACCGAACGGGACTAGGGGTACGGGAGAACGAATTGAGGCCCATTAGCGTCTCTTTCCCCGGGACAGCCGCTGACACCTACACCCTGCTGTGGTCTTTAATCCTGTAAACCCCCAAAGAGCTTTCAGGACGCTTGTTGCCCTGTCCAGCCCCTCTCTAGTCTTTTTTACTTTGGCTTGGGGAAAAACTAGATGAACTTCTACGATATCTTAAACGTGCGCCTCAGGGTTTTGCCAGGTGAAATAATATTTGTGCAAATCAACGCTCACTATGTGGGGGGAAAAAGATAACATTGCTGAAGGAACTATGGTAGTTGTTCCTGAATTTTGCTTGCCACTGTGCTAAAAGTCAAGGATCATACCTATTTTGTGCAACCCATTCAGATTTTTTGTTCTTGTTAGTATTAAGTTTGGTACAAATTCGGATTCGGACACCATGCCTCATTGGGATGCAGAGTGCGAGATGGGCTGCGCTCTGAATTCGATATGTAAAAAGTTCATACTCTAAGCATGTGTTCCTTTTAAGTGGCTTGCTAGCAGATTTTTCTTTTCTTTTTTTCCAGAATTATTTATAATGTCAGTATTTGGACAAAAGTTGTTTTCACCAGCACATAGATGTAGATTTCACTTGATTAAAACATGAGCAGTTACAGATGAATAAACTACATGGTAAGTAATCTAAGGTTATCAGTCTGCCAAAAGGCTTTTTATTGCCATAAACGCTCACCCTGCCAAACGTTGAATCATCGAGACGGCCCTTGACCTCATTTTGTGTGTCTGTCTGTACTATATTTATGGTAAAGATTCAAGGCTGGTGTCCATTATGTTTCAGATTGTTAAACCTCTTTCTTCAGCAGTCATTCAACTGATATAAATTCCACTGCATACATGCAAAACATTTTAATTGTTAAATGGGTTGCTGTTTGCTGAAATGCTCAGTTTTGGTATTACAAGACACCTTTTTCCTTTTTTATTTTCAGATCAAGACACTGAATGCTCTCAAAGCTATTTTTGATGATTATCATATAAGGTCTTTTGCTCTGTAACATCAGCTTCCTGGAGCGGGTTAATTTGCTTCAGAATGTGGCTTTGTGTGCTGAATCTTAGTTTTAGGTTCTTTTTTCAGAGGAAAATATTTTTCCAGATAATTTAAATTGTGAGCATGTCTAGAATATTTGATCGTTTGGCGATGGAATGTGTCTGTCGTTTCAGGAAATGTAGCAATACCACAAAGTTTGGTGTAAAAAAAAAAAAAGAAAAGAAATCTGTAATGTAAGCCTACATATGTGAATAGGATGTAAAGGACTGTTTTTCATGCGAAGATGCACCAGAGCATTAGTCTGTTTTTGTGGAGTTCACGTAATTCAGCAATGGTTTGAAACTATAAAAATCATATAACAGATTCTTCTATGTAAATCAAGCCGCTCATAATACAGAGATGACAACGGATGAGTCTTAAAAAAAAAAGCAAATAATTACATTTTCAACTGGCAATGTTTCTAAATAACTAATAAAAATCAATGGGTTCACAGCGGATATCATTTCCTATCTTAATATAATTAGACCAACAAATGCTATTCAGTCCAAACAAACATCCAGTGCGCACAACAGCAACTGCCACCTTATTTATTTCTCTCTGAAAGGATTCCTGGTCCTGATCTGCATTGCGCTGTGGGTCTGTTTCTCCCAGGCCCCAGTGCCACATAATTTCCAGTAAAGCTCTCTGAGGTTGTGAATGGTCACCAGTCCCCTGGCAGTTGCATGTGCGTCTGGATCATGCTTTATGTCGGTGGGCCTGAACTTCGTCACTCAGCTCTTTTGGGTGGGGGAGATAAAGGGGCACTGATATAATGGCCCCGTTCTCTCTGCATGCACATCCATTGTGCTAACCAGCTTGGAAACGCTCCACCATGGAGTGGCTTTTCATTGCCGTGGCAACCTGCTTGCTAGCCCTCTGCCCTGTCAAAGGTAAGTACTAGAAGCATCCAGAGCTGCGAAGATAAGCTGGAGCACAGGGCCCATGCCACGATACATGTGTGAGATTGACCTGGGATTTGGTGGAGCGACATGTTTAGGTGAACCTGTGTTGAAGGCCTTTGTGCTTGTGCTGTACCAATGGAGGCCGGTCTGTATCATATTTTGACTTTTGCTAAGGCTCAAGTACTCATGGATCGTAATATTTATCTCAAGGTGACGAGTGGAGGCTGGAATATGAAGAAGGACTCAGTCACTACAGCGAGGAAGTGCTTAGAAAGGTGCGTTTGTGTATTTGTGACGGGATTTTTTGGGGCTTTATCATCTGGTTGAGGATGTTTTTCTTTCACATGAGGTCATAAATACAACTGTCCAATTAGTTTATCTTTGATAAATCATAATGTATACGTAATTTCAGTACTCCAGGTGGTCTATCTATGGGGTGGCCTGAATGTTTTGGTTGTGATGTCACAGAAACCGCCTGTTTAGCATGTTATTTTGTTACAGGAGTTTCCTGAGAAGACCAGGCCAATCGGTTTCAAACATCCACTGTTCACGTGTCCTGACATGAGCCCCTCCTCTTCTGTGCCAACCTCAGGTAGGCTGGTCTAGGGTCTTCGTTTTAGACTATTTTTCCACATTGTGACAAGATTTGCCAATGATGAATACACACTACTGATCTAAAGTCAGTACGATCAAGCTTGACTTTGCAAGCCGCCAATGCTAGTCATGCTGGAGACAAAACATTTTTGTTTATATTAACACTGATATTTATGCTGGCTCTTGTACCACAGACAAACTGCATTATATAATGTTTTGCTACCTGCTCTTCTGATTCGCTGTATCTCTTGTAGTTGAGCTGGTGAGGGCAGCAGATATTAAAGTGATCGCTGCCCTTGGGGATTCACTGACAGTGAGTGTGATTATTTACTCTTTCCTTTTTTCTGTTTAGTGGACTTTTCATTAGTTAGCTGACAACAGAATTAATTCTACATTATTTTTAATCATGATCATTCGTGGGGCAAAATGAGGTAAACAACTCAAAGGGATAGTTCACCCAAAAATGCAAATTCTGTCATCATTTACTATACCCTCATGTTATTCCAAACCTGTATGAGTTTCTTTCTTCTGTTAAACACAAAAGAAGATATTTTGAAGAATATGGGCAACCAACAGGCTTCATTGACTTCCATAGTATTTTTTTTTTCCTACTATGGAAGTCAATGGAGTCTGTTGGTTGCCCATGTTCTTCAAAATATCTAATTTTCTTTTGTGTAGCAGAAGAATTAAACTCATAAAGGTTTGGAACAACTGAGTAAGTGATGACACAATTTTCATTTTTGGTTGAACTAAGATGTACAAGTACATACATTTGTTATTGATGCAGTTACTGATAATATAAGGGTTTAACGAATAAAGCAATAATGATCTCTAATAGTTTTTGTCTCGCTTGTAGACAGCCATTGGTGCAAATGCAACCACAGTTCTTGGCATACCGATTGAATTTCGTCACGTGTCATGGAGGTAAAGGGTAGTACTACTAATATAACATGCTTTTAGAAATAAAGTGACTTTATATCCAGTATGATGATATTTCTCATACTTTGTGAAGTTCTAATAATGTGGCAAAAATATTTGCCCAGAACTTATTAATTTTTTTTTTGTAATTCCATATTTGTAAAGCATTGGTGGCTATGGATCCTTTCAAGATGTCATTACACTGGCAAGTACGTCCTTTTTGCCTCAATATCAGTCATATGAAAAGTAAAAATGGGTGAATTGAACTGAATTGAATTTGTGATCTTCTGTGCTTTTGATTTAGACATCATTCGACTCTTCAACCCCCACTTAGTGGGTCCTGCCCCAACCAAGACGGTCCATGGTACCCCAGCTCCCCTCTGCGAGACTGGATTTAACCTGGCTGTAACCGGACACAACACCTTGTAAATGCTAGTACATCCCTAGTCATTCTTCATAAATGGTTGTTAAAGAGCAAACACCTGAAAATATGCCATCAAGATATATTTTTACTTTAACTGTATTTTGCGACCTTTAATTTAGCGAATGTGGTATTGTATCAGTTGATGATATGAGTTTTGCTTTCTTCCTAGTAATCTTCCTGAACAAGTCAGACATTTGATTGATACATTGAAAACATATGAGGTGAATGCATTATTGGTTTTGAAAATGCTGTTTCCTAAACTAAATGTGTTTGTCCTCTGCTTCTGTTGCTTATTACAAATACAGATGCTGAAATCTTGGCATTATTGTGATTCCATCTTTTGCTGCAGGATATTGACTTTGATGAAGACTGGAAACTGTTGACCATTCTAATTGGGATGAATGACATCTGTGATTACTGCAAAGACAAGGCATTGCTTACAAAGCTGTTTCTTTGGCAAACTACAGACAGAAGATTCTTCTACAGTATTGACAGATTTTGTTCAAAATGTCAAAGCGGGAACTATAGGAGGTTTAAAACAAATGTTGTTATATTGATTGTGAACACATAGACGCTTGTAGAGATGATCATCAACATGAGTAATATCGCCTTGAAATGTGTTTGCTCTTTGAGAAACAGCAGTGCTAGGCAGTAAAAGTGACCTTTAAAGAGTCTATATTCAGACATATTGTTCTTTAGGAGTGTCTTTATAAAGCCTCTAAATTGATGTCCTCTATTTATGCACACAGTCCCTATTTTCGGTGGAGAACTTTGTCCATTACATGACTGTGTCCTTGGAAATGCTGATGAATGAGGTAATAGCAGATTTCGAGATATAATATCAATGCTTTGGGTTTTTAAAAATGTTTTTTTAAGAAGTCTCCTATTCTCACGAAAGGCTGCATTTATAATACAAATACAGTAAAAACAGTAATATTGTGGGTGAATTATTGTCATTTTAAATAACTGTTTTCAATTTTAATATATTTAAAATGTAATTTATTCCTGTGATGGCAAAGAAAAAAAATTACTCCAGTCTTCAGTGTCACATGATCCTTCAGAAATCAGTCTTAAATTCTGATTTGCTGCTCAAGAAACATATTTTCTTATGGTCAATATTGAAAACAGTTTTGCTGCTTAATTGTTTTGTGGAAACTATATTTATCAAAGAATCTGAATAAGAATAAAAAAATCAAAGTCCAAAAGAACAGCGTGTATTTGAAATAGTAGTCTTGTGTAATAATATCATATATAACTTTACAGATTTTTTTTATTAACTTCCCTTTGCAGGTTCCTCGAATGATAGTGAACGTGGTCCAGATACTGCCGATGGAGACCCTGAGGGAAGTACAGAAACCCACCCCAGGATGTGTGCTCCAGAGGTACAAGAAATTAAATCAAGCTTTAAAAAATGAGCTAAGAGCAAGTGTGATGATGTCATGGATGCTAATTGTGCATGAAAATAAATACACAATGCATATCGAGTAATTCTTTCAAAATCAAAAATCTCTTCGAATGTTTATGCGGTTGTTACATGATGCGTCAGTTTGTTCAAGATGGTTATCATGTCATCTTTGCTCTTTCAGTGCTACAGGTTAATTTCTCTCATATTCAGTGCTCTGATCTCTCCAGGTCATTCTGCTCCTGTCTGGTAAAGCCAGCTGCTGGATCTGCTGATCTAAAGGAGCTGGTTGGAGTCAACTTAGAATTCCAGGTGGATTTGTTTTCTCAGTTATCTATACAGATATATTACAAATCTGTAATTTGCATATATGGTGCTAAACTGTGTGGTAAATGTGGTTGCACTTTATTTTAAGGTGTCTTTGTTTCAGTGTAACTATACAGTTTAATTACTGAATAGAGCTAATATTAATTAACAACATGGACTTACTACGTGATTACAGTAAGTACATATGTAACAAGGACACTGTAAAATAAAATGTTACCCAAAATATCTTTTGTTTTAGAAAGCACTGGAGCAGCTCTTGCACAGTGACCGTTTCTTTAAGAGTGACTTTGCTGTAGTTTTGCAGCCATTCTTGAAACACGCAGACCCTCCAAGACTCCCTGTAAGAAGTGACCACTGATTGTTAAGTTTATAATTTATGCCACATTATTGCTAGCTTTGCATTAGGTTTAAAATTTAAAGTTTCCATTAAAATGTGCATGTGCTGTTCAAGGTTTGTGTCTTATTCATTTTTCCCTGATTAGAATGGGAAGATTGACATGAGCTTCTTTACCCCGGACTGTTTCCACTTTACTATGAAAGGACACGAGGAGCTAGCCAAGGGACTGTGGAACAACATGGTAAGTTTCGGTTTCTTTTACTCAGAACAAATTCACAAAGCTCCATTTAATTCAATTGTATTATAAATAAAATATGTAATATCTGAAACATAGAATTTTTTATTTATTTTGATGTACACATCAGCCACCACAAGATTATCTCTTTCACTGTCATATAGGCACAGTTTGTCATTCTGAAATCGTTTCTCTCTTTTTTTTTTTGTGGCAAGTTTCAACCTGAAGGGGAGAAGTTTCTGGTGGAGAGCTTTTCAAACTCTATTGAGCTTATTTGCCCCCCTGTGGTAAGAAATTATTATTGGTGTAATTTTATTTTATTACGTATTCATTTGCTAATTCTATTATTACATCCTTTTTTTTTTTTTTTCTTGTTCAAACTGACAAATCCTAGAGTCATCCATACATTTACACCAGACCCACTGTTGTAAAGCCAGGCCCGTCAGCTGGCATCAGACTATCCGTTCTCCACCTCATGCTTGCCTTGGCTTTCCTTCCACTGTGGTTGGCTGTAAATCTGGCCTCCTTGTAGGACATCCATATGGAGTATCACGGTACATCATGTCTGCCCACCTGATGTTCTACTTGTGCTGGATAGCAATGCTTTGACAGTCTCAGAACCATTGAGGATCTATTTTGAGACTTGAGCCACTGCAGCATGATCTATGATAAAACTGATAATGAGGGAGTGAAAGATAAAAAAAACCAAGTTATTAAAAAAAGAAAAATGGACTTACAATCAGTATCATATTTAATTGCTCTGTGGAGTTTCTGCAATGGAAATGTTAAAACCTCAGAATCGAACAATATATGCTAATGTGATGACCTTTTCTGATATACCCAACTAAAATGGCACAAGAGCAGGTGCAAAGCCACATTTAGCTCTGCGTAATGCTGCTATAATTCATTTAGGTACGAAAGGTAACCGTGTTAGCTGATTCCGGGTTGTCTGAATAAAAACAGCCAGAGGTTACACTGTAAACTCATTAAGCCTCTGCGGATAAAGGATTTGAATGTTGAGTGAGAACAATTGTTTTGCTTCTGAGAGCATGGTGAAAAGTAAACTGTTTGCGATCTTCCTAATGCCCACAGTAATAAGATCATTGTTTTGGATGCTGCAACATGAGAAGTGCTTTTGGTCTTCTCAAATAAAGATTTCAGAAGGGATACTTACCTCTTTTCCTTCCTTTTTTTTTCTTTAAAAGTAAGTTTTTACTTTAAATATGCTTTTTCCATACATGCTGAGGGTTCTTCATGGGTCAATAAATTCTTCCATTACCAATCAAATAACCTTTCTTTATAGTTATTCATGAAGGTTCTTAGCAGCTCCTAAACATTCTTGGAAACAAGCTTCTTTCCTACACAAAACATATAAATAAAATTAAAAATTATTCAATAAAATAAATTCTAGCAATACAATTATATGGGCTGTAGCAAATTAGCTCAATGAAATATGAATAATTAATTATTACTCGTTATAATTATAAATATTTGGATCAGTTAATAAAATTAATTTGATGTAGCGGAATTAATATTTAATCAATTGACCTGTTTGTTCAGTGAACACTTAGTTTTAATCAACTCTCAGAAAGGTTATTTTTGTGGCCACAGAAAAATAACCTTTCCTATTGGGTATAGGATGTGCAGTCTCAGAAGAAAGTTATGATGGTTCAGTTGTTCAATGGTGGTGAAGTTGCAACAGGTTCTTCCATGTTGAAGAATGACGAACTTCAGCGATGTTAGTCTGACTCGGTTGTGGTCGGAAGAGTCCTCTCTCTTCCGGATGGGAGGTTACAAGATGGTTGGTTGTAACTTTGAGGCCCCTCCAACTGCGCCGGGGCGAAGTGAGGTCCCCACTGCATCATGGTCGGACCAGATGTCTCCAATCTTTTCCACACAAATTGCAACCAGAAAAGAGAAGGTCACTGAGATTATGCCCTTTTAACATCTGCAGAGGTACTGCCTCTTGAGTTTGGCTTGACCAATGAAAAGGGTGTATTTTCAGGTGGGAAAAGTTCCTGGGTTTGGAAGTGAACTCATTTGCAGGATCAGAGTGGGCTGGCAGTTGTCCCTTTATACTCTGATTAATATAACAAAAATACAATGCATGTTATGAGGAGGTGATATATTATTTTGATATGTAAGCAATAAGGTACGAGAGGCTGTGCTGTATCGTGAATAAGTAACGGCTGGAGGGCGTTGTTAGGCACGACGCGAAGCGGAGTGCCTGCAACCCCTTCAGCCGTTACTTATTCACGATACAGCACTTGCCTCGAGTACCTTATTGCTTTTATAAAACGGTTGCCACACAATAAAAATATTAAAGCCGAAAAATATGTATCTATGCAACTTTCATGAAGTAAAATCACTAAAAGCCTGCCTTCCGCTGGAAAAAATAGTCCCGGAACGTGAACAGCAACAGAAGTTACATATATTATTTCGCCAATAGATGGCGGCAAATACTGTCTTTATGAGTGAGTGAGTGAGTGAGTCTGTAGAGAAGGCTTTTGAAAGGACTCGAACTTGTGATCACGGAGAAGACAGACGCAACTGACAGATGACTAACGTTATGCACGGAAAACCCCATGACTGTTAAAAGGACAAAATATGCAGCGGACATTCAAACGCATTTTTTTATTATGAATATAGGACTGACCTGAAGGAAAATGCTACGTCTACTGTAAATGCAGGTACACTCGCTTACTCGATCTCTCACAATGCTCTGCTCTAGCTTTAAATGAACAATATCAATGAGATGAAACATCTGTTTAAGTTGCTAAGAGTGGTTGCTAGGGGTGTTGTGTAGTGATACATAGAACCGTTGGGTGAAGCGGTCATAGCCGTGTTTTATCGTGAATAAAGCACAGCTATTGACCAATCAGAATCAAGGATTGGAACTAACCGTTTTATAAGAAGCATTATAAGGTTACATTATCTAATAATTCTATCATAAGGAATGCATAAAACAGTATACAATACAAAAGACAGTTTACAAAACAGTAATCATACACACAATGTCCTGGGGATATGCTGAAATGTCTCGAGGTTCACTAGTTACCTGGATAGTGTCAGAAGGGGGTTTATATCATTATAAAGGTTGATAATGATCAGCGTGAGGCCAGACATCATGGAGCCTGCTTGGACTTTTGCTTGTTACAGTCTTGAGGGGGAATCGAGTCTTATGACTCCCAAATGGATTATGAAATATAGCAAATAATTGTAAGTCTGATCTGTCCGGCCGCTACATGGTGGTTTCTTCACATTTATGTCCTTAATGAATAAATATATTCATGTTTTGTCAGTCTGATTTTGTCTGCATTTTTCAAATCTTATTTGAGGTTACTTAATAAAAAAAAGTCAGAGAGATATTTTCTGTGCTGCCCATGCTGCGTTTTCATTATTATTATTATTAGTGGTGCTTGCTGAAAGCAAGGCAACACTATTGTTATTGTCCATACTTATTATTCTTTTTCTTTTTCTTATTATTCTTCTGGCCACTTTTTGACGCGCTACTCCTCCTCCCGCAGTTTTTGTCACAGACCCATGAATGAGGTGTCAAAACGTGCGGCCTGTTCGGGAATGGTGTGCTATGACTTTTCTAAGGGATCGGGGGTACGATGGTCGCCCCAGGGGCGAAAAACCGGCCGAAAAATCCCATAGACTTAACATTGCGTCAAACTTTGACGAGTCGTAGCTCGGAACGAGGATGTCGCAGAAACGTGTAATTTACCACATTTGAAGAGGCTGACAGGCTCTGTAAGAACATACCACACAATGGGGTAAAAGTTGCACCCCTGGGGGGCAGGAGCTGCCCAAAGTTTCCCCATTGACTTACTATGGTGTAGGACGGCCCATGAAATGGGCCGTCCTACACCATAGAAACCGCTTTTATATTGAACATAACTCTGGATCACAGTGTCGTAGAGACAAGGGGGCGGGCTCATTTTACTCAGACGGCCAATCAGTCTCTCAGGATCATTGTGAAGCTATCAAGCCACGCCCTAGCAACCATTTAGAGCTCCTTAGCAACAAGTTCCATAGACTTCCATTGAAACAGATCAAAGGGATATCTCAGGATATAAGAGTCATAGAAACATGAGGGTGGGCTCGTTTGACTCGGGGCAGCAAACAGCCAATCCTGAATCACCTCAACACATCCTAACCCCTCCCTAGCAACCATTATCAAGCACCTTAGCAACAAAAATCCAAAGAGGAATATCTTCCATTCTGAATGTCACAAAGGCGTGGGAGTTGGTTTATATCATTCATACTGACAAGAAGCCTTTGGAGTTTCATCATTGGCAGCTGCCAAGCCACTCCCTAGCAACCAAACAGAGTACCCTAGCAACCATTTTGCAAGACCTATATCTCTGCATCAAAACATCGTATAGAAATGGGGGTTGGGTTTATACATTCACATTGACTTTGGAGCTTCATGATTGGCAGCTGCCAAGCCACTCCCCAGCAACCAAACAGAGTACCCTAGCAACCGTTTTGCAAGACCAATATCTCTGCATCAGAACATCGTATAGAGATGGGGGTTGGCTCTTTTGACTCATGCTAGCAAACAGGACTTGCTACATGCTACACATGCTAGCAGTGAATAGCTACATGCTAATATTGATTAGCTAAGTGCTAAATCATGCCAATGAAATGCAACAAACTCAACAGTAACCATCTTTGACAACCACCAACCACCTAGTAACACCATAGCAACCACCCAGATTACCCTAGCAACACCCTAGCAACTGCCTAGCAACGCCCTAGCAACCACCCAGAACACCCTAGCAACCGCCTAGCAACCACCCAGGACACCCTAGCAACCGCCTAGGACACCCTAGCAACCGCCTAGCAACCACCCCGAACACCATAGCAACCGACTAGCGACACCCTAGCAACCACCTAGAACACCCTAGCAACCGCCTAGCAACCACCCAGAACACCATAGCAACCACCCACAATACCCTAACAACCAACCAGAACACCCTAGCAACCGCCTAGCAACGCCCTAGCAACCACCCAGAACACCCTAGCAACCGCCTAGCAACCACCCAAAAAACCCTAGCAACCACCCAGAATACCCTAGCAACCGCCTAGCAACACCATAGCAACCACCCAGATTACCCTAGCAACCACCTAGCAACGCCCTAGCAACCACCCATAATACCCTAGCAACCACCTAGTAACACCATAGCAACCATGCTAGCATCATGCTAGCAACATGCTAGCATCATGCTAGCAACATGCTAATCATGCTAGCATCATGCTAGCAACATGCTAGCAACATGCTAATCATGCTAACATCATGCTAATCATGCTAGCATAATGCTAACAACATGCTAATCATGCTAGCTTGATGCTAGCAACATGCTAATCATGCTAGCATCTTGGTAAAAACTAGCTAACCGCACGCTAGCAACCGAGCGGCGAGTTTTGCCACTGCAAGCACCACTTCACATTTTCTTCTGGAAATGTACATTCTAGTTATTATTGTTGTTGTTATTAGTGGTTGTAGTTTCATTCAAATGGGATTTGTATTGACCCACTTTTAGGGCTGTCGGTGTCTAGCAGTCTTGCTTTTTAAAAGAAATTCGCTACAAAGAAACTATCTGCAGATATTTATATATATAATATTCTATATATTTATAATATATTTTATATAATCTTAAGGTTTTTTTGTGAATTAATTTCCTCCAAAAAGAATTCATTAAAAAAAAATTCAAATGCACTGTTGGTTAAGAAGTGAAGCGTATTGGGAGTTGCAATTATTTATTTATTACAAATACACTTAAAATAAACAAATTATTGATTTAACCCAGCTCTGAGAAACTGCTTTCTGTGGTTAAATTGTGTATTTTTATAATCAGAAATAATTGGACTCAGTGAAACATTATGATGGGCGTTTCTCAGAAAGTAGTTCACTTCTGGTTATGCAACTTATGAACAATCTGTTTGAAATGAAACCACAAAACAGCAAATTGCTCATTTAGTCTCTTGTTCAGCTGTGTACATTAAAAAAAAACTTCTATCCATGCATGGCTGAGAAACTGCACTGCACCATTTTGAGTAGTATATTTCTACAGCTAGGACAAATGTAAAATTTATGCATTTTAATATAACATGATTTAATACATGAAAAAACTACACTGTAAAAAATTATATGATTAATAAGTTATGACAACATATCTTTTTACATTGCTTTAACAAAATAAGAGAAGCAATTTTCAACTTTTTTAATAAGTTATACAGGAAAATGACTCAAACATCTAAGTTGGTTGTACTTACATTATTTAAGGCAAATTTTTTTACAGTGAAAACTCCAATAGTTTACATTCATTATGTTTTTTGTCCATTTCAAGGTGATATAAACAGGAAACAATACCTTGTTTCCTCTTTGAGGGCCATTAGATGCAATCCATCACATGCACATACTCATAGACCTACTGTTCGATTTGCATCCAATTTTAGTCTGTCCAGAATAGAGAAATAGCATTATGTTCTCATTACAAATCAATGGTCAACTTGTCTGCTGCCTAAAAAGGTTTTGCTGTGTACAGTCAAACAAAAAATGATTCAGACACCAGATATAATTTTTTTATATTTTTTTAATAGTGGGTGCAGGACACTATAGTTCATTTATGTAAGTGAGATTAGCAAAATAAGGTAAACTGAGACATATTATACCAGTAAAATGTATAAACATTTGGGACCAAAAATGATTTCGACACTTTGACCTGACCATGGTTTTTTTTTCTTAAATTGCTAATGCGACCTTTTTACACCACAGACTGAACAAAATTAAGCATTCAGACAGTCTAACAGAAGGATGGCCAAAACCAGTGAAATATCAACTGATTTGATAACTCTGAGTTCTTATTTTATTACCATTTTCTAAACTATAGCGAATAAATGTGATCATGTGAGAAATGTTAAAGGTGTCTGAATAAATTTTGGTTTGACTGTGCTCAACTCAACATAATTTAACCCAACAGGAATAAAATGTGTAAATGCAGCTGCCTCTAATGTGCACATTATCAGAGCCCTTGTCTTGCATTCTGTCGTCATCCATGCACAATATGATCAATGAAGCCTAAATGGCTTGTTGAGATGCACAATGAATGGCAGATAAACAGTTTTCATGAGCTACAAGGACATTTAACAAGTATTGCAATGAACAAAGCATATTTATATCAAAGCAACCTATGGAGACGTAAAAGTATAAGTGGCAAACAAACAATTAAGCATAAATGTTTTATCAGATTTGCATGTGAATTAATCCCACATCTAATAATCTGCTTTCTGATCACATTCACTCTATTTCATCCCCTGCACCTCTCTTTCTAATGCATCTCTGTGCTCAATAAATGAGTTGGTGGGGTAATCACATATGGTTCCCCTGAGATCCATCATTTACTGCATATGCCAAGGTTTAATGCTGTCCCTAATTGAATTACTTTCTGTTTTGAATGGCAGGCACTACTGATCGGCTTATGTTTAGTATTCTGCACAAAGATTTATGCAAAACAATACAGTATAGCTTTATCTCAGCTGGTCATTCAGTTTGTTTTTATTGGGACCAAATGACTGCAAGTTGAATTTATTTTCCTTTAATATTTTAAATATCTTAGTTAAATATTTTTAAATATCTTAGTGGAAATCATGATCCTAAAGCGTTCTTCTTTGAGTAATGCATGGGATCTTATCTTCATAAACCAGTCAATCAAGACTTTTGTGTAACAATGTTTTTCAAATACATTTTTGTTGACATTTGTGACTGATATCAGTTTGACAGAGCATGACCTTTGAATTAGTATTATTTTATTTATTTATGATTATTATTATTGACAGAAATCATGATTTGCTTTGATATGCCTTTGGGAGAGGGTGATGTTATGATAAGAAGTGACAATATGCTTATGCATTTGCATGCATTTTAGCCTGAAGCAGAATATGAATAGATGAATCTATCTATCTATCCATCCATCCATCCATCCATCCATCCATATATTAAATCAAAATTATTATTACAATTTGTCTTTATCATTTATCATTATCTAATGTGTATATATCTGGATGCATATATTAAAGCAAAATTATTAACTTTTTTCTTTATCATATACAGTATTATACACATGCATGTATTGATGCAAAATATCATTATTAACTTTTTTTTCTTTTAAAGTAGAAACTAAGTAGGTGAACTAAGCAGCTGTACATTATACTGATGTCATTTCCTCTTCATCAAGTCTTCTATATAAGGCGGCATCGCTGCGGTTGTGATTAGTGACACTGAGGCATTGTGATCTGTGGATCCGGCGAAACAAATAAGAGCAGACGCCTCATGCGCATAATGCATCCATAAATCAGCGAGTGTTTTCATTCACTCTGAGGAAAGGAAAGTAGCCTACTAACGTTCATTCGCTTTCCTCTGGCACGACGGTTCCGAACGGTTGCCTGCGCTTCACATTAAGAAAATGATCGCACGAGGATGCGCTGGTCTCGTGGTGCTGGTGAATTTTGGTAAGTGTGCAAGATGTGCAAATGATCACCGTAACGTATTAAGTTGTTGTGGGAATACTTAGTGTTATTTTGGATGATGTGTTGTTGATTCTGTACATTTTTTAAATGCGAGCTGTTCCATGGCTCTGTCAGCACCAAGGACAGCGGATAACACTAGCAAGGAACGCAAATTAGCTTTTGACATTTGTACGCGTTTGTGGTTTATAATGTTCCATTGCATGTTAACGTTTGCATAAGGCCAGCTAAATTAATCGGACCAATACAGCGCAGTCAGTTTTAATAACCGATTGTCTGAGTAAATGTCGCAGGTCCGCTCTGGTTGTTTTAAGACATATAAAACATAGAGCAAACATAATAATGTGTCCATTAACGCGCTTCGAGTCTTCGTTCTATATTTTTAACGGTTTCCCCTCAGATTACACGAAGCGCGTGAAAGTTTCTGCGACTGTACAAAGAACATGAATATTTAATGAGATAAGCATCGAAGCAGTTTATGATTGGTTGTCTGTTGCTAAACGACTCGCCGTAAGAGTTGCTTAACCCAAAGTTTAAAGCTGACTTTTTAAAAGACGTCAAGTCAACCCAGGGTTAATTCTATGCTAATTTGGTTATATCATATTTTGCCATATTTTGTTGATCAAAACATTCTCTCTACTTCCAGTCTTCTCGGTGCCTGTCTCCCCAGGTCACATGGATGATAAGGATGTGAAGGTACGTTTTAGGTAGTATTATTTGAATGTGTGTTTTGAGCAGCCTTTTGAGAAACAGGAGCATAAGGATGCACAGAATGGCAGCAGCAATAGTCCATGTTGTCAGGAAGTGTGGAGGAAAGCAGCATAAGTGAGACAGTGACTCAACAACACGACTTCAGCCTAGTGACAGCTGGTGCCATGTGTGCTTACTCAGAGGAGGCTGCAACTACAGATGACTGCAAACTGTGCTTTGATCAACTGAATTAAAACTTAAATGAATGTTGGGTTGCATTCATTTAACTTATATGAGATTATCAGATGCCCCTTTCTTGTCCTTGCCAATGAAAAACACCTTAAGAGAGGGTCTGTTTTAATATTGGTCAATCTGCACAAATCTGAGATTTTGGGGAAAACGACATCACCAATGTCAAGTTGCAAACAGATGCTGTTCTCCTCAGTAAAATGATAACGCCATTTCAGCAACACTTTGGTCTTACTGAGGGAGGCTGTTTTTCCCTGACAGCAGAGAAATGTTTGACTTTGGGGGAATGTGCAGCCAAACAAATCGGATAGACAAGTGTGTGTGTGTGTGTTGGAAATGAAAGCACTGAGGAGGAAATGACATTGATTGAAAGTGTAATGTAAGACAGTAAGGATGGTTAGATATGAAAGGCCTTGAGATATTATTGGCAGCTGCTGCTACAGTACTGTGTGTCCTCTGTCACATTGATCTCATGAATGTGTGTAGAGTCCATACACACTCCCATTCAAAAACGACAGGAAAGACTTTAACATTGTTACAAAAAATTCTGTTTCACTTATAAGCTGTTCTTTTGATCAAAGAATCACTACAGAAATATCCTCTGTCACATTGATCTCATGAATGTCTATAGAATGTATCATATGACATAATAGCTTAAAAATGTCGTGCTGTTCCCTATCCCAACCTTTCTTTGTCTTTATATAGGTGATGAAATGTATTGTGGAAGTAATTGCGGATACTCTGTCCAAGCCTCATCCCATCCCAGCGTCCCAGGACTGCCTTGACATTCTCGGCTCTGGTGAGTGCCTGCAATAGTGACACCTGGACTACTACTATTTCCATATATTTAGCTGCACTTGGGTGCACCTCTTCCCTCTGCAGTAACCTTCCCAATATGATAAATATATGCTGTCATTGCTGCTGTGACTGCACGTTTCCTCAAGTTAATGGAGCAAAGTAATTAAAGACTTTTGCAGTCATAGTGTGAAGCTTTGCCGTGCACTGTCCAGTCACATTGCATGGTCTTTTTCTTTGATACTTTAATAGTTGAAAAATCAATCATTCTATTCACAAGCCAGGTATTGTTACTGAGGTAACGCTTACAACAGTGAAATCAAACACTCTGTGAGAGGCTTACACAATGAGTCTAGGACAAAGAAACAGTGAAGGACAGAGATTGACTGAACGAGAGAGAGGAGGACAAATAAGTGGAGAATTTCATAAAAACACTGTAAAATCTTTTGTATTTTTAACAGAAACAATGTAAAACATACTAAAAACATAGTTAATTGTAATTTACCGTACCAAATACATTCTACAAAAAATGTATGTATTGCTTTTAGAGGTAAAAAATTATAATGATATTATGTGAGTATATACTGTAATTCATCTTATAATTCAAAACATTATAATTTGTTGAATTGTATATTTTACAAGTACACAATTTATTGCAAATTATAATTTCTAATTTGTAAAAAATTATATAAGAATAAAATATGATTCACTTTATTGTTCATCGAAAAGGGGGCATTCCCAAGATTTCCTGCTTAAAGCCACCTGTTTTATTATTAATATCGTAACAAATAGAAATAGTTCAAATAAGTTAGTGGATTCAAATTGTATTATTTAAAGGGGTCATATAATGGTACATGCACTTTTACAAGTTGATTGTACTGAAATGTGTGTTGGCAGTGCCTATACACAACCATCATATAATGATAAAAATCCATCCAGTGTTTTTTTTTTTTAAATCTCCTTATATGTTTTCCCGTCTCAAATCAAGCCGTCTGACGTCACATGGTCGGACGCCCCTCCCACGATTGTTGATTGACAGCAGCGTTTCAACACAGACCCGCCCTGAGCGAGCTGTCATCATAGTCCGTCATTGTTGATACGCTGGAGCAGAATGGCGTCTAAGCGATTGTGGTGTTCTGTTCTTGGGTGTAATAACGAACACAGCAGTCATTTTGATGTTCCTAAATCCGAACCGCTGAAGACACAGTGGCTGAGTTTTGTTTTCGAAGGGAATATTCCCCACGATCAACGTCAATGCCTTCATGTTTGCGCGAATCATTTCTCAGCAGACTGCTTTATAAACGAGGATCAGTATAAAGCTGGTTTTGCTAAGAAGCTGCTCCTGAAAAAAGAATCGGTACCAACTATTCGTGTTCCTGCTGCACCTCCAGAGGAAGTGTGTGTAAAGTTTTATTAACCTTTATATTAATTTTTGCAAATCATGAAAAAAAAGTTTTTCATGAACATTAGCTGTAACAACAATCTGTCAGTGAACTAACGTAACGTTATACATCAGTAAACACACAGCGTTCGTATCTCACTACTCTATCTTGCCAGTACATACAAAGATAGATCAAAGTGACATTATGTTACCCACCATTCAGAAACGTCCTGTTTGAGCCTTAAATGTCGATCTTGTTCTGGGTCCGACTCCGGTTCAAATTGATACGGTTGCACAGATGTGTCCTCAGAGACTCCCGCTGCCATTCTTTCTCCAAAATATACCCTCAACTGTTGTCAAGGCAACACTCCACGTGTGTTGTGTCAAAACGCCCCACAGAACAGAGGGGCTGGTGACTGAAGCTCATTATCATTTAAAGACACATGCACTTAAATGGCATGCTGAAAACAGAGCTGTTTTTGACCAGGTAAAATTAGTGTTTTCTTACAATACTAATGAGAATTTTTAATTAAAGTATATTACAAACTTTTCATTAAGACCCTAAAGAATCATAACTGTAAAAATATACAGACACCAACATGCCATTCCCTAATGCTTGTCCATTTTACGTCAACTCTGTAATTTTTTACAGTAATATTCTGTCAACTACAGCTGCTAGTTTTCTACCTTAACTTTAACAGATTGTGAATAAGCCTGGCAGAGAAATAAGACAAGAGACATTTTGAGAGGGAAAGTATGGAGAAGAGTGAATAGCATTGCCACGAAGGGAGCAGCCGACTCTGCATGCTCTCTTTGTCGGTCAGCAGAAAGGGAAAAGCTTGACTCAACGTTAATTCAACGAAAATCTCTCCTCTCTCCCTCTTTATTGCTTTCACTTTCTGTCTCAGCAGGCCTGATGATTAATAGTGCTGCTCAGACAAGGCAGTACATTTCAGGGCAATTAACGCAAATAATGTAAAAATAAAGTAAAGTGCTGACTGCTAAAAAGTAGGAGCTGTGTGTGAGGAGTTCTGTGTATTTTGCAGATGACAGGCTTGTGAGCATCCTGCGCCACCAAAACTTTCTCAGAGAGATGCAAGATATCGCTGTGGAGGGTAAGAGGCAGATGCTCCAGTTTTTGATTGGGACAGCATGAACCAACTCTGTTTCCTATAGAGAAATGCTAATGGCAGCAGAATGACAGTCGGGTGCTAATGGCTTTTTTGGCAGCATTAGGTCATTTGAAATGTAGAGTGTTGAATTGTATAACACTGCTGAAGAACTCTAAAAGAGAATTCATAGATTCTGTTTTATTGCCAAGAAACTTGCTATGTCTACTTGTGACCGTGTCTCCACCAAACTGCTTCTCAGGAGCCAGTGAGAGAGCACAGAGACACCCAGGAGACACACCTAATCATGTGACCAGCCTCCCGAAAGACATGAAGAAAACTGCAGGTGAGATGAATCCACTTCTTAATTGCCATGATACATGACTCTATACAAGTCTGTTACATCTTTTTTTCTTTACATTGTTTTTACATTTCCAGAAAAGTTAGAACATTTTGTAAAAAGCAATCAATTCAATAATCTGTGATTTAAAATTTAAAAAAAAAATCTCTCGAACCTTTGTTTAACTGACAAAAGTACAAAAAACAAAAAAATTGTTTGTAAAAAGGGGCGTGGCCTATCCTGGTTAGCCCGGATGTTACCATGTGAATATTTAACTTGAATTTGAGATCTGAATTTGAGCAATCCAACTTTGATCAATCTGAATCTATTTTATCTGAAATTCTGTAAGTTTATTTTTTTTTGTGAGCATTGAAAAATATTCATCGAATTTCAGGTTTTTAAAATGAAAAAAAAAAGAATTTTCATAGGCCTGTTTAAATTTCAGAGGTAAATTCGAAACAAATAAATTCAGATATGTGGTTTCCAAAGTAAAATAATTTCAAAGGGGTGAATTCAGAGCAAATAAATTCAGATAAATGTTTTTCAAAATAAAATATTTCAAAACTAAGTATTCAGTGGCTGTTAAATTTTAAATAGTTATGTCTCTTATTTGCTTCCATATGTAGCCGCATACTGTATTAATTGACAACGGTTTTCCAAAGAACTCCCGAGTCCATGTGGCTATATTTAACACAGTAGGATGATGGTTTCTCATGCAGTGCCATCTGAGGGCTTAAAGGTCACACCTTGCCCTAGATTCTATCAAAGAAAACAGTCACGTGAAAATGCTACTTTCATTTTGCATTGCTTTTCACATTTCAATGGACAGAAGACAGTCATCCAGTGCTCTTGAAGCATATTTTAGTGTGAACCGCGGTGTCCTGCTCTATAGTGCTGCACTTAGCAGAATCAGGGCAGAGGGCAGGCTATAGCCTAACGCTAATAAGCCTTATGCCAAAATTATTATTACAACTAAATTGTGGTCATTAAATAGGAAAACTAAATAATTTTGTAGATGATTGCTTCAAGTGTAACCCGACATCAGACATTAAGGCCCGGCCGAAGTATTTTTTTGCACACAGTGACGCTACCAATCAATCACTCCTTTAATGCTGCGTTCACACAAGACGCGAATAGCGCTTCAAATTCGCGCCTACCGCGTATAGTTATATATATACGAATCCATTCGCGTTTAGAGCGTTTAGACTGAGCATCCTCCAAGAGCGTTTAGACTGGCTGCCTGCACATTCACTGTCCTCGCGGCTGCTGCAGCTTGAGGGGGCTGCTGCAGGACGACTCAACTTCCACGGACAATTTTAATGTTTTATCAAGATTTTGCTTTAGTATAATTTTCGGGACAATTAAGGCCGGTTTCGGGATTCGGGACAACAGCTTAGATTTCGGGACTGTCCCGAATTTTTCGGGACTTCTGGTCACCCTATGCCCACCCCCATGGACTTTTGAATTGGATATGTCAGCATTGAAGTCTGTGGGCACAAGTATGTGGAGGCTAATATCATTCTGTATTCTGTGTCAGAATTAAGTAAACACTGATTGTGTTTTAATATATGCCTTAATTTGTGAGTGGGTTGTCAGTGTACTTTGTTGTTCACCTCATTTGACCTCATTCAAAAGAGCTGACCTTGAATATTCTGTCATCTAGGGCTGCACGATGTATCGAAAAATTATCGTCATCGCGATAATAGCATAACTTATGCGATATCCGTATTGCAGAGAGGTGCGATAAATAACTTTATTTAATTTCAGACATCCCAAGTCTCCCGGAAGTTCCGGGAGTCTCCCGCATATTGATAGCGGCTCCCTGATGCCCGCAAATTAGTTAAAATCTCCCGGAATCTAGAGCGAGCGAACAAGAGCGCACATGCGAGACAGAACACGTATACTGTGCTCCAACCGTGTCGTGTAGCGCGCGCACGGCAGTGAGGGAGAGAGCGAGAGACCTTGCGTGTGTGTGCCTCATAAGACAGAGAACATCCTGAACGTCCATGGCCTGTACGTCTGAAATATGGCAATATTTTGGCTTCAATAGAGAAGAAGTGTCACAAATGATGTGAACGGCCCCTTACTGTGTAAGGGGCCGTTCACATATCGCGTCAAAAAACGCCTGGAAAGTGCGGCCGCGCCGCTCTCCTTCTTTCCACAAGCGCTTGCGTCTGTCGTTGCTATGCAACCATGAACTGCGCTCAAGGCTTTCCATGATGACGAGGAAGTATCAGCGAAGGATTCGTTGATTTCTAGCCCTTGTATTAGCTTTACTTCTAGATATATTTATGGAGATGAGAAATAAAACCCCGCCCTGTACAGCTATGATCAGCTGTTTGGGCCGAGCTTTCGATGTTGTTACGGAAAAGCCGAAGCTGATTGTTGGTTTTTGTCTCATGACCTGCGGTGAGCTTGCGGCATTCTGAAAAGTTGAGATGTTCTCATCTCATTGCGGCATGGGCGGGCATGGACAAATGTGCTTCCATTTTGAGCGTGCTTTGCCGCGCGCCTGCATTTGAAATAATGAATTTGCATGCGCAAAAAACGCGATATGTGAACATAAGTGACGGTGTCAATAAGTCGTGCGGAAAAATTGTGGCTACGTCGAGAGGAAACTAATCTTCAGTCATCTCATCTGAAACGGACCCTCAGGGCTATGAAGTCTTCAAAAAGTGTAAGCCCACATCTACCAAAACTGCGAACGAAATGCCACGTAACAATAACAGAGTCTCAAAGACAACCATTATTAAAAGTTTTGCAAGTGTAACTCCTTCTGAAAAAAAAACTGAGATATTCTTCTGAAGATTAGAAGAATATATTTTAGCCTACCTGTTTATTTTAGTCTGATCATTACATATAAATGATTTTTTTTAAAAGCTTAATAAAAATAGCATTTCTCTAGGGAAATTTTATATCGCAAGAAATATCGTTATCGCGATACTCAACAACATCGCATTTCGCATATTTTCCCAGTATCGTGCAGCCCTAGTGTCATCCATTTCTATGTTCTGCATGTATTGCAAATACACTTTCATCTAGTCATCCCACTCGGTTCATACGTCAGTCTCCTTATTCGGGGAGGTAAGCAGTCAGTGTTAACATGTTTTTCTTTGGTTAACAACACACCATCCATCCATCCATCCATCCATCCATGAAACAGGAACAAAAAAATATTTATTCTGACTAAATTGATACACAAATGTGCTCTTAACCTCAACATAACATTTTACCATTATACAGACGACCAGTCAATGTTGGTTGGCTTGGAGAAACCAAAGGAATTTGCAGAGAAGAGAGTAGCAGGAGAGGAGAGCTCCCAGGACAGTGAGGAGACAGAGCAGGAGTCTAAAAAACAGAACCATATTGCTGAGGAAGAGGAGCGTGAAGAAGACGAGAGTCCTAGCAATCACATCTCCAACTCTATAAACCCAGAGAAGAAAAGAGAGTCACAGGAGGAGGCGGCAATAAGGGATGAGGAGAAACAGGAGGAGAAGAAACTCTCCAGCTTGGAAAAGGAAGAGGAAAATTATCCGCCTCACCATAAAGAGGGTAATGATGAATGTGATATGTGGGATGCCATATGTGCTACTTTCTGAGTTTATATTTGTGTTTAGAACAGCATTCATTATGATATGATATCGCAAGCAGCAATCTTACTGTAGATTAGCTGCAAGGACACATTATAGACTGTCCCAACATGGCCAGTGCTCTGGGGCTTCTCAAATTCAGGGCCCTCCTGCTGAGAAGCTTGTGGTGGCTCAATACCTGGAAACAAGCCACTGCAGATGTACAAATGATAGATGAACAGTGCTTGAATGTGTGCCATCAATCCTGCCACAATGTAAAATACAAAAAAAAAGAGAGAAGTGTCATCTGTTCCAGGCTCCTACACAGCACCAATAGAATACTCTGATGCTCTATACTACTAAATTTCCCAATTAAATGTCTATTCACACTCTTAATTCAAATTTGATTTCGGATTCTGATTTGATTCAAATAGATTCTGATTCATTTAGGGGTATTTCAGCTATGCCTGCCCACTTTGCTTGTATATATATTTTTTTTATCTCTGTTAATGCTGTAAACAACAGAGGGTTTCAGACTGTTTTAAACCAGTAACTGATCTTCTTGAAATACTCATTAAAAGAACTGACTCATACGCTCTATTAAATACACCTGCCACTCGACCTGCCACTCCACTAGGGGCACCTGCCACTTGACCCGTCACCATTATATACACCTGCCACTCGACCTGCCACTCAACCTGTCACCATTATATATATCTGCCACTCAACCCGTCACCATATACACCTGCCACTTGACCCGTCACTCAACTCGTCACCATTATATACACCTGCCACTCGACCTGCCACTCTACTAGGGGTAGCTGGCACACCCTGCCACACCACTAGGGTCACCACTAGGGGCAGCTGCCACTCGACCCGTCACTCAACCCGCCACCGTTATATACGCCTGCCACTCGACCTGCCACTCAACCTGTCACCATTATATAGACCTGCCACTTGACCCGTCACTCAACCCGTCACCATTATATACACCTCCCACTTGACCCGTCACTCAACCCGTCACCATTATATTCACCTGCCACTCGACCTGCCACTCCACTAGGGGCAGCTGCCACTTGTCCCCCGTCACCATTATATACACATGCCACTCGACCTGCCACTCAACCCGTCACCATTATATACACCTGCCACTTGACCCGTCACTCAACCCGCCACCGTTATATATACGCCTGCCACTCGACCTGCCACTCAACCTGTCACCATTATATAGACCTGCCACTTGACCCGTCACTCAACCCGTCACCATTATATTCACCTGCACCTCCACTAGGGGCAGCTGCTACACCTCCAGGGTCACCACTAGGGGCAGCTGCCACTAGACCCGACCTGTCACTCCACTAGGGGCAGCTGGCACACCCTGCCACTCCACTAGGGGCAGCTGCCACTTGACCTGTGGCCCGTCACTCAACCCGTCACCATTATATACACCAGCCACTCGACCTGCAACTCAACCCGTCACCATTATATACACCTGCCACTCGACCTGCAACTCAACCCGTCACCATTATATACACCTGCCACTCGACCTGCCACTCCACTAGGGGTAGCTGCCACTTTAACCGTCACTCAACCCGTCACCATTACATACATCTGCCACTCGACCTGCCACTCCACTAGGGGCAGCTGCCACTTGACCTGTCACTCAACCCGTCACCATTATATACAACTGCCACTCGACCTGCCACTCCACTGGGGGCAGCTGCCACTCAACCCGTCACTCAACCCGTCACTCAACCCGTCACCATTATATACACCTGCCACTTGACCTGTCACTCCACTAGGGGCAGCTGCCACTTGACCCGTCACTCAACCCGTCACCATTATATACACCTGCCACTCGACCCGTCACTCAACCCGTCACCATTATATACACCTGCCACTCGACCTGCCACTCCACTAGGGGTAGCTGCCACACAACTAGGGTCACCACTAGGGGCAGCTGCCACTCGACCCGTCACTCAACCCGTCACCATTATATACACCTGCCACTTGACCTGTCACTCCACTAGGGGCAGCTGCCACTTGACCCGTCACTCAACCCGTCAACATTATATACACCTGCCACTCGACCTGCCACTCCACTAGGGGTAGCTGCCACACAACTAGGGTCACCACTAGGGGCAGCTGCCACTGGACCTGCCACTCCACTAGGGGCAGCTGCCACTTGACCCGTCACTCAACCCGTCACCATTATATACACCTGCCACTCGACCTGCCACTCCACTAGTCTCCACAGACCCTCTTTCTACTCAAACTCGACAAGCACTTTAGGGACAACCTCCTGTGGCTTACACAGTGCTGCTATCCTACATCGTGGCATGAGTTTTACAGCTCTCTCACTAGAATTTTACACTCTGACTGGGACTTTACCATCAGCTGCCTTGGCGAGCACATTAGCAATTAAAACACTCTTGGGTAAGCTAACTTCTGAGGAGGCCTCAACCAACACTTCGCAGATTACTTTCGGTGGTATTCTACAGCAACCTTCCAAGACACACTCACTGAATGGAGGTATAGTGATTGCTTGCTTCCCAGCAACTTTCACAAAACCAATCTGATCTCCACAGCTCAAAGCCTCAGTCTGCATCTGAATGTTAGCCAACGTTCGCTGAACTTTTGCCTCCCCGACACCATGGCTATACCGGTCCATCTTTCTCATACCTCCAGTGGCCATGCATAGATCTTTGAGGTCACTCAACACATTCATCCCAACAATGCCGGGTAATCCTTTCAACTCAATTCCATTGGGGTTGTTCTCTCTGATCACAATCACACACTTTACATGCAACTTCTTCCCCATACATTCAATGTCTGCTTCCAGACATCCTATAATTTGTCCTGTGTGTTCATCACCTGCCACATTAAGGCACATTTTGACAGGATGTAAGGTGGCTCTTAGCCAAGGTCGGTTTACTTGGCGCCATGACCAAGTACTGCGATGTTTGGCTTTAGCATTGGAAGGCAAGCGCAACATGAACAATAAGTTGCCACCTGTTCTAGCAAAATATTACACACAGAAGACAATTTCCTCCGCCCAGGCGAGCAACCACCAAGAAACAACTGGACAACTGGAAGCTGCTAGGGACTGGAAAATGCTGGCTGATCTTGATCAACGCTTATTTTTCCACCTGAGATTGCCACCACTAACCTCCGACCAGATATTGTTTTGTGGTCTGGATCAGCACGCATTGTTCAACTGATAGAGTTAACAGTGCCATGGGAGGATGCTGTAGATGAGGCATATGAGAGGAAGAAACTGCGGAATGCTCATCTGGCCACTGAAGCAGAACAGCGGGGATGGAGAGTCCAGGTTTATCCAGTGGAAGTAGGTTGTCGAGGATTTGTGGCACACTCTACAACCCGGTTCCTCAGAGACGTCGGATTCCGTGGCCAAGAGTTGCGTCACACAGTAAAGAACTTATCTGAAGCAGCAGAGAGGAGCAGCAACTGGCTGTGGTTGAGACGGAAAGATTCTGGCTGGCTGTGTACAGGCCGCCACGCTACGGTTTCGTAGAATTCTTGAAAAACTCGAAGAGTCTGTTGGTTTATTTGTATGGTTTGCATAGTAATTACAGTCATTACGTTCCTGTGTATATTGCGTGAATGAGGGTTGGTGTTTGGACAGATATTGTGTTTTGCGGTAGGTAGTATGCCATACGGAACCGTTGCCACTGAAACTACTTTAACGAAGACAGTGGGGCTCGACAGCCTTAGTCAAACGGGTTGGCGCGTATGGTTCGGTTGCAAGATTGTGAGATTGCGGTTAGGTCACACGTGAACTACGAGGAAGGAGCAACCTCAGTAGCAGGAGGGATATAAAGGTCAGTAAGCTGGGCTGAGTTGAGTGGGGGACAGAGGGGGGTGACTCTGGGACGCCAGAGTCACTGTCGAGCCCTCTTGAGGTGTCGTGGGCTAGTCGACGAAACACTGAGGACGGAAGGTGCCCACTTGAAGACCCTAGAGATGTCCCCTACTCGGCTCAATCCAGACAGTTGTCGTTCTGGTCCACTGGGGAGACCACACTGTAGTTGCAGCCGTTGTGTGTACTGACGCGCCAAGAATACTGCAGCCGTTAACGCCGGACAGAAGGAGATTCACATCACCATATGGAAAGAAGCATAAATGGATGGAGAGATGGAGAGAGAGAAGCATGGGTTACTGTAAAGCTACGTCTTAGTTTGTGCTTATCTTGGCGAAAGCCGAGTACAAATCAGCATGAGGTTTAACATCTACTCTTGTGTAATGGAAATCATAATGGGAATGTCTAGGCCATTCGGCGCTGTGAGTCGGACCCAATTGACAGATGACCCAATGACGTCATACACATCGTACGACCAGAGATACTGCTTAAAGAGCATATTGCAGGTAAAAAAAAAAATCAAAATTAATATATAACCTTGTATGAAAATACCATATGAAAAGTTAATGCAAGATTTAAAATGTTTTAAAACGACATAAGGGCACCAATTTAGTGGATAAAGTGAGCGTTTCTTTGACTGCTCGTAAAAAACGCTTTTTTTTTGTTCAACATCGCGTCATTTTACGTCAAGAAAGGGAGCCTCAGCTCAGTGCAGCAGAGTAGGTTGGTATTCAGTGAGAACGGTCGTGAGTCAGTGTGTTTTCGGTAGTTTTTGTATTTTAATTTATCATCATCATGGTAAATTATTATGTTTGTGGAGGTTGCAAAAACTCCGACCTGTCAGGACTCAGGACATCGAGTCCACAGGTTTTCTAGCAAGAAAAAGGACGGCTATCTTTCGTGCCTGGGTGTGGTTTGTGCAGGTGAAGAGACGGGATTTCTCTTCCGCATCGGCTTCGAAAAACGCGGCCGTGTGTAGCGTTCACTTCAGATCGGAGGATTATCATCCCGGCGATATGATGGAGTTTAACATGGGATGCCGAAGCAAGGACCTGGGGGGTGACATTTTCCACTAAGGCCCAGTATGCATCAACCTCCCTGCAGCACTGACTTTCCTCGTCTGTGAACATTGCCTCGCATTTCCCACACAAGCACGTATGGAATGATAAAGTGTATCAGGAATACAAATATCTCTCTGTCTCTCGGTGAGAATTAATGAGCATGACATACGCCTGATCAAAGCTTATTAGTTTCTGTTATTGGTAAGTTCCAATACACCTAGATGACCAATAATAGCTTTGCTATTAACTGATATACGATGGTAATAATCTGTACAATATTGTGAGCACAGTGTATATCATTAGCGAACATATATCTATAAACTAACACTGGTTTCTCACCAAGACACCTGCCCTGTTCTCCACTGACCCTTGTTCTGTCTAACATGAATCCTGGCCTGTCCCTACTCTCTTGGCAGCATAGCAGGCTCATAATTGTATGGCTGTGGTCCGTCATAAGACTATGAACAATTTCCTCAGCATCCGAAATGTCATTGCGATCCATTGTTTTCCTGTTGTTTGAATCGACCGCTCTCCCATTTTCAGATGCGGAAGTAAAATTCTCACAAAAACGACTCCAGAAGCCTCTGTAGCGTATTTATAAGTACATTTTAAAGGGTTAGTTCACCCAAAAATGAAAATTCTGTCAGTAATTTCTCACCCTCATGTTGTTCCAAGACTTTCGTTCATCTTCGGAACACAAATTAAGATATTTTTGATTAAATCTGATTAAGGCTTCTTAAGGGATCGAAACTGGCCGGCCCAAAAGTTATGAAAGACATCGTTAAAATAGTCCGAGTGACTACAGTGGCTCAATCTTAAGTTTATCAAGCGACGAGAATACTTTTTGTGCGCAAAAAACAAACAAAAATAACGACTTTATTCAACTATTCATTTCCTTCTCTGTGGGCCTCGAGATTTCACGTAGTGAAACTCGTCGTTTATTTATAAAAGTCACGGGCAGAGGTTGAAAAACAGCTCCTGAATGTTTCTGTTTTCGCGCAATTTATTTTCTTTACAAAGATTTAAATATAAAGTTCCCACCTCAATAAAAAGCTGTGAGCGAGCGCATACAGGCACGTCTCCCTCATAATACAACATTAAAAAGCTATCTTTGTGAATAAACGTGTCGTCCTCGCCTTGTTGTGGATTGGAATTCAAAAGGGAATTGGATATGCGTGTTTAGACGTAGGTCGGATGTCCAGATATCGGATATGTATCTGAAACCACATTTGGAAGTGGCTCAGATTGGATGCGAAAAAATCGGATCCCGTGCGGATTTTTGTGTTTACACGTGTTTACAACAAATTCCGATCTGTGTCATATGTAAGTAAAATATCACATTTTTTGTGCCAGTGTAAACGCCTTTAAATCCCACATTTGCAACATTGATGACCTCAAATGACCATAATCCATCCATGATCAGTACAGCTTTAAGCCCAGCAGACTGAACAAATAGCCATAGTGCTCCTGCTAATGATACTGTATATTCGATCAATAGCAACATAATCTTTACTCTGAAAAGTGTGAGTACGGGGATGTCCGGGGAGTATTCATATAACAGGCACAACTCATTTTGCTGAAGAGGTTCGGAATAACAGCAGGAGATCGTGTCTACGACAGGACGAGGTTAAAAAAAGTCAGTAGGGAGGGATGGTAAATGAAGATTGATGGGGGAATTTAGCCGTGCTCCATGAACAGGCCAGTGTGACAGTGCCTCCATCTATGAAATGAAATCCACGCTGTGCTGTGGTTCGCTGAATTGATTCAATAATTGATGTTGGAGGCTGCCCAGATCAGTCAGCTGCCTGCAGCTTGTTAAATGTGGCCCACAGATCTCAGAGGAACTTGGTGAAAAATGCCAGACATTTTGGGTGACTTTACTTTAGTGTATTTGTTAATAGAAACAATAATTTGGGAATCTGTGTAATACAGATAAAATGGCAGAACGAGAGTTTATTTTTCAGGATAAGAGGAATCAAGCAGTGAGTATTGAGTTGGCAAGTGAGAGCTTTTCATTTAGAAGAGTGCTGCTTTTGCTGAAGCTGCACTAAAGTAAATGTGTGTGTGTGTGTGTGTGTGTGTAGAATAATAAGAGAGAAAAGAGTGAGATAAAGAGAGATAGAGAAGATATAGTATAATAATCAGAATTTTGCTCTCTTTTATCTGAAGGGGAAACAGCCACAGATAATCTCGAAGCAAATCCTGATGTTAAACAATCCATCATGGAGGACAGAGAGGAGCACAAGGAAGCTGAAACAGAGAGAACACATTCAAAAGAAGAGGAGGAGAAGAAGAGCGAGGTTGGAGTAAAGCGTCGCGTGAGCAAACTGTCCCACAAGAGAGTGGAGACCAGCCCAAAACTGGATGAACACTGGGAAGTGCCACACCACTCTAAGGAGAGTGAAGATTTGTGGAGGAGCCCAGAGGAGCAGGAGCTGCAGCTCATGGCACGAACTGAACCACAGGACAAAAGAGATGAAGAGGGCAGCGGCAGCAGGAAGACAGGGGTATGACACCTAGTTGACACATTTTCTTAAAGGATCAAATCCCCAAAGTTCTTTTTTTCTTTCTTTTTTCTGTGCAACACAAAAGTAGAGTTTACCCTTTCAATAAATCCATGGTTCATAGTGACAATGTTGGTCAAACTCCAAAAAGGGTAAAAACATAAAAACCATCTTAACGTATCAAAATAGTACATACAAATCATATTTCAAATCACTTAAAGTAAACCGATATTATAATACACAGCGTATTTGTACTGTTTGTCTGAACAAAAAACAAAAGCAAAAATACATATGTAATAATACTAATATGTAAAACCACATGTTTTAAATGCTTAGGCATCACAAATATGATATATACTGTATATCACACTGTGTAGAATTAAATCTCTAATATTGTCAGGTTTTTGGGGAACTATTCCTAGTTGCTCTGCAAATAGGGTCAGAAAGTTGTTGTTTTTTGGAAGAAATGAATCCTTTTATTCAGCATGGATGCATTCAATTCATTAAAAGCCTGTCGCTTTTAATGAATTGAATGCATCCATGCTGAATAAAAGCACGGATGTCAACTTCAAAAAGAAATTGACAATGTTACAATCAAGATTTTGATTGCAAATAAATGTTGTTCTTTTGAACTTAAGCAGCACAACTTAACATTGATAATAATAAGGAATGTTTCCTGAGATCCAAATCAGCATATTAAAATGATTTCTGAAGGATCATGAAGACTAGAGTAATGATGCTGAAAATACAGCTTTCCCTCCACAGGAATAAATCTCATTTTAAAATATATTAAAACAGAAAACAGTTATTGTAAATTGTAATAATATTTCACAATATTACTGTTTTTTTTTAAATCAAATAAATGCAGCTTTGGTGAGTATAAGAGTCTTTTGAACGATAGTGTATGAATATAAATGTTCATAAACCCTTTTAAAATTCACCAATGGCCTGATTTGTCTCTCCTATGTCATCAGGATGCGGAGATCGAGAGTCTGGCTGCCATCGAGTCTGAACTAGAAAGTGTGGCTCAGAAACTTCATGATCTGAGACGAGTCTGAGCCGCTCCAGCTCTCCTTCTCTTTCCACTCTGCCCTTCATCTCTACTTCAGTAGAAAGGCATGTTAACATGAGATTTTTGCTTTTCGCTCAGTCCACAGCAGCGTAAGCTCTTATCTCAGCGCCGCAGATCCTCTGCTCATTCCCTCCGCGTGTAATATGAACCCTCAAAGCGACTCCTCTGGTGTCAAACATTAAGGTCTTGAGTCAGATCGCTTCACCTTTCCCAGCTCGTCCGCTTTGCTTTATCGTGCTTGCTTCCTGAAGAAATTTGGGCATTGAGTACAATAGTAAAATATTTGCTAAAAACTACCCAGAATTATCACACTAGGTTGAAATTTTAATATACAAATTGTACCTGATATTATGGAGTCTTATGATCCATAGGCAATAATGTTTTTTTTAGGTATGGTGATGACTGTAATTAAATTCTTTTTGGGATTGAAGAAAACAAATAAAGGTCAAAATGAAGTGTTTCAAACTGATTCCATGCACTGTTCAACGTGTGAGTCTGAACCAAACCTCAAAACTCCCCCACAACTGATGTCAATACAGCACACAAACACTGAATCAAATAATTCCCAAAGGTTAAGTTTGGTTTTATTGTCCATTGAATTGATTTATGTCATTTCAGAGGCTCTTTTTTTTTTTGGTCAAAAAAAAGAAAAAGAAAAAAATTAACATATTTACAAAGTATACATCATGTACAAATACAACACAATTCGATGGGGCACAAAACAGACCAACAAACTTAAATGGTCAAAATAGCTAATTTAATTTGTCAATGATTTTAAAGGGACATTTCAGCCAATAATAAACTGTCATAATTTATCAAGGTGATATACTCTCACCGGCCACTTTATTAGGTACCCCATGCTAGTAACGGGTTGGACCCCCTTTTGCCTTCAGAACTGCCTCAATTCTTCGTGGCATAGATTCAACAAGGTGCTGGAAGCATTCCTCAGGGAGTTTGGTCCATATTGACATGATGGCATCACACAGTTGCCGCAGATTTGTCGGCTGCACATCCATGATGCGAATCTCCCGTTCCACCACATCCCAAAGATGCTCTATTGGGTTGAGATCTGGTGACTGTGGAGGCCATTTTAGTACAGTGAACTCATTGTCATGTTCAAGAAACCAATTTGAAATGATTAGAGCTTTGTGACATGGTGGAAGTAGCCATCAGAGGATGGGTACATGGTGGCCATAAAGGGATGGACATGGTCAGAAAAAATGCTCAGGTAGGCCGTGGCATTTAAACGATGCCCAATTGGCACTAAGGGGCCTAAAGTGTGCCAGGAAAACATCCCCCACACCATTACACCACCACCACCAGCCTGCACAGTGGTAACAAGGCATGATGGTTCCATGTTCTCATTCTGTTTACGCCAAATTCTGACTCTAACATCTGAATGTCTCAACAGAAATCGAGACTCATCAGACCAGGCAACATTTTTCCAGTCTTCAACTGTTCAATTTTGGTGAGCTCTTGCAAATTGTAGCCTCTTTTTCCTATTTGTAGTGGAGATGAGTGGTACCCGGTGGGGTCTTCTGCTGTTGTAGCCCATCCGCCTCAAGGTTGTGCGTGTTGTGGCTTCACAAATGCTTTGCTGCATACCTCGGTTATAACGAGTGGTTATTTCAGTCACTGTTGCCCTTCTATCAGCTCGAACCAGTCTGGCCATTCTCCTCTGACCTCTGGCATCAACAAGGCATTTCCGCCCACAGAACTGCCGCTCACTGGATGTTTTTTCTTTTTCGGACCATTCTCTGTAAACCCTAGAGATGGTTGTGCGTGAAAATCCCAGTAGATTAGCAGTTTCTGAAATACTCAGACCAGCCCTTCTGGCACCAACAATCATGCCACGTTCAAAGTCACTCAAATCAACTTTCTTCCCCATACTGATGCTCGGTTTGAACTGCAGGAGATTGTCTTGACCATGTCTACATGCCTAAATGCACTGAGTTGCCGCCATGTGATTGGCTGCTTAGAAATTAAGTGTTAACGAGCAGTTGGACAGGTGTACCTAATAAAGTGGCCGGTGAGTGTATATATATATTTTTTTTTGCTTTTTTGTCCATAGAATGATAGTGTTGTTCAGTGAAAGTTTCAGTGTTGTTTTGAACCCCATTGACTTTGACTATGTGAACAAAAACAGTTGAAATATGTTCCACAGAAGAAAGAAAGTCATACAGGTTTGAAATAAATTCATGAAAGAGTTTTCATTTTGGGGTGAGTTTGTTTGTTTTCTATTTGCAATCAATGCATGACCCCTATACAATCTCAGAGCACCTGCCAGCGTGGAAAGGACAACGTTTCATGGCCCTCTAGATGTAAAATGATTAGCCTTAAAAAATCTTACCTTGAATCTTTTAAAAAACAGGCAGAACTTCTCCTGCTGGCTTTTAACAGATGACCTGCCAGCAGATTAGAGCACGTATGGACTTCAAGCTTTCTTAATGGGCCAGAATTTAACATATACCCAAGAAGAGAAGCCTTAGTGCCAGCTGGACACTTATTTTAATAGTGCAATGCCTTACACCCAAATCATGACACCTATTTTCCTTTCAAGTATCTCATTATTATATTAACATTAATAATATTGTCAGATCCTCCACAAAGCCCTTTTTTCTGAAAATCATGTTCAGTGCAACATTCATAAAAAAAATTAACAAAAAATCACATACATTTTCAGGATCAGGTTGCCCGTTTTAAACATTAAATAAATGAGAAGACAATCAATACACATTTAATCATTTCTAACACAATTCACATTTGGCACAAATGACTTTTCTATACTACACCTACCCTTTAATAAGGGTTTTTTTGGTATGTGAACGGTAATGAAATATTCATATTGCTTTGGCTCTCCGTGTCACTGTGAAGACGTCTCCGCTGCTAAATTGGACCTGCCATGCTGGTGAAAGTTTGGAGCCATGCAAGCACCGCCACAACTCAGTCCTTGATGGGGACCCTTCTTTATCCCCTCGCTGTCCATCAACCAACTGCTTTCATTTCCCAGCAAGCCACAGTGCATCCCGCAGGCAACTGACGGGCTCTGCGCCATCCCGTTCACTCTCAGGTGACCGCATGCCACTCCGATAGATGCCTGACCTTGCAGGACGCTGGTGATATGACTCAACAGGTCATCGAAAAACTCGGGCACTCCCTCGTAACCTGGGGGGAAAAATAAAGGTCGTTTCAGATTTCAGTCGTTAACGGGTGAATGCTCTGAGAGGCAGATCAAAAAATGGAAGATATCATCTGTTGTCTCACTCCTGCGGTGTCACGGGACTCGTGGGATGCACCACTGAGAGATTTCAAAGTGCCGTTCCCTGCTACATACACAAGATCACCATGGCAACAAGCGGAGGGAAGGCCAGGTGGCTTTCAAATATACTGCAAGCCGACAAACACAGCTGTGCCTGCAGCAGATACGATTAGAGTTCTTAAATGAAGGCCTTCAAATGTACTTTTCCCATCCTTTCAAAATGTTCTACACTTTCCTTTGGGACTTTAGCTGAATAATGACATAAAGCTGAAAGCAAAATAGCTTTATAGAGTGAAGAGTCTAATTAATTTAGTCACAAAATCTTATACTATATATATATATATACACATACATATATATATACATACACACATACATATATATATATATATATATATATATATACATACATTACAATACACGAAAAGGCCTCTTTATTATTCCATACTGACACCATGTGGTCTGTTATTGCATTGCTGGTTTTGAAAGTGGGAATATAGTTCAGTGCATAAAAATAACATGTATAACCCACTCCAAAGATTGTGAGGAACTACACGTACCTGGGAATGCGTTGATATCGATGACGGCGTGCTGGCCGGTCTGGTTGTTGATAATGATGTCAATTCCGAACAGAGAAATGCCGAGGGCCTGTCGTAACCTTCTGGAAATCTTCTGAATGACATCATTTCTGGGTGCCCAGTACTGGCCCTCCATGTTGTCCCTCTTGAAGAAACCAGAAATGGGACAAAAAGTATGAAATGCCTGTTTGTTGAACATGTATGGTTATTATTCAATACGAAAGCCAAAACTTTTTATATGTGCTTTTTAATAATATATAAACATTTGAGATATTCATTTAAATGTTAACAGGACTGTTTTTTAGATTAAAACTAAAATGTCTAAATTGAAGGATTTCGCTCAATGTTTCCAGAAGAGTTTAATTGAAGGAAAGCTTAGCATTACTTTAGTAATAAATATAAGGCATGTTGACTTACGAAGGTCAGGTGAGACGAGGACTCTGGTTTGGACACATGATGACTGTTAAAAGATATTGCTCTCCTGTCTAGAGGATAAAAACCACACAACTTGTTCAGTTTTCAAATACAGACTATAAACTTTTTACACTACTGTTCAAAACTTTGGGGTCATCAAGATTTACACTACCGTTCAAAAGTTTGGGGTCGGTACGATTTTAAATACTTTTAAAAGAATTCTCTTCTGCTAACCATGGCTGTGCTTATTTGATTAAAAATACAACAAAAATCAGTTATAGTATTAAATATTATTCCAGTGTAAATCAGCTGTTTTCTGTGTGAATATATAGTAAAGTGTAATTTATTCCTGTGATCAAAGCTGAATTTTCAGCATCACCACTGTCAGTGTCTTCAGTGTCAAATGATCCTTCACAAATCAGTATAATATGAGGATTTGATGCTCAAGAAACATTTATTATTATTATCAATGTTGAAACAGTTGTTGGTCTGTCAGTTGTACAGTTTTTATTTTATTTTATTTTTTTTGGATTCTTTGATGAATAGGAAGTTCAAAAGAACAGCATTTGTTTGAAATCTTTTGTAACATTATAAATGTCTTTACTGTCCTTGATAAATAAAAGTATTGATTTCTTTCCTCCAAAAAATAAAAATAAAATTCTCACTGACCCCAAACTTTTGAACGGTAGTGTATTTTGAAAGAAATGAATACTTTTATTCAGCAAGGACACATTAAATTGATCAAAAGAGACCGTAAAGATATTTATGCTGTAACACAATATTTCTGTTTAAAATAATTTCTATTCATCAAATAATCCTGAAAAAAATATATAAAAAAAATAGTAGGCAGCACAACTGCTTTGCTTTCAACATTAATAATAATAAAAAAATGTTTCCTGAGCACCAAATATGACACTGAAGACTGGAGTAATGGCTGCTGAAAATTCTTTTTTGCCAAAGTAACAAATTAAATGTAATACTACAGTTTTTACTATACTTTTAATCAAACGTATTTGATTTTTACATTTTTTAATTGATTTTTTTTGTCCTTTTAAGCTACATTTATTCATCGAAGACAAATCCCAAATCCTTCATTGTGTGTAAAGTTTATGCAACAAAAATGACTAAATCTGGGCAACGGTGAATTTGATTGTCCATCAGGGGCATCATTCACCAAACCTCACTGACATCTGAGAAGAAAAGCTTTGAGTTGCTTATTTAACGAATACCACGTCAAAGACAAAATAAACCACTTTTCTGTAGCGAGGGAAAGGGTCTAAACATCAGCAACATATGTTGACAGAAAGGTCGAGACAGGCTGAGAGGCCTCGCCATCACACAGAGTTGCTCACGAGTGCCATTAATGTCAATCTCACTTTGTTCTGATACAGCTTTCAAACATAAGGTAACCTTATAAAAAGTTCCAGACTAAGAAGGTTTGTTAGCATACATGCCTGTGTGGATGGTTAAAACTAGCCGAAAGAGACCCGATGTCTAAATTTCTCGACCTGGCACCCTATAAAGTGTTTTTATTGGCTTTGATGCCGCCCAGTGAACTTGTGTCCCATCTGTGACACACACAGAGTGCAATTTGCTGATTTCGACATGAAAAGAACTTAAACCTTGATGAATACAAAGTAATTTATTATATAACTGTATACACTACCTTTCAAAAGGTTTTAATGCTCACCACGGTATAAAAAAAGTGAAAACAGTAAAATTGTTAAATAACATATGTTAAAATATGATTTAATCCTGTGATCGTAAAGCTGGATTTTCAGCATCATTACTCCAGTCTTCAGTGTCACATGATCCTTCAGAAATCATTCTAATATACAGATTTACTGTAACTTTGCATCCTTGCTGAATAAAAGTATTAATTTCTTTAAAAAAAAAACAATGATTTGATTCTTAGTTTGCCTTCTGATTCACTTATCCAGTAAAATACATCAAATACTTTGAATCGTCCATCATAGGGATGTCGGAGTGACTCAACTGACCTGTGGGTCCTGATGGGAAGTTCCTAATGGAGGGCCGATGCACCACGCTGTAGGCCTCTCCCACTACAAACACCTTGTACAGCACTGCATTATGGTTGATGAAGCTCTGGAGGACACATGGGGGCTTTATGTCTTTCAGATCTTCCTCACTAAATATGATGGCCATCTATTGAGCAGAAACCAAATCAACACATTGCAGAGCAGGTTGCTTATAAATTAACATGATGTGATACATAAATTCTTGTTGTGATCTTGAAATGAAAGAAGCAAACGAGAAAAGTGTACTTTCACGACACTAAAAGAGCCACACCAAAACCCCTGTCGATCCATGCTTGTACCTTTTATCTCCTTTAGCTAAGTAAACCTATTTGCTCACTGTCATAAAACACATGACCATCAACCTGTTTGCACAAACACAGTCATTCAGCAGTCGGTGGTGACACATTAATCTAGTACACCCCTCACTGTCAACACCGTAAAACAGAGTTACTAGTGTCTTCAAGCAGTATTCTGAAGGAATGCGAGGGATCGGAGACTTTGCCTGTACATTAGTCACTGTGAATTAAAGATATGGTGACCATAGTGACGGAGGCTGCACCCCTGTTAATCATCCACGAGGACAAAAGGGTTTCTTGGGAATCGGTGCAATGAGAGCTCTGGGATTACACTGTCTTTATATTGAATTTTTAGTAGTGAAAAATAAATATACCAAAATGCATTTGAAATACATGTATTTTATGCTAAGTATACACTATAAATACATTTACATATTTAGGCCTATGTACTTAATATAAATACCCTGCCATTGTACTTTTGGTATACTAAATTGATATACTTAAAGTCTGCTAAATTGGAACCACTAATCTTGTACTTAAAGGTTGTATCAGCGATTTCAGGCCCAAACATTAATGATCACATTCATCTAATCTTTCCTAACGATCCGCTAGCTGCCCGCCCCATAAGCAGGCCGTCAAAAAACCGCGTCTCTGTAGGCAGCCTAGGCTCTGAGATCTGCACACAAAAACAATTGGTTTCACCAACCACTCAAAACCAAAATAAATAGTGTTCCAACCAATCAACGACAGGGGGTGGGTGTTGTCGTAGACATAATAAATACATTGGCTGCTGGAGCGTACGTCAACGGCGCCGCCATATTGCGGAGGGCAACTTTCTCATCCTTCTCATAACGAGAATTGAGAAAAATGCCTGTTTTGTGTGCTGCTTGGGGCTGTACAAATCGCCACACAATTGAAAACAGGTCTCGAGGAATTAGTCACCATGTTTACCAACTGAAAAGGGGTCAATGGGTGTTGTGAGGTTTTGCGCTCGTGCACGGCTGCACGCGAAGTCGGAGCTGAAGAAGAAGCCAGCGTCTATCAACAAACCCATGTTCATTTTTTGACGGCCTGCTTATGGGGCGGGCAGCTAGCGGATCGTTAGGAAATATTAGATGAATGTTATGTGATCATTTATGTTTGGGCCTTTTTTGGGCCTGAAATTGCTGATACAACCTTCAGTTATCTGTAAATAGTGCTTGAGGTCCAACTAAAGATATACTTAAGTATATTTAATTGTGCTAAAGTGGAACTATTAATAGTATACTTAAGGTACACTTTAAATATCTTGCATTTAAAGACTGATATTATACAGAGATCATACTATCCTGACTAATAGTGATAATAAAACAAATGTTAGGCTTTATATTAAGAAATGTGCATTGTGCAATATTGAAGTCCTCCAAATAAAGTTTCATTATAATATTTATATCAGTAAGTCTCAAGCGATATGTCAGTAATTTGAACTATACTTGGTATAAAATAAATGTATTTTAAATAGACATTTTTTCACTTGGTGGATTTTATGAGGCGGAAGTTGCTGTTAAGATAAGCAAAGAAAATATAGAGTTTAAACGATTATTTTTTAATTGTCAAAAATAGGCCTTTCTTCGGTTCTGTAACTTTACTAAATTGTAAATCCTGCATAAAAAGTTGTGATACCCAAGCCCAAAATTAATCACTTTAATGAGACACCATTTAACGTTAGATATGAATGATTAACTAACATCATGTAGCATCTCTTATGTAAAAGATCTGAATAACACAGTGGTCTACAGTACCTGTAGCTTATTACGTAAGAGATATGAAAAATAGTGCAGGTTACAGAAGAGTAAAGTCTGGAGTGTGTGTCTTCTTACCTCATGGGAGTTAATGCCATGAGCTACCTGGGTTTTGCAAACTGCAATCAAACAGAAATAGTGTGAAAATGTGTGTCGCTCCAGTACACATGAGCAAAAATATAAGAAACAGTTCATTTGAAGTCAAATGGACTGTTGAGAGAAACCCCTGCTCTGAATGAGAGGCATGTGTGCAAATCCATGTATAAATTGTCACGAAGATTACTGCTGATTTTAAATGGCAAACTTACTGAAAGGAAATGTGATTCCATGTTTGTGGAGTTGCTCCAGAGTCTCAGTGCCACATTCACTCTTGAGAACTATGAATGGAGGTGAGCAGATTCTGTCATCTACAGAAAACACACATTAAAAATGCATTTCATACATACAGTGACAGGGTGATACAACTTGTATGTTGTATGACAGTATGACATCAGGGATACAACTTCCCTGATGTCATACTGAAGAAAAAATAATTATTTAAATCATGCAATTCTTAGTTATTCTTAGTTTGGCATAAACTTTTATTATATGTGTTTACTGTGAAATTGTATTACTATTATTTTTAAAACAAACTTAACTGCTTAATGTTTGAAAAACTTTTTTGGACCAACCAAATATAACAATATCAGATATTTTGACAAGGGAAGGGTGGTTCAGGTTATAAAATGTCACATGGTGTGACTCTCCAAAAATGTACAGTATAATATTTATGAATTAATGATTCATGATATTTGTCAAAAATAAATAATACTTTTTACCTTGGAAGTATTAAACACTTTTCTGAAAATGATTTTTAGGATTAAGTTAGTCACTATGTTTTAAAATAATAATAATAATAATAAAAAAATTCCATACAATATTTTTAATACTATGGAAGTCGATGGGGTCCATCAACTGTTTGGTTACCGACATTATTCTTCTTTTGTGTTCAGCAGAAGAAAGAAACTCATACAGGTTTGAAACAACTTGTTGGTGAGTAAATGATGATATAATTTGAATTTTTGGGTGAGCTATCACTTTAAACACAGAAACTCAATGTCAATGTTAAGAAAGCTTTGACAACATCTTCTTCATGGACCTGATCATGTTTGGCCACACTCTGATTTAGTTTGTAAAGATCTGGCAGAAATACAAGGTGGTGTATTTTCAGTTATTTTCTTCAATGTGTTTTGATTTCATCTCACATTCTCTCTCTAACAGGCCAGGCGACAACATCTTGACAAGATTAACCAGCACACCCTGAGCATAACTCCTGGTAGACACCAAGTTTAGATGGGGATTGTAATGATGTGTAGCCTGCACACATTTTAAGTGATGACTACACTTTCTACAGGATAATATTACTACCGGATCCATGGAAACATTTAAAACTAAACCGCTGGGGAATCTGTGAATTTTCAGCCTGCTTTTGATCTGCAACCATCAATTAAATCTTATAAACAGCTTCTTTTCCAAGAGCCAAAGTGCAGACTATTTATAGCCCCTCAAAACAGTCTATTTCTATGTTGAGTGGCTCAATGCAACTCAGTGATATAAAGCATCTCATTTCACATTAGACAAGGAACATGAATCCATTTGATCAAACAAGCAGTAACCTTTAAAGCAGCCACAAACGCTGAACACAGATGTGTGACAATTATGTATGAGATAAAGTGGATTTGGATGTGGATATGGGTTGATATAGGGGTATGGGTTGATTATGATTCATTATGAAGTCACATGATGAGCACCAATTTACACAACTAAGTTAACTGACACAAGATTAACTCTTCCAAAATAGTGTTGAGCTTTCCTGCAAATCCCATGAGTAAGAACATAAATGTAAGTCACGTAACGCAGTACTTGTTTTACATTCAAACATTACCAAGACAGCTTGTTGTCCTCTATTCATATGGACTCACGTTCGATTAGCTCATGGAAAAAATGGTCTCATTTAACAAAGTCAGTCATTGATGACAATTGCTGATAGAGGTATTCATGTATTGAGCAATTGAGTTATTTCAAAAGGGATCTTGAGTAATACAGAGGGTATGGGCTATGTTATCTTTCTTTTTCCAGAATCCCTTGCAGTGTTGTTTCATAAGCTAATAGCCATAGAGCCGGTTGCCTGGTGAATGGGCCCGAGAAAATAGTCACTCCCTTTGTATCCTAAACAGAGTCGTCTCTTTCTTAGAGACAGGGGAAGCACCAAGGCGGATGGTTAACTTCACACTAACCCTCAGCTGACACTCCTTTACCCACACGTCTCTCGGGAGAACATTGATGATATGGTTTTAATAGGCCAACATCGGCTTCTCTGATCTGAATACAAGAGATTTTTCCCTGAACAATTTTGAAAGCCATTTCTATAATAAACACGTGGAGTTTATGCAGCTTGAGTGTGGCTGTCATGAAAGCAAAAGAGGGACAAAACAAAGTAGATATCCTATAATTCATGGTAATTTTAATTTATTGACTCAAAATGGGATCCTGATATTATAATTTGTAATAAAAAAGTTGTACTAAATTCTAAAAGAATGCAAATTGAAACCCCACTGTACACTAGTACCAATCAAATGTTTGGGGTTTTTTGTTTTGTTATTTTGAATGAATGAATACTTTTATTTAGTAAGGACACATTAAATTGATTAAAAGTGACAGAAGAGACCTTTAGAATGCTACAAAAAAATTCTATTCACATAAATGCAGTTTTGAAGTTTCTATTCATCAAAAAATCCTGCAAAATATGTTCGCAATTTTCACAAAAATTCAGCTTTGCCGTCACAGAAATAAATGACATTTTAAAATATATTCAAATAGAAAACAGTTATGTAACAATATTTCATAATATTACTGTTTTACTGTATTTTTTATCAAATAAATGCAAGCTTGGTAAGCAGAAAAGACTTATTTTAAAAGCTTCTTACAGTCCCCAAAATTTTGAATGGTAGTATATTTGTAAATACCAATGTGTGTGAATGTTTAGGTTGAATATTTTGAATAAGAGTGCAGATTGTGATGGAATTCCTTAGGCACTATGACATTCTCACAGCTGGTGATTCTGTTGGCCTGTAGTTAGCCGGCGGGCCTCCTGTTCTTTCTGTGGCCAGTGAATGCAGCGCGCAAGCAGCACAAAGAATGAACGACTCAGCAGCTTTAGGACATAAGCCCTCCATAAGCCTCACACTTCCCCTGCGCAAAGGCAAAAACCTGCCCTCCTCGTGATGGTTCACCCCTGAAGAACAAAGGAGGATCTAAAGGCCTGGTTTATAGAACCCTTTACAACATTTAGAATTACTGGAAATGCTGTAAACGGTCTAAGTCCATATTCAATTTATTCCTGCACACTAGGGCGGGCTTATCTGAAATGGGGGATACCACTGTAATTGGGTTGCCCATCTTTAATAATTGTATTTAGCACAGCTGTACTTTGCGTGATTACGTCACATTCATGTACTTTTGTGTATCTGTGCTGTAGACAGACCTTGCATGCAGTCTTCAAGTTTATGGATTAGAGTGTATGACTTGCAGCGGTCCAGCAGGGTACGAATGGCTGGAAGAGGGTCCAGAATCACTGTTTCAGGGTGAGCATCTATGTAGTCCTGGAAAAAGAAATGGAAAATTCAACGATTCATAATACAGTGTATGATTGAAGCATGACAAATTTATGGCTACTTGAGTGGATTTGCTTAGTTACCTGAACACCCTGAACAAGTAGCATCGACTCTGTGACATTCTGGTCAGCATCAACAATGTGGTCGGTCAGCTTGTGGATGATGACATCAAATGGTCCCTGCTTCTCTATTGGCTGGCTCAGATCCAGCTAGACCGGGAGAACAAGGTCAGGAGCTCAGTAAACATCCACGAGACATTTTTCAGCAATAACCCTCTGGGAGCACTCGTATGTCAATATATAAATAGGCAAACGATGTATTTTTCTGCAAATGCACCTGTGAGCATTATTTGTAAGAAAATAAGTATGATAATAAGTGTTAGCAAATTCAGTTGAACAGGTTGAAACAGCATTGATATACTTTGAAATTCCAGTTTTACCACAAAATTCAGTTTGCTCAAGGGGGATGTTTTAAAGAACAGACGTTTACGCTGTGACGCTAATTGTAAAGGTGTGATCTGTACTGTCACTCAGACTAAACTGACTGCTAAACTCTGAAAACAAAGTGAATTCTATGTTAGTCAAATCCAATTTGTGGATTATTTTCTGTTTATTAGACACAACCCCTATAGGTACATGCCATGGTTGTGACTCAGATTAACACATCACAACAAGGGAAGGGGAAAGTGCCTGTGTACTTTCAGCCTGTTTTCATTTACCAAACTCTGACATTGACATTAGAAAGCTAAATTCACAGCAATGTAGATTTGTAAAATGGTACAGAAACAATATAGTATCCAGTGTATGATAGACAGTGCAATGTGTTCTGAAGGCTTTACATGTCGTCAACATGAAGAAAGGCTGCTTGGGGCACACAAAAAAACATGTGGTTCCTTTACCATGGGTTTAACCTTTGGGGATGTGAAAATATTTATTTTGGATCAGACCACAACGGTTCTCGTCAAACGTCAGAGGCATTTGTACATGACCTAGGCAGTTAAAAGGGGACGGCGGCATCCCCTCAGTGCACTTTTATTTAAAATACTTTGACCTAGTCCAGATTTCCTCTTTCAAAGGCAGCACCAAATAAAGGACTATGGGCTGTGGGGACCACCAGAAACAGAGAAAGTGGCAATCCTAAGGGGCGTATTAGCTTATTCCCTAAATGATTCTGTTTCCTATGACAATGTCTGGAAACATTATAATAGCCAGCGCTGATGTGTGACAAACAATTTGCGAAAACAGACATAAAGAACGAAGAAGATGACAAAGAGAAAGTGACACACAGATTCCACACAGACACATCATGACAGTTCAGAGAGACGACCCCCCTCCACTTCCTTTTTGTAGAGGATACTCAGCTGATACACACATCATCGGATATAAAGCATGACACAGCCATGTGTTACATCAAATTAATGTTGTCTTAGCGTTTTAAAGTAGCTTTTTAAACAGGCAAAGAGCTTTATTGATTCTTGGAAATTGAGGCCTAATTTGCTTTGCTATTATCATTCTTCTATTTCCACTCCTCATCTAACAGACGTCTTCCTGAAAAACAGAACTAAATATATAACTTGCTGTTAACTTCTGTTAAACAGTGAGGGGCATGATAACATTACACCAAGTTAAGTGTTAAACGAAGGAGGTGATGGCAAACAAAAAGTCCATCTAAGTATGTCATTTTCTTGGCTTCTGCACAATTGATTACTGGGTGGCTTAATCAATTACGAGAGTAGGCAGGAATGAAAAAAGAAAATTTAATCAATATGTTATATACTGCCATTCAAAGGTTTGGGGTCAGTAAGATTTTTTAAAAGAAATTAATACTTTTGTTAGCAAGGAAGCATTACATTGATCAAAAATGACAGTAAAGACATTTATAATATTACAAAAGATTTCTATTTCAAATAAATTATATTCTTCTGAACAAACCAAATCAGCCTATTAGAATAATTCCAGAAGAACCCTGTGACACTGAAGAAATTTATAAAAATAGAAAAGTTAAAATGATTAAATATCGTTAATATTTCACAATATTAAATAAATGCTGCCTTGATGAACATAAGAGATTTCATTCAAAACATACCGACCCCAAATGTTTGATAAAAATATATACGTTTATGAGGATAATATGTTGTCACTCTCCTGACCCTCTGGCTTTTATATTTTTAAAACAAGTGTGGGTATATGTTCTTGAGAAAGTGTAATTATCTTATCTCTGTGACATGCTGAAACTGCACTTATATATAAATGTACTATGAACCTATAAAATAGTTTAATAAACAAAGTAGGACAGGCTGACAAGATGGCCGACAAATACTTTTTAACTTTTATTGTTGCCCACAGAAAATACACTACCAAAGCCATAAATCATTTGAGATATTCAAAACATTAATGAAGTGATGACATGAAGTGATGAAATTCAGCAGTCTCTCCATCGTTTTTAGTGACTTAATGATTTAATGATCACATTATCTTAATCAAATTAATGACACTCCCCCTGTCTAAAGTGATAAACCCATGGACTGATTGCTAGATTGTGAAGTACTTTAGGGACCATATAAAATCTATGACTGGGTGCAGCTGGGTAGCCTATTGTATGATGTGTAAACAGGTCAAAGTCCATTCTTTACTCTCTTTGGTATCCACGCCCTACATGCTGGTTAGCAAAAAGGTGTTTATTATGCATCCTGGGAGTGGAGAAAAGCCCTCAGTGTTTCACTCATCCAGACAGTTTCACTGATAAGGGTCTGACTCTAGTAAAGGACCAGAATGAAGGAACAAGGACCTTGGTTTAGTCTTGCAGCCTTCACAGGCAAGTCCCAAAATAAAACAAGGTGACTGTGTTCCCAGAATTTTTATCATAACTATACACTTTCGTGGCAAAACAGTAAAGACCAATGTTTGTCCATAAACATAATTGAGTTCCTTGCAAGCAAATCTTCACTTCAACCAGCTTAGTTTGCTATAAGAGACCCTTACGTATCTCAGGGCCACCACAATATAAACATGGTTGACAAGGGCATGTCCAACTGGAATGTGCAAATACTGTCTTCATATGTCTGTTAAAAACATTACCACAAAGAGCCAGTCATTTACTCCAGGATAAAGCATTAGATCCAAAAATCTGAAACCACTAGTGAAATGTTTTTATTTAGCATTTTTATAATTTAATACTTTTTTTAGCTTCATATTTTTCTAGTTTTACGTTTTTGAAAATTAATATTAAATATTTATTCTTCATTTTATGTCTCTTTTAAACCTGCAGGTTTAAGTAGATTTTTAAATCACAGATTTTCATTGTGGTCTCACACAAAATCTTAATGTCTTAAACTTGACACATACATTTATACATTCTAATGGCTTTTACATCTCTGTGAGTCATGCGTCTAATGATTTATCAGTGCCAAGGTGAAGCAAAGGAAAGGTGCCACAAATGCAATATCATTCAACAAATACCCATAATGCTGTTAACTCTCTATCCTTGAGCAATCATGGTGATAGCCTAACTTGAAAAAAGTCAGGCAAGAACAGTTCATCAGCACTTAAAATGGGGTACTAATTGTTTTTGTAAGTATTAGAGACCAAGGACATCTATAGAAGACAAAAATACAACGCTCTCGTCCCTGACAAAGCCAGGTGTTCTTTCCTAGGTTGTTTTTTTACAGTGCCATTGTTACAACGTTCATTTTGACAGCACATTTTGATTCCATTTTAGTCATAGTCTTTTGACTAAAATGCCATTTAGTTTTAGTCATATTTTAGTCATCTGAATTGATTAAGTTTTAGTCTATTTTAGTCGACTGAATATTATAAGATTTTATCTACAGTACATTTAGTCGACTAATATCTAATGGGTTTAGTTTAATTGTAATACCAATATACTCTTGGAGAAAACATCTATTAACCTGTTAATATAAATGATATTATTATTTGAGTATGCAATCCAGACACAGATTTAGCCTAAATCCTGTGACATATAACATGTCTTTATTTATCTTAAAAAATTAAATAAAACCACTTCTCATAAATGAACAATAACATAGCCTTCTTTTTAATTAATGATATATGCATTCTTTATAACAACTTCCATACAGCATTCTACATTATTTCAAGAAGATATGTTTTTTCATATACATTTAATATAGATCAATCCTTATTAAAGCTGTTAAGGTTATTCAGTCAAGAACATTGAGTGATTTTCTCTTTTTCTTTTGTTATTTGATTAACATAAATGACGGACAGCAGCAGGTTATTTGACTGCTGTCACTTTAAGGCTGAATGCACATATCAAATACACTGATACACATCCGATGGTTTACATTCACCTAAGACATAACCAACTGTGTTTATGTGAATACTCGCCAAAATGGACATTTTGACATAATTTTGTGTGTATTTGTACTCGTGCGCTGCCTGAGAAACTTTGTCACGCTTTTTCAGATTTATCCATGTTTGCTCTTCTCTTTCTCCAAGACGTTTACATTTGTGAACGTTTTATGAGACATGCAGCATATGCTAACTTATGTCCCGCCGGGTAGACGAGCATGTTGCAGTTCAAATGTGCGCATCTACCGCGCAGGACATAATTCTAAACGGATCTCTTCCCAAATCGTCCCTCCCTAAGATTTCGTCTTGTTTTTATTCGTTGACGAAAATGTCAATCGATTTTCATCATAGAAGTTTGTCATTCATAAGTTGTTTTTATTTATGTCGTTGATGAAACTTACGACGAAAATTATTCATCAACATAATTAACACTGCATTGTTTGGGTTTAATCTACTCTCCAAAAAATCATCCTCTTGACTGAAGCCAAGTATGCTAGATTAAACAGGAACAAATGCCAGACTTAAAGACCTCTGTGTACTCTGCTATCCCACTGCACTAATGTCCTCAGCATGTCCTTAGAATTACTTGATAAGCGGAAAAATAACATACAGTACAATCTATTAAGGCAATGCTTTAGCTTAGACTGATCAGCCTGATACAAACTATTAGCCAAGAAAAGGCTAATCAGTGCAATTTCCATGCAATTTTATAAAGGCAAACTTATGTTTCTGTTATGTTAGGCTATATTAGGCACTGGCTGAGAACCTTTTGACGCAAAAAAAAAGTCTCTATAAGCAGTTTACTGGCATTTATTCAATGGCAAACAGCCACAAAAAAGTTCATGCAATAACAGTATGAGCATTAACAATATGGCATTATTATTATACAATAAATGTAGAATTCCACCTGCATGTATAGGTGACTATTTGTCTAGTAATGCAATGCAAGAAACAGTAATAGTACGTAATACTCTGATGGTGATATTTTCAATTGAAGTGTCCCCAGGCATAATAGCTTCATTTACATTTAATGAAAGGCACGTTTGTAATGTTTAGAACAGCTGCTGACAAGCGTATTGTTGCACCGACTTCACATTAATGGACAGGCTTTTTTTGTGCCATGGAAAATTCATTTAAAAGAAAAAAAAAAGGTCAAAAGGGTATCTTACCTGGATCATCTCTATGCCTTGTTTCCTGGAAAACAAAAAAAAGAGGAAAAACAAACTATGAATGTTTTATATAAATTCCATGTGACATGCAGTCAGAGCATTGTTGTCTTGCATAATAAACAACATTTAATTGAATTTGGAATAATGAGAACTTCACAATGAGACAAATTATTAGGGAGACAACGCTCAACAAGACAGAAAAAAATACTGTTACTTGGCAACCCAAAAGCAGTTGCTCTTTAGGTTTGGATTGCTGTGTCTCACACAAATAGGACAGGATTCTCAGAGTTCCCTCTCCAAAAACAAATACACGCACATGGTTAAAATTAGGATTCCTTCCTATCCAATTCCAGCCATTTCCAGATGGTGCATTTATTTAACAATGAGTCTGATTGATCAGTTCTTGTGATGTGAGAATATCTGTATTTTTGCAAATTCATGAGTTGGGCAGCTTTAGGTTGTCAAGTCCCTGAAAATAACTAAGTGCACATTGTTTTCAACAGCTGACAAACCTGTTGTGATTTAATGAATGACAAGTGCCGAGCCAGAAGTTTGTTTCTAAATCCTCAGAGCTATAGGTGAAATCATCCCAAGTCCCAAGGCAAATACACCAGTCAAAAAGAATAACAAATCACTGAACATGTTGCACAAGCTTAGGTAAAATCCCATTGCAAACCGGTTATCTGTAGGCTAAAACATGCTCATAAAAGAAAAGAGATCACATTACATTAGCTCAAAAACACGTAACGTTCGTTCAGAAACGCCATGTGGCCTACGCACAATATATCATCCACACAGATATGCATCTAAGGTATGTCCAATGCCTCCCTCAGCAAACAGAACATTTATGGCTCTACAGTCATATTGATGAAAATGCAGTGCAGAACTGAATAACCTAGGTAACATAATTAAGCTTTGAATCAGTTAAGTAACAAGCACAATCTTGCTGCCGACTCTTAGGAATGCATGGAGTCTAAACAGATATGCAAACAATGCTACTTTTAAGTCTGTGGAATTGAAGACTGCCTAACTGCCTGGTGCTTATCCAGGTAACCGCCAGTGAACTTTGTCCAAGCCTTTGTCTTTTTATGACCAAAAATTCCACAGATAGTTTTATAGCCAACTAATTATGAGAATACCGGGACAGTGTTATAAGTTCTATTTTTTTTAATAAGCAATCTCACAAAATGTCAGAAGCAGGGACTGACAGGTAGATTGACTACGTTGATATCCATGTTTTATGGTTGAAAATTTCATATGATGGGTACAGTGAGAGTGTAGGTACATTTCAAATCTATACTGACTTACATTAGAGTAGTGGTTTATTAGGGGGAGGGTAGAGAGTTGCAGGAAGAGAGTTCTGTTGAGAGTTCTCTGATTGTTAAGAGAAGTAAAAACTAGAACAGATGACAGTGAGAAATAGTGAGGAAATAGCGTAATGAATTTTTGTTACAGTAAAGTGAGTGAAGTGACTGTGTTGATGGCTGATGAGAAAAGAGGACATGAGGAGGTGTGATGAATCATGTTTCCTATATCCTTTAACACTATATTTCTACACACCCCACTTGTTTCAGTTATCTATAACTAAATTTGTAAGTAGTAGTAAATATAAACTCTATGCACTCATGATTTGACACTTTTCCAGATAGCTCCTCCCAGAAATAAATATCTAATTTTACTAATACTAAATAGCAAGCAGTTTGAATGTGTATTGCTTAAAAATAAATAGTATATATATGTTTATTCCTTAAAAAGTATATATTGTAAATTTTTTGTAGTATTAAGCAATCCAAACTGACCCTTTTTCAATCACTAGGCTAGAAACTATAGTTCTTATTTCTTTGCTACTTTCCAATGGTGCCAAGTAACCATTCCATACTTGCAACTTTTTGTGTTTAAGAGATTCAGATGTCAACTACTACTCATTTCAACTATATGTATTTCAAAAGTATCCCAGTTTTCATATCAGCAATGAAACAGGTGCTAGTAGCTTTTTAATATAGGCTACATTTGTATGTATTCACATTGTTACCAGTACCATTTTACTCTTAGTTACAATTTTACTTATGACAAGTAAAAAGCACTTGAAACTAGCGAGATAAGAAACGTTACCGGTCACACTTGGGATAGATATGGTATCTCATAAGGAACTAGCATCTCTTGGATAGTTAAAACGTAAATAGGTACCAGCGACTGGAACACACATTAGTCCGAAGTGCTATTATCTAACGTTAATTAAACTCACTGGTGAAATTGAAAAAGCCTACCTTTTGCATAACTTAGCCTACTGCTCTATCGAAAAATTTATTTTAGTAACATAACTAAATATTAGTTAGTTTAAAGGAACAAATATTAAAACAACTTGCCACAGGTATTTTGGATAGACTGATATGTCCGGTTGACTCGCGCTGAGATGCGCTTTACGCACCTGCACAAATCCACGAAGGTCTGGAAACTGAGTTTTTTAATCTTCTTCTCGCTGAGCCAGTATCCAACTCTCTTTCCTTTTACGAACGTCTGCATCTCTGAGGAGAGAGAGATAGGCTATGTCAGTCCATAATATGCAGAGTGTATTAATAAAGAAATCGAACAGCAGGTGTTTAGTATTGTGAACTAAACGAGAAGCAACTTTGAGTGGTTAATGTAAAAAATACAGAAAATGTCATGACGGCATGTCTGAACCTAACTTTACCTGACAGAATCAATGAGCTCTGATCAGTTACGAGTCTCGTAAAGTCACAGGTTTAGACTGTCCTCAGTAGTCCATCCAGATTTGCTAGTGCCCTCCAGAATGCGTGTCCCTCTGTCTAAATAGTTCAATTTTATGACAACTTCGTCACATTATTTATATGACAGCAACACGTATCGACATAACACACACATCATGACACATCAGAGTATGAAACCGGCGCGTAGCTATATGTCCCAATTGTCTAACTTCAGAAGTGAAAACCCTAACGTTATATATCCAAATGGTCTGTCCATTACTTAGCTAGCAATGCTGTCGATTAGCGATGTAATGTTGATTGGCCATTTGGAGGACAGCGACGAAACTTGTTTGCCCAGACACACCCTCTTTCAGAGGCGGGCAGCCGCAGAGGGCTTGTTCACGGGTAAAACTTGCATGGTTTTGTGAGACAACTGCTCCAGGATTGATTCATTTATATTTGGTTGTACGTACTAAAGTTCAAATCTCTCAAAATAAGAAATGAGGAAATTAAAAAAAAAAGGTGCCGTGAGTGGTAGAGATATGTAGGCTAAACACAGTGATTTTAACTGGTCGGAGTTTTTAAAGTCATTTCTGTAGACGAGGTAACCCCAATTATCTAAAACATTTGTAAACAAAACACTATAGTTTTTGTGATAGACTATATAATTTATAGTAAAGTTGGGTAGATAACAAATTGTAGCCTAGTAGCTATGTTAGCCTACTGATTACAAAAATTGTAGTTAACGTAATCCATTACATTACACATTTAAGGTAGCCTATATCTGACCACTTTTAGATTACTTTTGACCTAACTATAGTTAATCACATTGATTTGAATAGGATAATCTTGTACCGCATTGATATAAAAATACAAAGAGAAAGAAAATATATATTCCATTCTTTGTTATCAACAACACGTGCATATTACATCCCAGACTCCATGGGGTTCATGGTGGAACTGTAGTTTTGTGAGAGAGTAATCAAATCATAATATATATATAAAAAATAAAAAAAATAAAAAAATAAATAAAAAAAAACGTACTAAAAAGATTAAAATAGGCTATATTTTATTTGTTTACCTGCATGTCATGTGACCATTAACTGACATCAGAGAACAGTGAACTTAATTAGATTATTATTTATCATCATCTTAATTTTATCATTGACCTGTATCTTATTACCTTAAAATCTCAGTGGGTACTTCAATCAAATATATTAAGTCAAAGAGGTTCAGCTGACCAAAAGGTTGTGATAATTGTGAGAATAACATGTAGATAATCATGTAATTACGAGTAGGCCTATTTTAAAACATAATATAATCTAAAACGAGTACTTAATTTTTGGAATCGGATTACGTAATCCAGATTACATAATAATCTGTTACTACCCAGCACTATTGACAGTATTTTCAAGCTTTGTCGACATACTTCCCACACGTTCACCATTGCTGATTTCCTCTCAGCAGCAAACATTACCTTTCCCGCCTGACAAACGTGAGAATGCTGAAAAATGTATATTTGGCACAAGACCAGACCCACCACAAGCATCCTGTGTTTAGAGCCTAAAATGATTATTCTTATTTTTCAAAATAATTGTTATTCTACCCCCATTACCACCAGCAATTCTAAAAATCTTTGTGCAATGTTTGTAGTTCCTGTAGAAGGGCAACAAAGATAAAAAGTTGTTGAGGATAATTAAAATTAAAATTAAAAACAAGATGACCTGCTGATTCAGATTATACCAGTTCTGTCAGTTAATAAACACAAATCAACTCAAATTATAAGCAAAAAAATTAAATCATTGCATGTGTGAGAGGAAGGCTCTAGGGGGCAGTAGAGTCCTTTGTGAGGTTAACAATAAAGTCTCCGAAGATTCACAGAAACTTCCCGGATGTTTGCCATTCCAGGAAGTGGGTCCTATGACAACAATCCTGTGACAGGGTTGTGTGTTTTGGATTGAGAAACGTATTGCCCTGAAAATCGCGCAAAATGGATTGATCGTGTGATCACAGTAAGTAACACTCATCGAAATCATGTGTTTAGTAGATATGATGGGGGCCTATTGCTATAAAATGACACACCAGTAACGTTACTAGTCAACAGCTTTAAGAAATCTCCATATGGTGTGTGAGCCTTCTTGTGTTTAAAAGACTTCATGTTTGTTTCTTCAGTGTTATATTTAATTTAATTTAATAATTAGATTAGTAATGTGTTTCGTACAACGTCAAATAAGCTAATGGTTTAGGAAAATGTTTTGAAAAATAAACATTTTATTATTAACTGTACATGTTTTATATTTAATAATTATTTAAAAACAATTTTTAATGGTGGTTTACAGTTTAAATTGAGCTCCTTTCATTTATTTCCTGAAACCTAAGCAGTAATCACACCATTGATCACATGGGTTCACAACCATGTAAGTGTTTGGTTTCTTGTCAGCAGTTGCACTGAATGCATTCTCTGACTTTGTTTTTCCAGAGAAGAGCATGGAGAATGATGAATTTCCGCCAGCGGATGGGGTGGATAGGTGTCGGACTGTACTTGTTGGCCAGTGTCGCTGCAGTGTATTATATATTTGAGATCAGCCAAACATACAACCGACTTGCACTGGCACACGTAGAAAAGGCTTCTGGAGCTCAGACAAAATGGTCGGGAGATGCTTCTTCCTCTTCCCCTTCTTCAACCTCATGGACAGTGACTCTGAAAACGAGACTTCTCCTTCTGCCCTTCTGGGTGTGGGCCACCATTTTCCTCATCCCCTACCTCCAGGTGTTTCTCTTTCTATACTCCTGCACAAGGGCAGACCCCAAGACTGTAGGATACTGTATTCTGCCCATCTGCCTTGCTGTTCTCTGCAACCGTCACCAAACCTTTGCCAAGGCCTCCAATCAGATCAGCAGGCTGCAGCTGATTGACACTTGAAGTGATGGTTAAAGATGTGGGATCAGATCTTGGTGCCATACAGTTGGGTGATACAAAAGTGCATTCATAAATAAGATTATTAATTTTTAAGACTTGGCCCTGACTTCTTTTGTTGTAGGAATTAAATGAGGACAGTGCTTGGGATTTTTTTCTTTTTCTGTTTGAGTCACCTGCAGTTCCACGCCAGTTTTTGTGTATTTTTTTTAGCAAAAACAAAAAGGAATATAGTCTAACAAGGTTTCATACTCTTTCACACTGAATGTCAAATTTGGTCTGCATTTTAATCAAAGTAGATTTATAACTGGATCCAGACGTATTTTCCATGTCGGCTCAGTCTTAAAGTACCTTTTCTAGAAGTTTCATCTTGATTTAGCTGAAACAAAGAAATTAAATTAAATTTGATATATGAACTTTAAGTAGCCTAAATGGAGGCAATTAAGCCATAGTCCAAGATGTGGAGATTGTTGTTGGGGCTGCATGAACTACTTGAATTACACTTCTAAAGATGGGTAGATTTCCTATAAATCAAAATGAATCAAGGAGTGTAAATGTTTCCATAGTATGAGGCCAATGGATTTTTATTGTCAATTTAATGCTCCAGCTGTTTGTTCTCAACTCCAGTGGACACTGTATTAGAGGAAAATAAGAAAACTACTGACAGTGGTACCACGTTTCCCATTCGTTTATAAGTGTCCATCTTTTTACTTGTTTTGAAAATAAAATGCACTCGAGAGAACAATGAAAGAATTTGTAATAAAAAACTTTTGTATTAAAAAAACAATCTGTGATGAATACATTTTAATATCAGTATTTTGTTCCAAGTATGATTTCTTGTCAGCTCTAGTCATGGAAAGATAATATTTTCCTTTTATTTCTTAATTTAGGTTTATTTGACAAATACTAATTCTGTATCATAGTGATATTCAAGTGTCCTCAGTGAAAAGTGTGTTTCTGAAATAAGTTCATAATCATGTCTTGTGAAATAGTGTACTCAATCTCATGTCTTATTGTTGAGGGATATCAGTATCATTTTACACCGTGAATAATCTTATCTTGCATAAAAAATGCAAAGGTTATGGGTGTGGTAGGTTGTAATGAGTCTGATCATGGGTCTCAACATTAGATGAGCCTGTGCCACAGACCCAAGTGTTCCGATCTTTAAAATCACTTCTTTTGTGGTTACAATGCCTTTGGTTACATGTGGAATGTTTTATTCATTTGTTGAAATGCTAAAAAAAAAGGCAAATTGTTTTTGTCTAAAAGGGCTTGACTGTGAATTTATAATGTTTAATGGTACCTATTAATTACTTTCCATTGCAATCTTAATACACTGTGGTTTGAAACAACTCTGGATTCTGACAAAGATCAATAAAGAAATGAAATGTGCAGTGCAAATTCTTTTGAAATGGATACACTGGCAATTTATTGCGCAATGGTTTATTATTACCCGTTAGCTGAAGAAACTTAAGTACTGATAACCAATGTCAATTTGTAACATTTTATAACAGGAAAAGTGTAATGATAAAACAATTTCGCCTTAGCACTATTATGTTTTTCCATTTATAGAAAACTGAAGTTATCAAAAATAACATCATTTTAATGGAAACAAAATAAGGCAAAATCCCAACACTGTCTTAAACTCACGGCTGTCACAAAAGTTAAAAGGAGAGCACTTATGTACAAACACCTTTTTATGCACCAAAGGCCATTACAGAAGAATGACAGTTCTGAAGATCATGGCCGTAAGGTCTTTATCCGCTTGTTTGGAGGTTCTGACTTTGACCTTTTTTTGGTGGTCATTCCTGTGGTACTATCCTCTTCGTCACTGTCCTCGTCCTCATCATCTATAACATGGGTTCAAAAAGAGAAAGAAAAGTTACAAATAATTACTGAATTTGTGAACTGTCACCCCTTTTTTGAGCACAGACAAGAAGACATTCAGCAGATTATTGCACCGTTTCCATCATAACGCAATAACCAATTTCAAAACGGGTTTCAAAGGGGGAATTTTGAATGTTTAAGTTTTCGAGTGATTGTTGTTGTAATGTAATAGAGGGGGAAAAGGCAATAAATAAAAAGCGTGCAGTGTCTTGCTACCGGGACACTGACCGTTAAATGTCTTAATTGTAATAAGAATAAGGAAGTAATAAAGTATTATCCTAAGTAACGTAAAGTAAATAAAAAATAGTAGCCTGTTAGGTCACGAACATTTTCTGTTAAGCGACAGAAGAAAGGAGCTCGCTGACACCTGCAGTGCAATCAGTACACAACAATACACACATATAAGGTTTTAGTCACTTTGCAAGTGTTGTTTTTTATTTGTTTATGTTTGTTGGTTTGTTTCCCACGAACGACTCAGTCTTCATTTTAGCATCTTACCATCCAGAACCCCTCTGCTATTGTCCGTTGAACCCTTTTCTTGTTCAACCAGAGCCGTCAAGACTACCGATACATCGGCATTTAATTTCTTGACGCCAGTTAATAGTGATTTCAAATCGCCATCTACTTGTACTGTGAACTGGTTTGTCTGTCCATCTCTGTACTTCAACTCTCCTTTCAGCTCGCACGCTGCCATATTGAAGATGCACACGGTAACTCGGTTGCCAGATCTTTCAAGAAATACACGCAACATGGGCTATACCTAAACTTGTTCGGGGGAGACCTATGGGGGAGACGTTATTTCTGAATTAAGAATTATGGAGAAACGAAACGCTTATGCTTGGTTTTACAGACAGGGTTTAGATTAAGCCAGGGTTAGTTTAATTAGGAAATCTAAGTAGCTTTCATAAACATACCTTAGAAAAAAAAACATTACTGGTGTGCATCTTGAAAACAATGGCACTGACATTTTACTATAGGTCAGTGGAAGTTGCTTTCAGCTAAAACAGCTCAAATATACATTTTAGTCTGAGGGCTTAGCCTTTTCTGTCAAACCGGGAGTTCATTTCATTAATCAACACAGAAAATATAACAATGGAATGGGATAGAATCTAAAATAGAATAGATGATATAAAACAGAAGCTAGGCTAAATTGCAACATTCTGCAAAAAATAATAATATTAGCAATTACACCCTTTTAAAAAGTTAAAATATTTCACATACACTGGCCATCTAAATAAAAGAAGCAAATCTCTTTCTTGAGTGTGCAGACTGTACATTCACTGAAACCATTTTAAAAACTTTCAGATAGGGTTAAGAAATGCCCTTTCAGGTTTTAAGACTACAGACTGAAGCACAAGTAGGTTAAACCCTAAAACGTGACTGTATTTTAGACATAGGCCAAAGCCTCCAAAAATCACACACCCATACTATTAATAATTAAGACTATTAATTATAAGTAGTATAAGTGGACATGGCAACATTGATTTACCCTTTGAACCCTGACCCATCGAATTGGCTTCGCGAAAATTCAAAATGTTCCTGTTTACCCAGAACCAGTGATATTATGTGGTATAATGTTTTAATACACGTTAGTGAGAAAAAATAACTCTAAAAACTGTTTATGATCCCTGCAACTCTCCCGCCAAAACACCATGTATTTGCATAAACCGGAAGCAGCATTGGTTTTGTTATTGTCACAGTTAATCCCTATAAATTCTTCAGGTTATGTCAAACCGCATGACACATTCACACATATTTTCTTTTTTAATATTACAGTGGAATCTCTGTCGCAAATTAAACTTGATCTCGTTGGCAGGCCAGTTAGTTCTGTGGCCAGTTCGTGTCTCGTTTCGTGCCCTGGAACAGGAACTGGAAATATTTTTTTTTTTTGCGCTCGTCTCTTCAAGGATGGCGGCAAATGATGGAGCGGAGGAGGCTACTGTATCTCTGGTGGACGTCCTAGAGGAGGATGAAGAACTGGAGAACGAAGCCTCCGCGGTGCTGGGAGGGAGTGATTCAGAGAAATGCTCGTATCCAGAGGTTTGACGTGTTTATATGAACACAGCCTTGTCGTATAATATTGTTTTTAGCATGCTGATTATAACTTGACACAGCCTTTTTTTATCTTACTGATTAACGTTGTTCTTATAAAGTGTTTGTTGGATTGTTTTGGTTTGGGGTTAGCATAATACCTTATGCTTAATTCGTCGATGCAGCATCTATTTGATTGGAAATAAACCTTACTGCATGAACACATAGTAGCAGGAATAAGAATCCTTTTTAGTACAGTTAAACATCTAACAGTAGTTTTCAGCAGATGCTCTGCATTTACATTTATATTCTTAATTTCTTAGGATGAAAATAAGCTATATGTCCTAAAAACAAGGTGATTTTCTTTTTGTCCTCACAGGGACATGTGAAGCGTCAGGCTCTGTATGCCTGCAACACCTGTACACCAAAGGGAGGAGAGCCAGCTGGCATCTGTCTGGCATGTTCCTACAAGTGCCATGAAGGCCATGACCTTTTTGAGCTGTATACTAAGAGGTGGATATTGCTACAATAAACAGCTGTAATTTTTGATGGTGCTCTAACCCATTTAAGCAAAGCTGAAATGCTTATTTTGATATTTTTATTCATAATATTTTTGTCATTATGGCAGTGAGATTATTTAGCAGTTTACATATTCACATATTTGTCACGGGCAGCATCATAGGCAATACAAGTGAAACCTTGACGTGTCACAAGAAAAATAGGTTTAAAATTAGCAAGAAATCAAAATGGACAATTCTTGTTTTTTTTTATGTAATATTGCAGTATTTATTATAAATGAATTATCAATGCACACCATTATTATTTCTTTAATTAATGTGCCCTCATTATATTTAACCAAATAAACTTTGATTAAAGGCAGAACAACCTGTCACTCACATGAGATCACAGCAAAGGATCCAGTCAAGTCCTGCCCTACATTGTTTTTCTTGTTTAAGAAGCCGTTTCACTCGGATATACGTCACAATAAAGAAGTAAAGACTATCACAACTTGCGTTTCATGCTGACTTTAATGCAAAGAAAATTCCACATGGAGATCTGGAGAAAAAAAGTTAACTTAGTTGATAGTTTGGATTTAATTGCGCACAGACCTTACTTTAAATCACTTGCAAAGGTTATGTTAAGCTGCATTCATTATATAAACCTTATTAATATTACAGGAATTTTCGATGTGATTGTGGAAACGACAAGTTTGGGGAAATGGAGTGCAAGCTATTTGCGGTAAGTTATGTTTTACCATTAGTTTGAGTTTGTGTCTTTCAGTTTCAACTGTAGTGATGGTGATTATTTAAGATTTTCTGTTATGCAGGATAAAGAGAAAGTGAATTCAGGGAACAAATACAGCCACAATTTTTTTGGCTTGTATTGCACATGTGACAGACCCTACCCAGATCCAGAAGACGAGGTAATGTGCATTTTAGTTTGAGTTGCTTTCTATAATGTTTTTCTGTTGTCTGATCATGTACTGTATTGCATACTTTTTAAAATTATTAATCCGTATTCCAATTTGAATTCTGCTTGTAACTGGACTGTATGTTTGGAGTAGGCGTGTTGGTTTTACAGGTGTTGCACTCTGTTCAGATGTACACTGATGACATTAGGGACTTTAAGCAACAGCTACTGGAAGTAATTAAACTGTTAACTGTCGTAGCCAAAGACCAATAAAGCGAGTGCGCGTTCAAAAGAGATAGCGCCATAGATTGCGGCTCCCTGATGCTAAGAAGCTAACTTAATTTAACATATGCTTAAATTATGTAAGCTTAATTAATATATTTCAGCGACAAAATGTTTAATTTACGAACCTTTATTTTGAAATGTAAGTCAACTACATTAGTTAAAAGTCCCTTTTTGGAGGTACCGGTACCGCCCACTTTGTCAGTTTACACCCCATTTTGGATTTCTCTGGCCTGCAGCTATATCTACTTGCTGATGCCCTCAAATTATAGGCCTATACACAGAGTATATTTTATACAGATTATATACATGTACAAATTTAGAGTGAATTGCTCTCTCCAGGTTGCAGATGAGATGATCCAGTGTATCGTGTGTGAAGACTGGCTCCATGGTCGGGTTAGTTTCAAATCAGATTGTACTCTGGCAGGACCTGAACATGGTTTAGTGTGTGTGTAGATAAGGAACTTATTCTGGTGAAATGTCGGAAAACATCTATGTGTGTCTCTATCAGCATTTAGGCTGTGTAGTGCCAGACTGTGTGGAACTACAAGAGATGATCTGCGAGTCATGCATGAATAAAACACCTTTCCTTTGGAACTATGCTGCACATATTGCAGGTAATGTTATACTGTTATCTGCTTCCATTTTGCATTTACAGATATTTAGAATGACTGCAAAGTTTTTTGGGGAGAGAATTTAATTGTACACTACCACCGTTCAACATTTGGATTAAGATTTTTATTTTATTTTTAATTATTGCTTTTATTCAGCAAAGACGCAATAAATTGATCAAAAGTGGCAGTAGAAATGTATCACAGTTTCCACAAAAATATTAGCAGCACAACTGTATTCAACGGAGATAATAATAATCAGCATATTAGAATGATTTCTGAAGGATCAGGTGACACTGAAGAGTGGGGTAATGGCTACTTAATTTTTCTTGGCCATCACAGAAATGCATTTTAAAATATCCAAAAATAGGAAACAGTAATTTTCACAATATGTTTTATTTTTTAATCAAATAAATTCAGCATAGATGGACATAATAGACTTTCAAAAATATGTAAAAAAAAATCTTATCGAGCCCAAACTTTTGACTGGTAATGTACATTAACATATCATTTGTCAGTTAGCATCTTTCACTAAACATTTCTACATTTGTGAAGGCTTATTTTGTCTTGTTTGCATCAGTTACACCCATAACAAAAGTAAGCCCATCCAAAGAAGAAGGGGATGTGAAGGTGGAGGTAGAAAATGATGAAGAGAAGATAAAAAACGAGAACCTGAAGAACCCTGTAGATGAGAAGGTACTTGCTGTCTGCTGTGTAATGTCTGTCGTCTTGTCTCGGAGTAGGAGGCTGATTCGTGAAATGGCAACTTTTCCATTCATTCCTGTTCAGTCTGTTTTATTGCTGACAGCCTAACTTAAATCTCCTTTAAACAACAGATATGCAGTGAACAAGTGTTTCAAGATACTAGATGCATTAAGGATTTAAGACACAGTTTTGCCTTTGTCTCACCACAAGATGGCGGTAGTTATCAGAAAGAGTGTTTTCATTGGGGAATTAACGCATCTCATGCGTCATCTGTCTCAAGCCATAATTTGAAGGAATCAAGCTAAATTGAATAGAAATTATGCTAACCCAGCTGTATGACTGGGGAATATTAAATTATTTGAACAATCTACACAGCAAGAGAGGAATGAGTGATCAAGATTTGATGACCTTCTCTCTGCTGACAGGTGCAGGTCAACGGGACATCCGCCTGTAAGCGTAAACACCAGGAGGAAGCTGAAGGTTCCTCCGAGGAGGGCTCGTGCTCCGGGTGCAGGCTGAGAGAGATGAAGGCTTCGGGGAGGAGCCGGGCTCCTCAGGGTGCCGTGTTCTGGCCGTCTGCCTGGCGCACCAAACTCTGCACCTGCACCGACTGCAAGGTATTACAGACCACATTTACTCACCATCTCTGCTTTCACCCTTCGTTAACAGGTGCAATTCAATTAGAATTGGATTATAAATTGTAATAATTATTATTATAATGACAATTTTCTCTCTCTCTTTTACTTATTTCAAATAAATGCTGTTCTTTTGAACTTCATTCATTAAAGGTTTCTGGAAAAAAAATTATCATGGTGTCCACAAAAATATTAAGCAGCACAACTGTTTTCAACATTGATAATAATAAGAAATGTCTTGAGCACCGAATCAGCATATTAGAATGATTTCTGAAGGATCACGTGACACTGAAGACTGGAGTAATGATGCTTATAATTCAGCTTTGCCATCACAGGAATAAATGACCAAAAATAAATATATATATATATATATATATATTAGGGCTGTCAGTTAAACGCGTTATTAACGGCGTTAACGCAAACCCATTTCAACGGCGTCGTTTTTTTTATCGCGCGATTAACGGTCTTTTTGGCCTAGCAAACTTTAGTTTTTTTCACATGCTTTTGCAACAGGACGCGGCATGCGCGGCGCTGCGCTTGAAACCCATTCATTTCAATGGTCTATCTAGACCGGAAACAAAACAACAGGCACGCCGCACACACTTGTTTGGGCTTGCGAGCCGGCCAAATAGTTGGTTAATGTTACGTTTTGAGTGGATGACGAGTGCGAGACGCCGAAATGGATGCCAATAAGATTCTGAATGTAAAGTTTACTTTTAAAAAGTTGCCAAATGGTTCCATTGATCGTGAGTTAACTATTACATTAATCGCGATTAAATATTTTAATCGTTTGACAGCACTAATATATTATATATATATATATATATTTATTTATTACTATATTTTTAACCATATAAATAGATAGATAAATATGTATATAATGATTTACTGACTTTTTTTTAATCTTATTTGTTCCTGGTCTCACGTTAATTGGCTTTGTTTGCTTAGATCCTCTATGCAGACACAGGAGTGTCTTTCCTCACGGATGAGATGGACACCGTCCTGGCGTATGAGAACAAGGGCAAGTCCACAGAACAGGCTGAACAAGCGGGTGGAGCCGAGGGTCGTGACCCCTTGATGTCGGCCTTAAACAACCTGAATCGGGTTCAGCAGCTGGAGATCATCCATGGTTAGTAGGGTTTACTGACAACTTTATCTGTGTGAAAGCAAAACTAATTCATGATGTGAGATTTCAAATTGAACTACTCCCAATATGCTATCAATTCAACTGTGACGTTCCCATTACATTTTTCTTCAGAATATAATGACATGAAGACAGAACTGAAGGACTATCTGCAGAGATTTGCAGCAGAAGGAAAGGTAGGCTTTCAATATTTATATTTTTAATGTTGTTGAGTTGAAGATGAGTTTGTACAATCTAGTGTTAAATTTCCTTGTTTAGGTGGTGACACCTGAGGACATCCGCCAGTTTTTTGAACAGCAACAAAGCCGCAAGAGACGAAGAGCCAACGCAGGCCAGTACTACTGCAGTTAAACCGTCTTTCACCCTGACACTTCAAGCATACCAGCTACATCCAACCTTTCATGTTTCTTTTTCTCCAGCTTTTTTTCCAAGGCCATTCCTGGTTTTATAAAATAAACACGCAGTTTAAATTCAGGCCCTCATAAGCTTGTATGATTTTGACCTTCTATATTAGTGATGTATGACAGGTTCTGTGTTCCCAAAGATATAGCTGTATTACTTTTCTTGTAATCCTGCCATTCCAAATAGGGGGTTGAATTTGCAATGACGTTCAGCTCAACATGTCACAAGTGGCTCTCAGTGTCCAGAAAGATACATTATGGAAAGGCACTTCTATAATGTCATAAAACAGCAATTGCAGTCAATCCTCAGGAGCTCTCTCTTTTAAGCAATTTAAAATGGTGTCGTTACATACTGAAGAAGGCTATTAGGAAAGTCACAATCACATGACTGCATTCAGTATTAATTGTTCTGAAGAGATGGCTAATATTCACGTTCATGTATGTCAGGGTAAATAGTGCTACAGCCTATTAGAGAAATCTGTTTAGGAAACACAAACCTATGTAAGTGCTTTTTCAGGTTATTCATTTCAGTCATTGTTGAGATCTATTAACCCTTTTTATTTGATCTTGTTTTAACCTGTTTCATGTGTAGATTCTGTTACTTTTTAATGTCCTACCTTTGAGAAATAAACATGGTAATACATTTGGGCCCTGTGATGTATGTCTCAGTTTATCCCAGAAACTCTCCATTAGGGTGAAATAGCCGATGAGATTTAGTTGAACAAGTCAGTAAAGCCTCTAGGATTTCTAAATCGAATTTAAAGTTTTGTAAATAACCGATCAAGCTTTATACACCATTCCAAAAGGGTAAAACTAATCAAGGCCAGTCCCTCAGGTGCTCTTCGGTCATTTGTGGCCGAAAATTTTTCTGTTTCGAAATGTTAAAAATCACAGCTTCATCGGAATGTTACGAAACTTAGTGACTTTTATGGCATTGGGTATGTGAATACAAAAAAAAATTTAGGTCATGATCCGAGCAGGCTAAGTGGTCGTAAAAAAACACTTGTGCTCAAAAATGACCGACCATAGGAAATGAATGGGAAATTGACAAACACAAATTCTCTACAAATCGGCCACAATGCAAAAAAAAAAAATGTATCCCCCCCTCAAAGTGATCAGTGCTACTACACTAGTGGCGAGACGGATCACAAAACTTATCACGGGTCCGTGGTTTGATTAAAGTCAATTTTATTTAAAAATAACAATAATAATATAAATAATAATAAGCTGTGAAAAAAGCATTACCGTTTATTTTTTTTTATTGAATTGTAATGTTACCTGTAACAAAATGCTTTCTCTGTATTCAGGTTTGACTGTAGTAATAATGCAAAAACGTGTACACTTCACACCAATTTTTTTTTTTTTTTGATAAACCATAGCAAAAAGTATTATTTGAGAATTTCAAAAAAATACATTCAAATCCACATCTTAAAAGTAAGTAATTTTGTCCAAAAACAATTAGAGAATTCACAAGCCTCTCCATAGAGAGCTATACAGGCTATACAGTGGTTACACCATGAAACAACATGTTTTATTTTATTTTCTCTCAACAGATGGCGCTAATCTGACTTCAAAAATTGGATTTAAAAGGTCTGGTCTCTGTATTAATCTGAAATACTGCAATAATTGAAAAAAATATGTTAAAAAAAATAGGAACTTTTTTTTTTATGGCAAAAATGGACCATAAATATTGCATAAATATTAATAAGTAACATCAAATTCTCTCAAAATACAAAATTAAAAAGAAAAAATATTATTGAACAAAAATAAATTGCATTGGTTTTACTGGGATGGAGAAAGTTTCATTTTTAGGTGTTTTCACTTCTGACCGGGAAGATAACAAGTGTGACTCCATTAGCGAAGAGCACCTGAGGGTTAAAAAAAAAAAAAAATCGAAATGCGCTTACATGTATATTCTGTAGGGTGAAACCATTTGTGCACTGTTAAAAGTTAATAAAAAAAAAAAAACATTTAATCGAGTTTGAGAGATTTCATGTGTAACAAAATGTTATATTGTGATTAAGATGTAATTTAACAAATGTAATTAAATTGTTTAAAAAATTTAGCTATATTTAAAGAAAAAATTTACGTAAACATAAACGTCATGGCTGTGGAGTTACAGTAATGGATGTTGCCCATTTAAGAAAAAGGGGAATTGTGTTTAGACCGTTTTCTTTGTGTATGTCATTGCATGACTGCGGATCTGAGGGGTGGATTCGCATTCATTTGACTAAATTTCTATCAATTTCATGTGTCGCACTTTATTAAGAGTCAGGTGTTATAGGCCTACTGATAACTCAGATTTTTTTTAATTTTTTTTTACATTTTCATCTAATTTTTGATAAATACAGCCTCCATTTTAGATAAATCTAGATTTGTGCTAATTTGTCGGTGATGTTAGTCTTTCATGGTAACCCAACAGACATAGAATAGAGAAAACTATTCTCCCTCGGTGGAATAGGGGCAAAGATGAAAAATTAAACACTTTTTCTTAAGAACTGTAAATTCTTAATTTTTCTTTAAAGTTGCATATTTCTACTAATTAACTAGAAATAAACTAGAAATTTACTTCAAATACTGGTACCACAGGCATAAGTGGTTGTCACTTAGTATTTAATTTTGATTTAAAAAAAAAATCAAGCTTTAATTTGACTGGACATGGCATATTTTAAATACATAGCAATACATTTTATTTATCTTTTAAAAAACTATATTTTTTTCTAATTTTGCTTCTCGTTTGCCACCGCAATTGAAAACCCTGTTACTGTTGCATGAGGGAGAGTCCCTGTAGCTATAGTCATTTACATAAATGCGCCCAAACAATGTCCTTATAAGGGCTTTTCAGACAACCTCACTTTTCTAGCTTGTTTGCATTCATGCTCGCGCAGCGCTCATATTTCAACTAAAGCCAAACATTTACTTCTCAAAATTAGTTAAAACACAATCAGGCCTAGACTACATGTGAACGTGTTTCGGACCTCTTGTACTCTGAAATAATTAATTTCTAAATCAACTTTATATATACCTTGATAAATTACAATAAGTATGTGATTTTGCGTAAGTGTGGCTCCAGTTGGTTCTAAATTTAAACGTTAATTTCAGTACGAGATGAATTATAACTTCTGCATGAAAATGTTTGTATGTTGTTAGTGAATGGAGACCCAGTATTTTACCCTCCCATTTCCCACTAATGGCAAGGTGTTACTCACTGCTTATCTGGCAGTTCCAATGAATGAAAACAACAACACACAAGCATTATAACTCAAAACTATTTATTTCCAAGACATTAGTCACCTAATTGCAGAGTAAAGTTCATAACTACACCGGCCAAAGAAAAGAATAGAAAAATAGACACTTTCCACAACTCCACAAAAGAATGCTTTTTTTTGTATGTATGTGTGTGTGTGTGTGTGTTTATATATATATATATATATATACACACACAAATATATGTATACACACAAACACACACAAAGTCTCAAATAGATATCGCATGTTTTATATATATTTATAAAAACTTTACACTTTACATACAACAAAACACCATATTTCTGAGGCCTGTGATCAAAGGTACCAAAAATCTTGAAAAATATTTTTTTCTGAAAGAAAAAAAGAAGACAAAATAAACATTATGCACACTAAGCGTTGGCTACAGTATTACAAAGAGACGGTTTAACAGAGGTTTGTAGAAAGGGCTTGCATAAGACAAAAGGGGTGCGGAGGAAGCCCAGCCTCAGGCAGGGAAGGCACTAAATCGTCTCCAAAAGAGAGATAGCACAAGAGAGAACCTGGAGATCTTGACTTGTAAGTCTTCAAACACAACTTCCCTTGCCCCTCACACATCCAAAACACAAACCTTCGGTTCAGTTCAGCCTTGCGGCACTTTGGAGATAAATAACGCAACGCCATGCAAATATACTAAAAGGATTAGGAATGAATGTTTAAGAAAAATGACTCAGCTGTGAATCTAGAACTGAATAAACAGACACTTCAGTCAAAAATAAATCAATAGAGCCAACAGAGGGCACTATTCCACAACAAGTGTTACACATACCGCCATCAAAAATTTAGTGCAATGGGTACCTTCATCTGTTTTAGCTTTTATTCCTTGGTTTAAGATGGTCAACGAAGCCAATCATTTTAGACAATGACAATTAGACGTCAAACAATGGCTAGTTTGAGTTTTACAACACAGACTAAACAATGATGCAAGCTTCTCATCTGGGAGCTCAAATGCATTTCCAATTCATTCTCTTAACAGCCTCAGGCAAGCAGCCCACAAACCAGACTAAACCCAAATGACAATAAATAGCATTTGTGATAGAAATGTATTAATTATGAGGTCAGTGTGCATCTCAAACGTGAAATAATACCTTCAACTGTGTGCATTGACTTTTGCAGCAATCAGAACCCACCCTCAAAATGATCTGATTGGTGTTTTATAACATGAAATAAATAAAAAGACTTCTCAGCATCTTCGAAATGGCCTGAGTATAGCAGAGGCGAAGGTGATCTAAGGAGTTTTCCTAACCTCCCCCTTAATATTAAGGCATGGCTGGGTCTATCCGGGACTAGATCGCTGGGAACGGCATTGACCTCAAGAAATAATGTTCTCCGCTGGCAGGAAAACCTCTGAGTAGCAGCAGTAGGCCTAAATATCCATCTGTCAATTTTGGGTCATGGTTACGCAGCGAGTGTGATTCACTAGAATGACATGACAAACCTCAGATCTCCACTAGGCTGCCTCCAAGGGAAGTGCTGATGCCAATTACTCAATGCTTAGAGTTACAGGTAACAGTCACCTAAAAAATAGCAAACTAAAAATGCAACTGTTACATTTAAAAAAAAAAAAGAGAGAGAGAGGGAGGGAGAGAAATGTCATACCGAGAAGTCTTTGCTCATCAGACCTCAGATGAATTCAAAATGGCATTGGTACAGAGGGATGGACCCACAGTTCAAAAATACTGAGTTACAAACCAGAAACACTGAGAATTTAAATGACTGCACTTTTGACAAGAGCTTACAGCACATCAAAAGGAGAACATGCAAGCTGCTGGTAAAACAATTCGCATGCCAGGTAGATCGAATCATTATCGTCATGATGACATGAAGCCTGGAGGATCTGCAAGGTAAAATGAAGACACCTGCTCTGTGAAACAAATCTAGGGTAAAACATTTATTTATTCGGAATAAAAGTGCTTAATAAATTGGTTCAACTCCTCCTCTTTTTGCTGCAGAATGAGGTCAGGGAAGGTAGGATTAAGTAGGCTGCGACACATTGCTTACTGAAAGCTGAAACTAGTGTATTATCAAGTTTGCTCATATTCCAAAGGAAAGGTTTAACCATGTGCATCAGTGACTGAAGATTTTCAGGAATCCGATAAGCCTGGCGTAAAGAGAACTGTAGAACTACGTCCTTGACATTAAGAGGAGATGAGCAGCCTCCTACCAATCTCAGTCGACTTCACCTCTCTGAGGAGATCACTTGTACCCCAGCCAGGGTCTATGCTGGATCTATTTTTGGATTTGACCCTCTGAGGCTTTGCGGGATGGCAAACTGGAGCGCTCCCACTCAGGGTTCATGACTCTTTGAGGCTTGACTCAGAAGTGCACTGCAGTAGGAGTCCAGAAGGACCCATTTGTTGCACTGCAACCGAATCAGCCGGCTAACATTTCTGAACAACTAAGAGTAGATGAACAATAACACAAGCTTACCGCCATAACACCTGATTGAGTTCATTATCACGTAAGATGGCACAGTCCTCACTTTCTACACAAGAATGAGCTGTTATGCTGAATCTAATAAAACAGCAAGTGTAAGGAGAGGAGGAGAGGAACCGTAGAAATATGCAAGAAAGTGGAGAAAATTGTATTTCTGGCTGTTGGTTCTGGTCCCTCAGAGATAAATGTTCAAGGTGAGGCTCTAGATGTCTAAATAAGTTGATAAGAATATAAAGAAGGAAAATCAAATTGACTGAAGTACATGTTGAGAGAAGCTGGTCAGAGGTAGAAAGTCTCTCTGGCACAGAATACCTTACGTGATTTAAGATGGAGAACTGCGTTACCCAAGGTGAGGTCTTAAGGCCGTAACTGCAGATACAGCAGTACTAACCCCAACATCAACTCTTAAGGCTATCTTTATAGGTCAAAATACCTGGGGAGGGATCAACAAAATCAATCGATGATAAATGTTCCTTCTATGATCACAGTCATCAAAGAGTCTGTGTAACTAACATGAATCTCAAGCCAACAGTTTCAATTCAGCTGATAAAGAGAGACAGAAACCTGGTAAATAAAATGCTTTCGAGATTCAACAAGCAACACAAACATCCTCCCCAACCCATCTTTGGTCTAACTGTGAGTTCTTAACAGTCCAAAAAACAACAAAAAAACAATCTGATCGACCATCCAACCAAACCTCAAGCCTTTTACTAGAGTATAAAATATTTGAGCACTTTTGTCTGACAAGAAATAAATGACATTCTCAGTATTTCTCAGTACGTTTGTGCTTTCAACCAACAAAACAGTTATTGTGCTCCAATGAAAGCACTCAAAGTTAGGAACGTGGGATGGATATGACTGAGGATTGTTTGGATATTCAACAGAGGTCCCACCTGGTCTAATAAAACCAGAGATGCTTATATAATAGTATTTGAGAGTATGTGAAAATACAGTACCATTACTTGTGGGGAAAGACTATTGTTGATTATCTTAAAGGGATAGTTCACCCAAAAATGCTAATTCTGTCATCATTTACTTACCCTCATGTTGTCCCAAACCTGTACGAGTTTCTGGCTTTCTGCAGAACACAAAATATAATTTGAAGAATGTCTCAAGGCTTTTTGTTTGTTTGTTTTTTGTCCATACAGTGAAAGTCAATAGGGTCCAATGCTGTTGTTTTTGGATCCCACTGCCTTTTATTGTATGGACAAAATCTCTTTGTGTTCTCTAAGTCATACAGCTTTGGAACAACATGAATGGTGACAAATTACATTTTTGGGTGAACTAGCCTGCATATTTGTGTCAGTATGATAATCGAGAAATATTTTTATTGTAGGGAGAAGAGAGCAAAATGAGTATTTAAAATAAAAAAGGCTGCCTATTGCAGTTATTATAGAGTACAGAATACAGGTATTTCAGATGGTAAAAAAAAAAAGCTTAAAGTAAGTCACTTTTATAGATAGGGTGTGTAGCAGTGTGTGGGATATTGTTTCTTAAAGTGTTGTGTAACAAATCAAAAGTAAATCCTCTAAATCTTTGTGTACATGACACTTTCTAAGATTTCTTTTCTTTTTTGCAAAGCCTGTTCATGACATCATAATTATTGGTCGTCTGCTGACAGAACTAGCGCAGAAAAGCTAATGAAGGTCTGCTGTCCCACCAAACTAGAGGACTGAGGATGTGGCGTGAGGTTGGTTTGATTGAGATTCCTGTACATTTCTGGAGGACGAGGCTGATAATGATCAACCCGCTTTTGCCATCTCTCAGGAATGCCAGCAACCGCAGCCTTGGAAAGAGAATCTGAATGCAAAAGTGGGTGCCAAATTTTTGTTCGAGAGGACAGATAGTTTTTTAAGTTAAATACACTAGAATGAATCTGCAGATCTGAGTTGTGAAACACGGTAAAACAAAGCTCCATTCACATTTTGATTTAATGGCGCATCTGTGCCATTGTTATGCCTGATATGTTGCCTCATAGGAGACAGGGGATTTCATTTGTTTTCCCTTTTATGTTCCATCTCGGCTCTTAAATTGCCCAGGCTAATGTAAAAGCCGGCAAATGCAGCGGATTACACAAGCTATTACTGCCACTCTGCCCTCAAAAGGAGGAGGAGCCGTTTTTCAAGGACTAGACAAAGTAATGAGTTTGCAACTTATTGCCTTCATATTTTTTAAATTTACTCCTAAGGAACTAAATCTGTGCATCTAGATAAATATATATTTTCTCCAGTCATCCTAGTATGTTCAAGGAAATTAAAGTAAATAAAATATACTGTGATACCTGTACATTAATATGCAGCATGTGAGGAAAATATGAGAACCATAATGAATCAGACTAAATCAATTTTGACCTCTTTTCAGGGTGCACACAACCAAACCAAGCTCTCCTCAAATCTATACTAGGTTTCAAACCTATCTGGAGCGGTTTAAGTGACATCTCCCTTTAGCATCTCCCATCAGAAAAGCAGCCACTCGCGTAGCTTATGGGCGTTCATCACTTCAAGATACTGTCGTCCCTTGAAAGAATACAAAGTGCAGGACTGCTGGTGCCTCACCTGTTTGCTTACACGTAGCATTTAAATTAGTCCTCAGTCTCTTTTTTAATCAGGGGTCAGAGAGCAGACTTCCTGTAGGGGTAGTCGGGTTTGTTGGGTGACCTGCGGTCTCGGGCCCCCAACCCTCCCTCGTCCCCAGTCCCTACATTCGCACCTAAGCCCAGCCCAATTCCCTCTGGAGCAGGCCGGCGGCCTGTGGGCCATTCCTCATACTGTTCTGTGGAGGGGCCGAGGCCACAGGTGAGGTCCGTCTCATTTACGGGCCGTGACCTCAGCACGGCTTGCGCAACGCCCCCTTGCGAGACAATTGCCAAGTCTAGTCTCTGTGGAGGCTGTTCCAGCACATCCAGGCGGAGGGATTCTGAAGCCTCTGAGTAGGACGGAGGCGGCGCCCCTCCGCCTGCCTGACGGCCGTGGATGTAGAGGTCTGGTCCACAGTAGGGAGGCACGTGGCGGCCCGGGAATTCGTAGAGATCTGGGAAGTCAGGCTGCGGGCCCTCGGGCTTGGGTTCGGCTGCATGCCGCTTGCGGGAGGAGTGCAGGTGACGGCTGGAGTAGCTGTGGGACATGGGAGGAGCTGTAGAAATGTGAGGGTGGGCTTCGTGACTCTCCACCTCCATAGAGACCTCCGGAAGTCGCCGTTCCTTTAGGCTCATTGCCGAAACACCCATGGCAATGTCTGGCATGAACTCGTTGATGACAGGCTCCATGTTCTGCAAGAATAAGTTAAAATACAACTGTTATCTCTAGGGAAGCATGATATACCAGTACCATATTGGCTATCATCCATTATTATTATTATTATTATTATTTAATAGGGGTGTAACGATACCCTCAAGTCACGATTCGATACATATCACGATACAATATTATTGTGATGCTCCAAGACATATGGTAAAAGGTTAAAAAACTGTTGATTAAAATGCTAAATTTGGTGTTACATTGTGGGTGTAAATGAATAGGCTTGGTGCTGGTAAGCCAATGCACAGGGACAATAGTGACACCAGAATAAAAATATTCATGATTCTGAAGCTGAAAACAGAATTATTTTTTTTAGACGAAAATAATTAATGTAGGCCACTTTTTACTGGTAACATAAGACATTTGACATTATCAGGACACAAATATTCCCCCATTGCATATATTCAACATTATATATATTAGTTTAATGTAGTACTGACACTAAAACTCTATAAAATTGACATTTTTCACACACAGTAATTATCATTTTATACACAATACATATTGTCACTATCCACGATACATAGTTGCATTTTTGTATTGTGATATATTGTGAAACGATATATTACACCCCATAAAAACATTTAATTTAATTTAATCTGTATGTCAATGTTGTATGTATAGATGCTAATTGTCCCATTTTTCCCATTTAGATTATTTAAAAACACTTAACAATTTAATAACACTGTTAAATGTTATTTGAAATATATATTTAAAAATGTAAACAACAGTATATTTAAAAAATTGGAAAAAAAAAATAAATAAAAAAAAATAATAATAATAATAAAGAATAATATATTGCTATTAATAACCATTTGCTTGTCAGGATGAAGATTCCTTCCCCCCTGTGCGTTAGTGCAGTCTGGGGGCAGGGGCTTGGCTCCTGGTGGGTAGACTGGGCTGCCCATTTTTGTAGAGGTCTGCCTATGAAGGAGTGCATGATTGCAGGGGTAGGAGAAAGATCTGGAGGGAGGTTGGCTGGGGACCCGTGGTCTCCAGCCTGCTTTAAACTGCTGCTGGCCATGGCCCGGGGTGGTCGGAGGATGGTAGGGTGGAGGAGGTGGGGGCAGAGGGGGGTGGAAGCCCACCAGAGCCTCCAGGTCAGTGAACATACTCTCCACAGCTGGTGTACTGTTGACCCGGCAGCGACCTGACTGGCGCAAGGCCAGAACGGGACTCTCGTCTCCGAAACGCTCCTCAGGAAAGAATTTGTGTGGATTCTAAAACACAGCACACATCAATGTAAGGGCATGTTTGTGCTAGACATGCTTCAAAAATGAGAGTTAATGGGCTGTCTGGTATGCTGAAGAAGTTTTGACTCCTTCAAAGTTTTCCAACATAGGTTGTCACTTAATGGTGAGAATAACAAGACATCACAGTAGTTCAAGGGCTCAGAGCACTTCTAAACCAAGAGCACAGTAACTGGAGAAACATGCTAGTCAAAGCAACATAGAGTGACGCAGAACACACGAAGGCCCGAAAAATACTCTACGCAAGTACGTGAATGCAATTTGAATTAATTTAGAATGATTTCTGAAGGATCATGTGACACTGAAGACTGGAGTAATGGTTGCTGAAAATTCAGCTTTGACATCAAAGCAATAAATTACTTTTTAAAATATATCAAAATAGAAAACAGTTATTTAAATTTTAACAATATTTTAGTAATATAGACTGTCACATGTGTGAATCTCTTTTTTTAAATCCTTTTTTTTTTTTTTTTTTTTACAAAATCAGTATGAGTGCCTGCAATCCCTAGAAAACATAATTGTATTCATCAGAGGCTGGGGTAAAACTAACTAACGTGAAAGTCAGAGTGAGATTTACAGTAGCCATAGCAACTTGTCAGTGCCTTCACTCAAACAGGATGTGCTGGGTTACCTGTAGGAGTTCTGCAGCCCCGTCAGGTAGGCCAAACTCTCGGAGCACACGGATCTGCAGCTCGTAACTGACTGTTGCGCCCTCACCACAGTTCAGAGCATACGCTCGCTGCACCTGGTCTGTGTGACGCAGCTCCTGCAGCCTACGGATCATTTCCTTCACTACTGCCAACCTGGGCACTGAAAGACAGGGTGAGAAAAGGAAAACACATGACTTAAGTTAGAATAAATGTGTAAATACAGATGAATAAATGCATCAATTAATAATATTGCATACCAGGTCATAAATAGAGATTTATAAAAGATGGGTATATTGACAACAAAAAGTTTATTTTTTTTAAATTGGTGTTGAATTTTGTTTTATATAACACCCACAGCATCACAAAGCTTGCCAATATACAAGGCCAATGTTCCCACTCACATTACACACATATATATATATATATATATATACATTATATATATATATATATATAAAAACACTGAATTGCTTCTTGAAAACAAACTGCAAAATTAACTTGAGAAAAACAATGTCTCATGGTTTGATTTATGGGAGTCACAACTACATCTAGATTAGGACAATATATTTGGCCTCTGTGAAATATCTCTCTAAAATGACTTGATTGTGGTGTTTGAGTGATTAATTTTATCAAGTATAAACGAGTATCACACAGATATATAGTAGACATAATGATGGGACTGAAATTGTAGATTGGCTAAAACAATGCATCATTACAAGGCATGAATGAGTGCTTAACCCACCTGGTATCTCATTAGCAACCACAGACGGCGGAGCTGTCTGGCTGCCAGCCATTTGCTGGTGGTTGATCATGTGACAGCACTGAGGGACGGCATTGTTCACCATGTAGAGTGTGTCGGGTACATTGGACATACGAACCATGCGCAGCCTAACCAGATCGGTCTGCTCAACCATCATCTCCTCCAGAACCGCCTGGAGGAACACACATACACAAAGTTTAATGCAAGTCATATAATGAAATGGGTAACTTACCCACTTACTAAGGTTATTCTATAAACCAAGTGCCTTTTCAAAATGATTTGATTTTAAGTACAGTCTAGAAGACTTTAATATATATAATTAAAGAATTAGTGAATTGTTCAATTGTATTTCTTTCCTCTTTTTTCAATAACTTTTCCCATGTCTTCATCTGTTCATTTTAATGTAGTGGTTAAATATTCTGCTGTATGCGAGGTGAGAAAGTATATCCTACCTTGGCCTCCTCCACATAAGGAGAGAAGAGCCGTGGGCGGACATAAATGCCAGCACTCTTCTGCCGGAGCCAGGCGTTGGCTTTGCCTCCCTCTGCTGTGGGCAGCATGTCAGAGGGAGGGGTGCTGATCAGACCCCTCTTCATCTGTTAAAGGCAGAGGAAAGGTCTTTACCGATACGTGACGAGAGCAGTCAAGAAGAGCAATGGTGTATCTGTTTTCTTTATTACTGAACAGTACTGAGAGTCAGAGTATATACTCATTCATGCATCCATCAATACTGACATTTTTATCATTTTTATCATTTTTATTCAGAGTGTGCTGTACAGAAAAACAATAGTAACATGTTTCTCATTTGGCTTGTAGTGTCATGACAAATTTCTTATGGAGGATGATGGGTGGGTTCCCCATCATCCTGATCTATATAACACAAGTTTTAAAAGGACAAACTATCATTCAAAAGTTTGGGGTGTGTAATTTGTTTTATGGTTTTGAAAGTAGTGTCTTATTCTCTTATACCAAGGCTGTGTTTATTTGATCAGTTATGTTATATAAGTTATATATAGTTATATTGTTACAATTTAAAATAAACATTTTAGACATATTAAAATAGAAAATGGTTATTCCTGTAACAGCAAAGCTGAATTTTCAGCAGTAATCATTCTAATATGATGATTTGATGCTCAAGAAACATTCCTTATCATCAATGTTGAAAACAGTTGTGCTGCTTAATATTTTTGTAGAAACCGTTTTTATTAGGATTCATTGATGAATAGAAAGTTCCGTTTCTCAGGGACAGGGGCTCAAAATGTAAAAAAGGGGCATCTATCACTACAGAGTAATTTCATTATAACAATTACAACAGTATTTATATTGGATGGATGGATGGAATTTTGTGTGTTTAAAATCTAGCGTGACATCCCCTTAATGTGCCTGTTTAAGCTGTACAAACCAATGACACAAACACACTTACAGTGTCAGAGAGGACCTCACTGTTGGTGGGTAATATGTGCTCAGTTCGGACGAAAGGCAGCAGCAGAGAGAGAATCTCTTTAAGCTCTTCCAGGTCCAGATCCCTTCTTTTCACACCACGTTTATTCACACTATGTGCAGTACCACTTAACAGGTTAGGCTCTGGGGAAAACACAGAAACATACACAGTCACACACAAATATTTAAGTTGGAGGAAAAGGTGGCCCAACTTTTCTAGCCCACAATATAATTCAGACTACTGATGGGTGGGAGGGTGTGTGCTTCCAGAGGATTAGCGGTATCACTATGCAGCTCCACTGGCTGCTGCTGTGCCCTTGAGCGAGGAATTAAAGCTCCTCTGTTCTAGGAATGCTGCATGGCAATGGACCCTGAATTACTATCTACACCAAATTAGGATCATGTATAAAGATTGTTAATGACAAAATGAAGGTTTATTGTTGCATTGCTGTTTCCCTTTAGAATGTGTTCTGGGGAATCAAGCAATCAAAGATCGTATTTATGGTTTGACACCAGCTATAAACATTTAAGACAGTGTTAGTCTGGGAATTTCTGATTCTGTTGGGTACACAGAGCAAATGCAGACCCAGGTCTGGAGCTGCCAGCCATATGCTACGCTTCTGTACTGCAGAGCACTTGGCCTGATTTCTCAGTGCTGCTGAGCCAGTCAGAGTCATTACTAGACATTAGGAGGATTGGGGAATAAATCATTAGACTGGCATAGTTTAGACCACCATCTATGGCAAGAGGTGAAAACAGGGACAAATTCAGCGGCACAGAAAAATGTTTGGGCCAGAGAAAATTGTGTGTGTGTGTATGGAGTAGATGGGGATTAAAGGAATAGTCAGGATTACATTTTTTGCCTGAACATTATTCATTCCAAACCTGTATGGACTTGCTTTCATCCAAGGAACACAAAAGTAGTTTAGCAGAATGTCCAAGCTGCTTTTTTTTTTTTTTTCATACAACAAATGTGGATGGGGATAACAGGCTATCAAGCTCCGGATATCACCATAAAAGCAAGCAATAACTTATACACAACACTTTAACTTCATACGGACAACATTCATGATATTTTTGTCTTTTCAGTATGACAGACATGGTCACTATGAACACATGGAATGAGCCATGTAATAATTCTTGTAATGAAATATACAGTAGCATTCAAAAGTTTGGGGATAGAAAGTAAAAAAAAAAGAAGAAAAAAAGAAATGAATACATCTATTCAGGAAGATCAAATGTGCAATTGATCAAAAGTGACAGTAAAGAATTTTACATTTACATTTATTCATTTAGCAGATTTCTGAAGGATCATGTGACATTGAAGACTGGAGTAATGATGCTGAAAATCACAGGAATAGATTACATTTTAAAATATATTAAAATAGAAAACAGAATATTGCACTTTTTACTGCAATATTTATTTTATCCAATAATTTGGATAAAATAAATGCAGTCTTGGTGAGCATAAGAAGAGACTTTCAAAGGCATTTTAAAAATTCTTACTGACCCCAAACTTTTCAATGATAGTATATAAATACTTTTGTGTTTTACAAAAAAACAAAACAACATATTAGGTTTGATATGAAGGTGAGTAAATGGATGACAGAATTTTCGTTTTTGGTTGAACTATTCCTTTAATGTGTATCTAGTGACATAAATTTCTGTGTGTGATACCTCTATCGGCCATCCTCTTGATGAGCTGGTGTTCGCCCCACTTCACAACATACTTGAGGATGTCCTGTTCACTGGCCTGTGAAGAGGGGAGAAGAACAGTATAAGTTTGTTACTGAATTTAGCCAAGGCTGAAGGAAACTGGTGTATGCAAGCTTAAAGGGCATATTGCAGGTTTTATTTTTTATCAAAATTAATATATAACCTTGTATGAAAATACCATATTAAAAAATGAATGCAGGATTTAAAATGGTTTTGCAAGACATAAGGGTACAAATTTAGTAGAAAACGTGACAGTTTCCTTGACCGTGTTGAAAAAGCGCTTTTTTTTTCAACATTGCATGAGAGGGAGTTGTTTGCTGGGCTCTGCGTTTGCTCAGTGCAGAGTAGGTTGGTATTCAGTAGGAGCGGTCGTGGTTCAGTGTGTTTTGGTAGTTATTGTATTTCAATTTTCCATCCTCATGGTAAATTATTGTGAATTATAGCCTGTCAGGACATCGAGTCCACAGGTTTCCGAACAAGAAAAATGCTATCTTCCGTGCCTGGGTGCGTTTTGTACAGGTGAAGAGATGGGATTTCACTTTTGCATCTGCTTCGAAAAACGCGGTAGTGTGTAGCGTTCACTTTAGACCGGATGAGTATAATCCCGGAGATATGATTGAGTTCAACATGGGATGCCGAAGCAAGAACCAAGTGAGACTCTGGGCTGGTGCGGTTCCTTCGGTGCACAGTGTCACAGCACCTTCATCGGGTCCGCCCGGTCCGTCGTCAGCATGTGGTTCGGCCGCCGAAGGAAACATGATGGTTACGGATTTGTCAAAGATCACTTAGTGTACATCTGCATCTGACAAACGCCATTTTGTAAAACAGAAGTAAAATTCTCACAAAAAAAACGACTCCAGAAGCCTTAAAGGGATAGTTCACTCAAAAAATTTTATTCTGTCAGTAATTACTCACCCTCATGTTGTTCCAACCGCGAAAGACTTTCGTTCATCTTCGGAACACAAATGAAGATATTTTTGATTAAATCTGAGAGCTGGATCACTCCTCCATAGGCTTCTAAGGGATTGAAACTTGGCGGCCCAGAAAAGTTATTAAACACATCGTTAAAATTAGGGATGCACCGATCCGATACTCAGTATCGGCTCCGATACTGCCATTTTTGCCTGGATCGGGTATCGATCAGACGAGGCCGATCCAAATCCGATATTGTGCGTATACTATTCTGTGTTATTGTTAAGCCCCACAAAAGGCACAAAAACATTCTAAAGTAACATAAAGTTTTCGTGCACTCTATTATAAGTGTTCTGAGGCCATTATGTGAGATAGAAATTATAATTAATATTTAAGTCATTAAATTCAAGATCACGTAAACTTTTCCCTCCGCTGCGGCTGTCAGTCATTCTCCATTCAGCATTCAAACAGGGCGTCGCGTTCGGTTACAGTCAACGATGAAACTCTCCAAGATGATTCAATGGTAATATTATTATACTTGATCTGTAGATAAAGGTCTATGGTTTCGCATAAAACAACTTTATCTTGCTGGACTTTATTGCTGTAACTTAATCATGTTACTTTCTACCAGGTGTCGGTTAGATCACAACACTAGAGTACAGTCAGAGCACTATAATTGTTCTTCACGTGCACAGTAACTGAAATTTAAAACTTTTAAAGTCCCTGTAAAGGCAATTTCAAAAAAAAATTCTAAACACATTATAAATGTTAGAAATGTATTGCTTAAACATATTACAAAGACTGTGAACTGTGAAGTACTGAATTGTGGAGTTAGACCGTTAAACAGTTTTTCACCATTGCTATTTTCCGGATTTTCTGGGCGGGGCTAAAACAGGGCTCGATGATGCACTGGAGCCCCTGAGCTCCTAGACACGCCCCTACTTGATGACGCACTGGAGCCGCTGAGGCTGGCCGCTCCTAGTCTCGCGTAGCCAGACCTTCAGACTGACGGCTGAAGGTCTGGAATTCATAGCAGCTTTCTTTGGCCAAGGCCCGTCCATAAGGCCGTTTGACCGACATGTCAAACAACCAATTACAGTTCGTTTCGTTCAGCGTCACGTTTCGGGGCGTGGAAATCTCCCCACAACAACAGACCGGCGTGCAACAAGTCAGTCAGCATAGAAAATCAAAGAAGGAGAAGAAAACTTCAAGAGTCTATGCCGTGAACCTCGCATACTTTTGAGAATCCTACCTTTAGCTGATCTTGATAAATGCTCATTGTCACTAATGTAAACACAACAGTTTTTCTTCCGCAATCACACGTCTGCGCTTTGTTTCCCGGCGGACCAAAAATAAACGCGACACTCGCGCCCCCCGGAAATCCGATAAAATTCAACCAATCAGATGACGACTTCGATATTCCTGAAGTGTTTCCAGTTAAGTGTACCATATGCATCAGACGTTTAGCCAACGTTCCGTGGGCGTGACGTCTGAGGCTGAGACTAGGCCGCTCCTAACAATATTATAGAGCACATTCACATCAGTTTGCTGCTCATTCGCGAGTTATTGTCAGTACTATAATTAGTAACAGCCTACAGATTGCTAGCTAGCTATGCCTTCGTCACGGAAATGCGTACTACCTGGATGCGATCACCGGATCACGTACAAAACATATCGGTGTACTTATTTACATTTCCGAAAAACGATTAGGCCAACATCAAGAAGTGGATTAATTTTGTGAAGAGCCACCTTGATTGAGAGCTGAGGATCACCGCCAAAACCCACCTCTGTAAGTGATCATTTTTCACGGGATAGTTTTATAAACTTTCGTCGGAGACAACTGGGATTCACTGATAATCCGCTGTTACTGGTGAATGGGGCCGAACCGACTCCCGCCTCAGCCTTCATCCTCCCGTCGCGCCAACAACTGGTGCCATCATCGGCAGTGCGTGCCCACCAGAGCCGGACAGTAACGGAGTACATTTACTCGAGTACAGTACTTAAGTACAATTTTGAGGGATCTGTACTTTACTCGAGTATCATTTTTGGGGAGTACTCATGACTTTACTCAAGTACATTTGAGAGGCAAATATTGTACTCTTTACTCCAATACATTTCTATCCATAACCGTGAGTACCCGAGTAAATAAAAAAGTAAAAAAAAAGAAAAATCTCGGAAACCCTCAATTTGTTGTTTCCCTCTCAAACGTGATTGGATTGTACAGGCGCCACTGATTGGGACAGCCTATCAGCAATCACTTTCAGCTTTCCGCCAAAGTCAACTCCATGGTCAGATTTTATATTACACATTAATGTAAGCCAAGCATTTGGTTTGAGGTTTTTGAGTATGTGGTGTGTTTAACACAGTCAGGTTCAAATGTGGCAGTGGCGTAGCCACGAGGGATTTCTGATTTCTTTAAAAAAAAAAAAAAACTTTAGGAGGCAAAATATATTTTTACTGATTATGTGAATTACACTGCGCAAACCAAAGTAGGCTACTACCCAGCGAATGAAGAAGGGTTGGCGCTCAGTCTCCACAGTACATAAAATATTAATTTTGTTTTATTTTATTTTTCGGGTTTGCATTTATGAGGAAAAAACAATGTTATGGACGTGTTCTCCGTTACGGACGTGAGCGCTCTGAAAGCGGCATAAAAAATGCTTTAAAACTTTCACAGAGACATCAAACAGAAAACACAAAACCTTTCTTTAACCTGAATTTCGTTTTGCATTAATTGTATCTTAATTTTAATCAATGTTTCATCAACCAATTGCCTGGGTTTAATAAATAAGAAGTAAATAGCAGACGATAGATAAGAAACGGAGGCGCCGGCACGTGAACTGGATCTCGTCTCATAAATGAACCGAAACTCAGTGTATAAGGTAGCCTACTTGCCTCTCACAGACATGTCTACTTTTAAACAGAAAAATTCAAAACGAAAGAAAACAGACTACAGACTGTTCTCTGCTTATGTAATCCGTATGAAATGTGCATTTCTCTCTGGCGCGTTCACTACTGAAGATCACTACTCAAGACTAAACAAGTGTTTATTAATAAACAATTAAAATATCTCCTTGCTATATTTTACATATTCATAATCATTCCTTTTGCCGGTTCTTTGTGACAGCTTTTAGGTGCTTTATTGGTAGCGCCACCCTTACATGTGGTGTGTGTGTGTGTGTGTGTGTGTGTGTGTTGTCCCCGCATTTAAAGATGGGACCCCCCAAAAAATGTAATTAAATTAAATAAAGCAACATGGTAAAAAGATGAAAATGACTTGATTTTACTTTTAATTCCTTTTACATTCTCCAAGGTATTAACATTAACATTTTTCATAACTCCATGTAGGACGTTTCTGTGCATAAATGTAAGCACTGTGGCAGTAGTAATGCAATATTTAGAAAATCTACTCTTGTACTCTTGATACTCAAGTACTTTTAAAAACAAGTACTTTTACTTAAGTAGACATCTGAATGTAGTACTTTTACTTGTACTTGAGTAAAATTTAGCAAGGTGTATCTGTACTTTTACTCAAGTAACAAAGCTCTGTACTCTGTCCGCCTCTGGTGCCCACCGTGCGAGCATCCATTCCGGCTGTAGAGTTGAGTGTGGCGCGACGGCAGCTTTCCCGCGAGTGGGCGTGGTTTCAGCGCAGCCAGTGGACACGCCCCAGCGTTTGAGAGCAGAGATTACTGCTCATTTTTTCAAGATTTTGATAGCTTATTTTATGTACTTGCTGGCTTTTTTTATCATTCAAATTTGGCTGGGTGACTAATAACATATTTTTCTGTGGTGTGACAAACTCAGAACACATACTTAATTTTGACTTTACAGGGACTTTAAAAGAAAAGGCTCAAACTATTGCATAGATAGATACTGTATAATACACTACGCATCAATATGTATTTCCTTTGTGCTTTGAACTTTTCAATGCGGACTCGACGCGCTGTGACTCCCTGGCTTCAAGCACATCATTCATCGCTCGGGATGCGCATAAGCGCTTTGTGCCGCACTGTATTGGAGCCTTTCATATCATAATGCAGTGACGCAATAACATATTATTAATAGCCTTTCTTGTTCTGTCCTATCTAGCATGTTGCTGCCTCATTAAACAGCTGTGCTATACATTTAAAACATGTCTCAATTTTATAGTAGCCTAGGCTATATCTAAAATAATTTATCATTTGATTTTTGTTATCTTGTTTTTCATGAATGTATTTTACAACAATACAAAGAGCAATGTGTATTATCCACTAATCTAGTTTATAATATCATTTTTGTCATAGATGATCATATATTTTTTTGATTTGTTGTTTTTCTTTATAATGAAGTTGTCTGTATTAAGTAGATTGTGTTTAACACAGAGTTATAAAAATTCTACTTGATTTAAAAAAAACTGCGCTGGTATCGGATCGGTATCTGTATCGATCGATACTCAGAATTTTTGGTATCGGATCGATTCTGAAAAAGATGGTATCGGTGCATCCCCAGTTAAAATAGGCCAAGAGACTACAGTGGCTCAATCTTAAGTTTATTAAGCGACGAGAATACTTTTTTTGCGCAAAAAAACAAAAGAAAAATAACAACTTTATTTAACTATTAATTTCCTTCTCTGTGGGCCTCGAGTTAGTTCACGTAGTATACCGTAACTGCGCAGCGCTTCTGGTTGTACTTCTCAGATTTAATCAAAAATATCTTAATTTGTGTTCCGAAGATGAACGAAAGTCTAACAGGGTTGAAACAACATGAGGGTGAGTAATTACTGACAGAATTTTTGGGTGAACTATCCCTTTAATAGCGTTTTATAAGTATATATTTAAAGAGAATCTAGTTCCTACATTATTTTCCTATACAATGACTCACTGGGTACTCTAACCTGCAATATGCCCTTTAAAGATGGCACATTTAATACAACAGAACAATCTCAAAACTAAAACCAGGATATATAAAACCAATGTATTTCATAGCTGCAAGTCCTGCAGGTGCCAGGTGAAACCTGAGCAAAATGATTTTGCTATCTTATCTCTTACTGGGAATATTGCACAGCCAAAATTTCATTCATCGACAGAAGCCGATCCAGGTTTAATGGACATCGTTTATCCCTCAAACTTAATTACATTTTTTAATATCAGGGTCCTTTCCTTTTTTCCTAAATTTTATTTTTTGGGCTTTTTCCCTTTTTTATGGTAACAGAGAATGCAGACAGGAAATTTGGGGGCGAGGGAGAGAAAGGGGGAACTCACTTAAAGGAATGATTCACCCAAAAATGAAAATTTGCTGTTAATTTCCTCACCCTCAGGCCATCCAAGATGTAGGTATAAATTTTCTTCAGTAACAGTAAAGAAGATTTTTGGCTAGAGTAACTTTGAGAATCAAAAACCATATACGAAACAAATGAATACCTGTGGCTCCAATATATTGAGGTCTTATGAAGTGAAACGATTGGTCTGTGCAAGAAACTAAACATTATTTTACAACATTATTATCTGTAATCCACAGCCTCGGCAAACAGTCCTGAGCATATTCATGGCAGTCTGGAGCGTGAGCTTCCTGTCGCATAATGACGTATGCGCAGCAGCTCAGACACTGGGAATCTGTGAAAAGTCAATCTTCCCGATTGAGATCATGCAAGCAAATTAAATCTTAATTTTTTTATATAGGTTGCGGCTTCCAGGATAAGCAAATAAGTACCACTTAGATGAACAATACAACACGCGCGTCTTCCTTCTCTGTTATAAACAAACAGCTTCAGCTCACATCTGAGTTTGCTCCCGCGCAAATGTCATTATGCGACACGAAGCTCGTGGTTCAGAGTTCAGACTGCCATGAACACGCTCATGACCTTTTGCCGAGGCTGTGTATTACAGGTAATTATGTTGTAAATAGTGTTCAGTTTCTTGCAGAGACCAATCGTTTCGCTTCATAAGACCTCAATATATGGCCAGGAGCCACGGGTATTAATTTTGTTTTGCCTGTTTATTGTTTTTTGACTCTCAAAGTGACGGTATCCATTGACTTGCTGCATTATATGAATCACCAAGGATCACGGTTTCAGTTAAAAACTTCTTTACTGTTCTACTGAAAAAAAAAAATAATTACACACATCTTGAATGGCCTGGGGGTGAGGAAATTAACAGCAAATTTTCATTTTTGGGTGAACTATCCATTTAGCCATTGATCTCTGTGAACCAACAACTCTTATCTTGACCAAGCCCACAGAACTTTTCAAAAATAATTTTGATTCAGATTGATTAGCAATAGCAATTTCTAGCTAATGAAATAAGGTAAAATTGAGCATAACTACTACAAACATTGTACATTCATTAGACATTACAATGACTAAAGATTTAATTAACTTCAATCTCATTTCCAGACCTGTAAAAAAAAAAAGCTTAAAATTCACTGATATTTACAGGTCTTCCATGATCATGGCAATGAATCAATCAGTTAATCCCCCTTTTTTGAGGGATAGCATATCTGTCAGATCAACACTATAGTCTCTGTTCATGTTTGTTCACAAATTCTCAGTCACTAGAGGGATTAGATTATTTCAACAGGCTTGACCCGGGGTAGAGTAAGCAAAGACTTGTAAACATTGAAGAGCTAGCACAGATGAGTGTGAAGGCGCTAACAGACTTCTGTGTGCCAGGCCAAATCCCAGATGGGGTTACAGCTCTCTATACAAGCTCACTGAGGAGACGTAAGGGGGTCATCTGATACAGATAACTAATTTGTCCAAAAACAAAAGCAGGTGACCTTCAACAGAACAGGAGCCCTGATCAATAGAGATCGATAAACAGACTGATACTAACACTCTGCTGTCTGAAATAGATAGGCCTTAAGCCCTGCATTGATTTGTGGATTGAAATAAACACAAATTTCCCAATAGTGCAATATGATGCAGTGCAGTTACCCTGAATTACCACTGTATGTTTCCAGAGAGAAAATAAGCTTGACCTTGTCGTAAAAGCACAAAAATCACATGTAACAGACGAAGTTTTAGTGAAGTTCTTTGTAAGATTAAGCTAGAAAATTCTATTTAATTTAATCGGACCAACATTTCCCAACATTTTTCCCAGGGAACCTTTTTTTGACAACCCATATCCCATAAAAAAAAAGCACCAGATTTTTTTGCAAACATGAATATATTTTGTCAAGAGCAAGTCTGAGGATCCAAAAATATGTCCTGTGTGAACAACCCCTTATTCTTCATGTTTCAGTTAACAAAAGTGAATTTTTCACTTATAAAGATTGATTATTTGAAACACAATCAGCTCCCATAAATTGTAAAATCATGAACTGGACAATCTTGCACTGGGAAATCTGAAAAGAACTCGGGGTGAATTGGTGTACGGTCATCACCTGCAGATAGTCAGACTGAATGGCCGCCAGCAGGTGCTCCTTGCTTAGCTCGTAGAGGACGTCGGAGGTCATGACCTGGCTGAACTCCTCGCACAGGAAGTGCATGGCCTGCCGATGAACCCATTTGGAGCCATAGGGCTGTGAGCTCCACTTCAGGATGGCCACCACAGAGTCTAGCGAGATGCTGTCTGCCACAATGTCTTCACAGCCTAAGACAAATAAACGAAGACATCGCATTTTATTTAGGTATAAACAGAGCTTCAGCTGCTCTTAAACATACAAATCTGTTTCCAAACATAGTTAATCAAGATTTTAAAACAAAAAACATGGGTGGTCGAGATGCTCTTAGAATAGGGCACTACCTGTATCTGCCCTCTATCCATTTTACCCATTGCTGAAATAATAATTTTTCTCATCACCGCGACTGTAACATATAACACTTCAAAAGGTAAAACTGAGTCTATAAATACACCAAGAATATATTCTATCACAATATATGCAGATATGTCTAAAATATTAATGAAAATGTATGCATTTAAATGTCACTGTGGGAACCGATGAATAATTTAGCCAATTATTCACAACTAAAACACTCCTTTATGCTGCTTCAAACTGTGCCTTGAATTACTGATTTGATCTGTTTTGTCTCTTCCATTCAATTCTTTCGGTCTCCTTTTCCAGTCATCAAAGACCGAATGTCAAAGGAGAGGCATTCAGTGCAGTTTAATCAGTAAATGCCACCGTTTTTTTTTTTTTTTTTTTTTGCTGTGCTTGATACAAAGACCCATAGAGCAGTGGAAATTTAAACTCCAATGCAATACAAGCCAAGCATCTCTAGAGCAAGCTTGGTTTTCCCTTTCTAACATGAATTATGATAAGTTCAGGTCCAACAATAGTTTGTTTACAAAATTGTGAAGATTTGTTGTATCGTACCTGACGCAACACATTAATCAAAAGTAACAGTAAAGACTATTTCAAATAAATGCTGGTCTTTTGAACTTTCAATTTATCAAAGACTCCTGGGGAAAAAACTGCATCCTGGTTTCCACAAAAATGTTAAGCAGCAACTATTTTCAATATTGATAATAAGAAAAGTCTCTTGAGCATCAAATCAACATATTAGAATGATTTCTGAAGGATCAAGTGACATTGAAGACTGGAGTAATGACAGCTGAAAATTCAGCTTTGACATCACAGAAAAAAATTAAAGTTAGAATATATTTAAATTGTAATAGTATTTCACAATATTAGTTTTTACTGTATTTGTTTATCAAATAAATGTAGCCTTGGTGAGCAAAAACTACGACCCCAAACTTTTGAATGCCAGTGTATAGGTGACATTTTTTAAATTAATAAGTGTTAATGATTTTTTTAAGAGCTTTGGTGAAAGGTAAGCTTATCAGTAAATAACTTAAATTTCAGTCATTTCCTCACACATCGTATTTGGAGCTTAGCAGTATAAATCATTATACATCTTTAATGGAATTAGCTCAGACATTCTGCCTAATAATTCACGTCAAAAAAATAACATGGTGATGGAATGAGGTGAGTAAATGACAACATTTTCATTATTGGGTGAACTACTCCAAAATATTCAACTGGATGGCAGCCTGCGTCAGAGCAGATGCCTCTCTCAAAGCTCTGGAGATATTTTCAAACTACATATTTTGTAAGTAAAAGCTGTTTTTCAAGACCTGCAAACACTCATATGATGTTTAGGAAGACAAATAAAGACAACAAGCATTTGTAGTCTTTTATGCCATAACACCTGACCTGTTGAAAAACACAACTTGTATCTTATGTCTTCAAATATATGGTCATCATAGTTTTATGTGAGAGTGTTATTTATTTATTTATTAAACATTTTGAAATGTCTTTTGTACCCCCACATTTCATCTTGCATAGCCAGACCTTTGCCTAACAACATAACACGTAACACGGTCGTTGTGTCGGCTCTATAGCAATTGGTCAAGGAACGGCCACTAATTCAAGAAGAGGCCATCTGATAGAGATGTAAAGTGACCAATCACAGTTTTGTTTTGTTCAACGTCCTGTTAAGGAGCAGGTACCTGTTGCTACAATAACAGACCAAAATGGGATCACTTGGGAATCCAAAGGTTACTTGGCCAAGCTCTGAAAATAATACTTTTCCCCTATGCCATCGTTAACCCTCTGGGGACGGCGAACGCGCCGGCACGTTTTGCTGGGTTTTTTTCACATAGCAGCAACATAGACTTAAAATACTCCGTCATTTATGGTCATATAAATAAAATCAATACATGATTATAAACTATAGAGGGTCTTCTTTTTTTGTGTACACTCACATTAACATCAAAACCTTGTGTTTTTTTATTAAATAAATAAAATAAACAGGGTGCGCTTTCAGCTCACTCTGTCTCTGCAAAAATCTTTCTGAAACATGTCTGGAAAATGAACGGAAACTCCGCTAATACTTATCACACAAACATGAAACATACGTCTAAAGAACGCTTTAAATTTCTACTTTTAAATAAAACTATTCACATTTAAAACAAAAATTCTCCTGCAATGTAATCTGTCTGAAACTAAAGAGAAGTACAGTTTCTCCTGTCTCAGCTCATTATCGTTAATTTGTTCACACCCACTCGCAGAGCGCGCTATTCATAAGATAATGTGTTGAGGCCATATGCAAAATAGATAAACGCCCCCAGGCAAATGCTGTAAACACACTATATTTTTTAGTCAGATTAAGATTCGTCTTGCGCGGCTATGAGGAATAATCCTGGGACATTTACCACAGAACAAGTGTTGGTTTCACTTCGAGGAGGACCAACAGATTCAGCTGAGAAGTGTAAGTGTTTTATGCTTGTGCTTTGTTCTAATCGCGATATAGAATAACGTTAGTGTCTGTAAACGGACAAATAGCATACTGTTTAAATGTGAATCATGTTTCTCTCTGTGTGTGTGTGTGAATGAATGAATGAACGCACAGATACGCACTGTTACAGATGAAATAAGACAATTTCGTTGACTAGTTTTGGATAAAGTTTTTCAAATCAAATAAGCATCAAATAAGCTTCAAATAAGCTTTAAAATAAAGACATCAGCTTTTGTTAGGAGTTTCTGGGGATAGAAGTGTCCAGACGTATGCACCCTGTACAGGGAATTACACTAACATTTTCCACTGGTGGCACTTGCGCTACTTACTTTTTCAGTTACTAGCGCAAAACATGATTTGGTCGCACAAATTATTTATAGTAAGCTACTCTGGATAATAATGACCAATAATGAAACTGTATTGCATACAGATGTGCTTTTTATTTTACTTGCCATCTTTTAAACCAAATGCCTTCTTGTTTTCTTTAAAATTGGTTGGGATAGATTTACTGCAATAGAAAATACAGTAGGCCTACACAATAAAGTGCTAAATGAATTTCTTTTGGATTTCAACATGCTATTGCAGGCACAGATGGGTAGACTTCTGAACTCTTAAGGAAAAATAAAATAAATATAATCCACTTCGCGTGCTTCATACTGTCATAGTGAAGCTTCAATGATTTGTGTTTGAATTGTTTTGACGCAGTTACAAATTTGGACAGTCCTGAAGGCCCACAGAATTTACAGTAGGGCTGCACGATATTGGTAAAAAATGACATTGCGATATTTGATTTTTCTGTGATATATATTGCGATATAAAAACAATTTCAAACAAAAAGCTCTATTTGGAAAGAATGAATCATTCTAGAATGACTGGGGTGGTTTTGTCATGGAGTAAATCCACATAGAAACTAATATTAATAGAATGTTTTAATGTAGTTAACTAGACTTTAATAAATGGAACCTTATTGTAAAGTGTTTCTGATTTATGTCTCTTGAGTTCAGTGTTGGACAGATCAGTTGTTTTAACCATTCATTAAAGTGAATCGGTTCAAAGGAGTCATATTAGTTCGCGAATCGGACGTGTCATTAACGGACCACGGCACACGTTGTGTGATTATCCAGGCAGTTTAGGACATCGCACAAGATTTGTCTCACTCTCAACACAGAAAACATTTCATCACTAGATAGATTTTTTTGTTTTGTTTATTGAAAGTGTGGTTTATGTCATATTTGTGTGGAAAGCTTTTCAGAGAAGATGAGGCAACGTTATTTTAGCACAATTCACAACCAGTGGTAGTTCAGGAAAAAAATACCATCGTGTATTCTCAAAGATATTCAGTCAACTCAATTCATTAATATGAGTGAGGGCGGGAGAGAGAGCAAGACAGTGTGAAGACGGCGAGAGAGTGCGCACGCGCGGCTTTCACTCTCTCTCAGTTAAACAAGCGCGAAGCCAACTTGATGTGTTGAATGCTCAGAGAACGTTATAAAACGTATTCTTAAAATACACATTTCTGTTTTAATAAATGCTCATAGTAAATCATAGCATATTGCCTAAAACATATAGGTACAAAAATAATCAAACGGTGATACATTTGCGACCCATTAAAAATTAGGGTCGCAATGGCATTTCAAAAGGTCGCATATGCGACCATTTTGGTCGCAGTGTAGTTCCCTGCTGTATTTTAAAGAAGAACATTTAATTATTTGCGATACATTATTCATTCACAAAGAATTCAGGGACATTATTCACGTCCCTAAAGGTTGGAGTTTTCCTCATTTTTTAAATTAAGGCATTAAGATTTTGTATTCCTCTTTTTAGTCAACTTTAGCATGGGTGTGTTCACTTCTAATTCTAAGCAGTGTGTGTGTGTGTGTGTGTGTGTGTGTGTGTGTGTGTGTGTGTGTGTGTGTGTATATATATAATTAAAAAAGCTATTTTAACCAGAAAAATCTACAATGCATGCCCAAAGTCGTGCAGCCATATAGTTTCTCTTGATATCAGCATGTTCACAGGTGTTTATTTATTTTTTTACAGGGACAAAATGCCATGAGTCCTGCTGAGTTCAACATTCACAGGAGACTGTAATGAAAAATCAAACACCTCGGAAATGACAGGTATGTACTATGTTTCAGGAATGGGACCATGCTGTGTGACTGTGCAAGCCTCTGTCTTTAGATCAGTGTGTTTACTAATGTGCTTTTTTGTCCTTTGTTGTGTATCTTTGGATTATGTTGTGTTGTAAATAAATCCAAACAATCTAAAAGCCATTCTTTTTTTAAATCTCCTCATTCTTTGTGCAAGGCTCCTCGTAATGATATGGCCTGATAGCACCTAATAGGGCCATTA